TACAAACCCGACTTAAACCCGAGAATGACCCGACCTGATTATAACTCACAAATTATTAACTTAAATTAAACCCGACTCAAACCCAAGAATGACCCGACCTGATTATTACTCACAAATTATCGACTTCAACCGAACCCGACTCAAACCCGAGAATTACCCTAATCCGTTTTAACCCGTGAAAACCCGAATTAAACCCGACCTATTGTTCACCCGACTCGAATGTAACCCGGCCCAATCCTGATAAGAAGTATGACCCGACGTAACCCGACTAAAGCATGACCCAACCCAAACCCGACCCGCATAAGTTATGGAATTAATCTGAATTGACCCGACCCGCTCTTACCGAACCAAACCCGACCCGTTTACCGAACTGTCAGCTTTACCCAAAACCATCAAAATTTCTCAAAAAACGTGGATATTAGTCTTCAATTTTGGAATTTTTATTGACTTTTTTCACCCGGAAATAAAAATTGCATAAATTTTTACCATGGTCCCTTATACCCGGTGGGAGTCCAATTGGGTGGGTGGAACCATCCAATTTGACTTTAAACGGCCAATTTACCGAATTACAACTTGCACCGATTTCATTGATTTAAGCCTACCACGAACATTTATGACAACATATAATGATCTTATATGGTTCCAAACGACATTATATGACCCCGAGTAAAACCTCAAGCTTTTTCAACACGAGGTCCCGAAACTACAAAAATTTGTCAAAAAGCGTGGATATTAACCTTTAATTTTAAAATTTTTTGAACTTTATTCGCCCAGAATTAAAAATTGCCAAAATGTTTACCATGGTCCCTAATACTCCCCCGAGAGTCCAACTGGGTGGGCGGAACAATCCAATTTTCCTTTAAACAACCAATTTGTCGATTTTCAACTTGCACCGATTTCATTAAATCAAGCCTACCACGAACATTTATGACAACATATAATGATCATAAATGGTTCAAAACGACATTATATAACCCCGAGATGTATCCCCTAAAATTTAAAAGCTTTTCGACACCGGGCCCTCGAAATCTGCAAAATTTCTCAAAAACGTGGATCTTAGGATTCGTAGCCTTCAATTTTGGAACTTTTTTGACTTTTTTTCGCTCAAAAACAAAAATTCCCGAATTATTTACCATGGTCCCTAATACCCTTCAGGAGTCAATTGGCTAGGTGGAACCATCCAATTTGTCTTTAAACGACCAATTTATCGGTTTACAACTTGCACCGATTTCATTAACTCAAGCCTACCACGAACATCTATGACAATATATAATGATCATATATGGTTCCAAACAAAATTATATGACCTCCAATGTATTCCCCAAAATCTCAAGACTTTTCGACACCGGGGCTCAAAACCTCCAAATTTTCTCAAAAAGCGGGACATTAACCTTCAATTTTGGAAATTTTTGCTTTTTTTTTTCGCCTGAAAATAAAATTTGTCAAAATGTTTACCATTGTCCCTAATACCTTCCGATAGTCAAATTGGGTGGGTGGAACCATCGAATTTGCCTTTAAACGACCAATTTACCGGTTTACAACTTGCACCGATTTCATTAATTCAAGCTTACCACAAACATTTATAACAACAAATAATGATCATATATGGTTCCAAACGACATTATATGACCTTAAGATGTATTCCTTAGAATCTCGAGGCATTTCGAAACCGGGTCCCGAACCTCCAAAATTTCTCAAAAAACGTGGATATTAGCCTTTATTTTTGGATTTTTTAGACTTTTTTCGCCCGGAAATAATAATTGCTGAAATGTTCGGAGTCCAATTGGGTGGGTGCAACCATCCAATTTACCTTTAAACGACCTACTTACCGGTTTATAACTTGCACTGATTTCATTAAATCAAGCCTATTACGAACATTTATGACAACATATAATGATCATATATGGTTCTAAACGTCATTATATGACCACAAGATGTATTCTCTAGAATCTCAAGGCTTTTCGACACCATGCCCCGAAACCTCCAAAATTTCTCAAAAAACATGGATCCTTCAATTTTGGGATTTTTTTACTTTTTTCGCCCGAAAATAAAAATTGCCGAAATTTTTATCATGGTCCCTTATACTCTCCGGGAGTCCAATTGGGTGGGTTGAACCATCCAATTTGCCTTTAAACGACCAATTTACCGGTTTACAACTTGCACCGATTTCATTAAATCAAGCCTACCACGAACATTGATGGCAACATATAATGATCATAAATGGCTCAAAACGGCATTATATGACCCCGAGATATTTCCCCTATAATTTCAAGACTTTTCGACACCGGGCTCTGAATCCTCCAAAATTTCTCAAAAATCGTGGATATTAGCATTCAATTTTGTAATTTTTGACTTTTTTTGCCCGAAAATAAAAATTGTCGAAATGTTTACCATGATCTCTAATACAGTCCGGGAGTCCCATTGGGGGGGTGGAACCATCCAATTTGCCTTTAAACGACCAATTTACAGGTTTACAACTTGCACCGATTTCATTAACTTAAGCTTACCACAAACATTTATGACAACAAATAATGATCATATATGGTTCCAAACGACATTATATGGCTCCGAGATGTATCCCCTAAAATTTCAAGACTTTCGACACCGGGTCCGAAACTTCAAAAAATTTCTCAAAAAATGTGGATATTAGTCTTCAATTTTGGAATTTTTTTTAAACTTTTTTTAGCCCGAAAATAAAAATTGCCAAAATGTTTACCATGGTCCCTAATATCCTCCGGGAGTCTAATTGAGTAGGTGGAACCATCCAATTTGCCTTTAAACGACCAATTTACCGGTTTACAACTTGCATGAATTTCATTAACTAAAGCATACTACAAACATTTAAGACAACATATAATGATCATATATGGTTTCAAACAACATTATATGACCCCGAGATGTATCCCCTAAAATATCAAGACTTTTCTACACTGGTCCCCGAAACCTCCAAAATTTCTCAAAAAACGGGGATATTGCCGAAATGTTTACCATGGTTCCTAATACATTTCGGGAGTCCAGTTGCATGGGTGCAACCATCCAATTTGCCTTTAAACGACTTATTTACCGGTTTGTAACTTGCACCGATTTCATTAAATCAAGCCTACCACAAACATTTATGACAATATATAATGATCATATATGGTTCCAAACGTCATTATAGGACCCCAAGATGTATTCCCTAACATTTCAAGGTTTTTCGACACCGGTCCCCGAATCCTCCAAAATTTCTAAAAAAGCGTGGATATTTACCTTCAATTTTGGAATATTTTTTTTTGACTTTTTTTCTTTGGAAATAAAAATTGCCAAAATGTTTACCATGATCCTTAATATTCTACGGGAGTCCAATTGGGTGTGTGGAACCATCCAATTGGATGTTAAACGACCAATTTACCGGTTTACAACGACCAATCTAATTAACTTGCACTGAACTCGACTTGAACCAAAATTGACCCTGACCCGTTTTAACCCGTCAAAACCCGAGTTTAACCAGACTTGTTACTAACCCGACCTGAATTCAGCCTGACCTGTTCCTAACCCGACCCAAATTTAACCCAACCTGTTACAAACCCGACCCGAAATCAACCCGACTTGTTATTTACCTGACCCAAATTCAACCCGACTTGTTATAAACCCGACCCGAATTTTACCAGACCTACTACTTACCCAACCCAAAAATTCAACCCGATTTGTTACTAACCCGACCTAAATTAAACCCAAATTGTTCTTGACTCGATTTCAAATCACCTTAAATGCAATTTAGACCACCTTATTATTGGTGATCAAAGCATTTTGTCTAGGGAGATCAAGTCGGTTCAGGCCAGCAAAAGAAAGGAGCATCATCCTCAAATTTAAGAGTTAAATATAGTATATATTTGTTGTATGGTCAAATGAGATAATTATCTTCCTAAATTATAAACTATAGTTCCCTAGTATATTGTCATATATATTATAGTCAAGGAAAATAATTGGATTGATAAAAATGATAATTATCTATTTATAATTAGTTGAATCCAAATATGACCTGACTTAGAAATGACCCGACTTGATTGTAACCTACAAATTATTAACTTGAACATAACCTGACTTGAATCCGAGAATGACCTAACTTGGAAATGACCCAACTTGATCATAACCCGCAAATTATTGACTTGAACCGAACCGGACTTGAAACCGAGAATGACCCGACCTGATTATAATCCGCAAATTATTGACTTGAACCGAACCGGACTTGAAGCCGAGAATGATCCGACCTGATTATAATCCGCAAATTATTGACTTGAACCGAACCCAACAATGACCCTACCTGATTCTAATCCGCAAATTATCGACTTGAACTGAACCCGACTCGAACCCGAGAATTACCCTAACCCGCTTTAACCCGTGAAAAGCCGAATTAAACCCGACCTATTATTTACCCGACCCGAATGTAACCCGACCTAAAATCGACCCAAACCCGACAAGAAGTATGACTCGACGTGACCTGACTCAAGCATATATGACCCAACCCAAACCCGACCCGCATAGGTTATGGAATTAATCCGAATTGACCTGACCCGAGTTGACACGACCCACTCTTACCCGACCCATTTACCCGAATTGACAGCTCTAATTACAATATAACCGACTAGTATTAATTAATTTAACACGATTTTATGACAAAATAGTCCCCAAAAATGACACCTCTAATAAAAGGTTTGGCTTCTCCGATAGTTTTTATGTTAAATATTATGTGAAGGTGTAACATTTAAAAGGACGACTTTTAAACTTGTAAACAATACACTATATTGTTTTTAAACTTTTACCTTTTTGATTAGTGATGAGGTCAAAACCGAAAGACTTCAAGGAAATTGTGCTCAAAGAAAAAGATGAAAAAAGAAATATCATTCTAATTTCAATCATATCATAGGTCAAAACGATTAACTAAAAACATGGAGGATGAGTGGATTATAGAATACATTTATATAATGTGATCACATTGATTGGTTTATATGGTATGAATTGAAAACGGACGTAATATTTTACATTTTTACAACAATGATTGAGCTTAAATGTCTTGGAATAAAGAAGTGCATTGAATAATAACCATATATGTGTGATTCCCACCTTAATTATCGTACACTAACTTAATTTGGATTTTAGAACACTCTTCCTCTATTTAAACCACCATTTTCCTAGTAATACTTAGATCTTAATTTTCTTTGTTCACCTTTTTCAAAGAACTTAAAAATAAAAAAATAAAAAAAAAAATAAAAAAAAATGGAGTGTTACGTTATGTCTCTAGTAGTATTCATCGGTTGTTTAACTTTTTCCCAAGCAAAAGCTACAAACCTTAACCTTATACCGGATACTTGCATGAAAATCTCAAAATCCGACCCAAAAAATATCAATTATGATTTCTGTGTCAAGGCATTGACATCGTATCGTCGGAGCACAAATCCAACCATTGATGAATTAGTAGAGATATCCTTTAAGTTAAGTTCATCTAAGGCACAATCCATTATAACAACCATTGCTAAACTCCGGAAAGACCCTAAGTTGAGCCCATTTGCCAAGAGCGCGTTGGGAACTTGTTCAGACCTGTATTCGGATGCTCAGAGTGATCTGCAAGAGGGGCTTGATGCTTTGAAGGGTAAGGATCTATCGACAGCTAATGTACGAATAAGTGCAGCCATGGATAGCGGTCCAGATTGTGAGGATACATTTAAGGAGAAGGAAGGAGAAGCGTCTCCTTTAACTAAGGAGAATTCTGAGTATTTTAAGCTAGCTGATATTTTTCTTGCCTTTACTGTCATCTTGAAAAAATAATTCTTAAAACGTTTTTGTATGAATAATTAATAATTCATGGTGTATTACACATTAGATTGATTGTCATAAACCCGAAACTTTCTCGGTTCGAAATAAATTTTGTTGTAATAAACCCGAAACTTTCTCATGTTAAGGTCATGATTGTCATGAGGTGTTTTGATTATAATGTAGCACAGGCTTTGGTCATCAGTCTTCCCTCATGCAAAGGCTTTTTAGTGTTAACATTTTCATAATATAACGTTTCTTTTGCTTGTTTCATGATGCATGAATAAAAATGTGCATGTTATTATTGTTATACGTTTCTATTTGACTCTTGTATGACCCAAGAACACCCTATAACCTCCATATAGCTTTGACGAAAAATTTTCAATAGCATACATGAACAAAAAAAAAAGGGAGCAAAATCGCAAAAAAGAACAATTTCCAGCGCCAGCCTACAGCCGTTCACAGATTAAAAGCACCAACAAATATGAATAAAAACATCTTTCATGTCTTTGTCATGAGTGTACTCTGTTGCTTACTTACAACTGCTGCTTTAACCAGCCTTTTACTCCCTGTCTGCAAGGACATCTCTGAAGCTGACCCGATAAATGTCACTTACGAATCCTGCATATCAACACTTGGGTCGGATCCTCGCAGCCTCACATCAACTGCCCCACAACTAGCTACAATCTCCTTTAAGTTGAGTATAACAAGTGCCAAAGCCATTAATTCAACCATTGGCACGATCCTAAATCTCAACATAACCGGTCCTATAGGAGAAAATGTATTGGAAGATTGCCAGGGCATCTACTCGAGAGTTCCTGGTGATCTAGAAGCAGGTCTTGAGGCTATAAAAGCAGGAGACTTTGACACAGCAACAAGTGCAAGGGTAAGTGCAGCCATAAATGCTGCTACCACTTGCGGAAATAAGATCAAGGAGAGGGTAGGGGAGATAGATCCTTTGAGAAAGAAAATTAATGATTTTCACCAGTTGGATGCTATTTCTTTTGGTTTCATCAAATTGTTGCGGATTATAAATTGATTATGTATTAGGTTTATAATAATTTAATAAAATCTCGCTTTCTATTTGGCTTTTTGTAAAATTATTGATCCATCAAAAATTTACAAATCAATAATACCCGCCAAGAGCTAGTAATGAAAGCAAAAAATTACTTCATATAAGACAATCTAAGATCATCGCACCATATTCTGTCCCTTGCCTCAGGGTTCTTTACATATTCCTACCTAGCCAGCAAAACCTTTCCACTAGTCCAATCATTGGCATGGTTCACAAAAGACATGATGATTTAATTACGAATAATTAGTATAATTTTGAGTTTAAGGAGGAGAGCGAGGTACCTAATTAGTACTATCACCTACAGCTCCATCTTTGTCTGCCCCATTGCTCCCAACAACAACATTTGTAGAAGTGACACTATCCTTTACATTTGCATTATCCATCCCTTCAGTTTTCCGGAACCAACATTGCTCCATGTAATGCCCCCTCTTCTTACAAATGTTGCAGAACTTAAACTTCTTAACCCCGTCTGCTTCAGGACTAGCATGAGGAACTCCAGGCTTCTTCATTGGAATTTTCTGGGGTCCGAATTTCTTGTGGGGCTGAAGCACAGGAAAGTCGGCCCTAGGAACAAGAGTGTTACCTTTATGACCTTTCTGACGAGATTCCTCTTCTGCCTTTAGCTGATTCATCAACATCCATACAGGTAAGTTGTCTTCCTTCATCAACTGGATGCTGAAGGGTTTCCAAGATGGGGGAAGCTTAGAAATGATGACGTTCATATGAAACTTTTCCTCAACATACATACCCGAAGCAATAAGTGCATCCGCAATCTGATGGAACTCGTGAACTTGCTCAAAGATCGAGTTCTCTTCAGTTATCTGGAAATCAATATACTTCTTAACCAGAGAAACTTTAGCTCCATGTTCTTCCTGAAGATAGACAAGCTTGAGTTCTTCCCAAAGATCTTTAGCAGTGCCTGATTTCTCAGAATAATGTCTTAAAAGATTGTCACATAGGGAGTTTAAGATGTTTTGACGACATATATGGTCATCATCCATCCATCTTTCTGCAGCAGATAAAGTCTGTGCAATATTCTTGTCTGCAACTCCCAGCCCACTAGGGCATGGTTCAGAAAGCACATAAGCAACCTTCAATTGGTTCAGATATAATTCCATACGATCAGCCCATTGCTGGTAATTCTTACCATCAAAACGAATGACTTCAATAGGTACAAGTCTTAGGGGCGTAGAAGCCACAGTTGAAGTATCTTGAGTATGTTCTCTAGCGGCCATAAGTCTAGTTCTATGGTATGCACCATCTTTTTTAGTTGATTCAGCTCCACTTTGTCCAAAGTGTTCTCCACCATTCTGTTTGTTTCTATATGCAGATGTATCAAGCTTATCAAAACCTTGTTTACTCTCAAGTTCAGATCTACAGAATACATCATGACATCCATGTCAATCGTCATTTCAGCCATATATACATGCAGTAAGGAAGACTAAAAAGAAAAGCCTTGGAGAAATACAATTTCATAATCTAAAAGATTATTAAACCGAAAAAGGACCAACCTTATTTTTGATTCAGCCTCTATTATAGCTTCATCAACTGCAGGGATGCCCTTTCGGAGAAGTGACCATTGGTCAGGAAATAAGTTGATGCCTAGCAACACATCAGCACAAATTAGATGAAAGAGAAAGGACGAGATCTATGACAGCCACATCAACCACACATGCTTAACAGCAGGAACTAATGACATGCATAGCATAGTAGTAATAATAAAAAAGATAATGAAGATCAAGAGACTATTATGAACTGTGTAACATATACTCCCTATGTTCCAAACTTCCAATATACTTCTTAGGTCAATTTTGCAAACTCTGAAAGGTACTTTGTCAAGTTATGTACTGAATTATGATGTAAAATCACCATTTCCAGACATTCTAGTTAAAACTCGACTAGGTTTGACACTCGAGCTATTACTTTGGAACAAATGGAACACCTTTTTGATCCATAACAATGCAATCTCCCTCCACTCCTCAAACCATAGATTAACAATCAAGCAAACGAGATACAAAAAAAGATATGAATGCATAATAATGCTAGATAAGTTCGGCATAAAACTTTCCTCCTTCCGTAAGTTCCAACCAGTTCACTTCATTATCTTGTAAATTGGCACAAGTATTTGCAATAAATTTCATTTCTTTATCCTCCCAATTAAAGAGAGCTTCAACACTCACATTCAACAGGAAAACTTTTTAAATGGAAAACTCAATAACCAACAAAAGGATGCTCGAATAATTGGTTCAAACTTTCGACCTCTTTAAATGAATACATTACAGAACAACCAACTAGATAACCAAAATTCTCAAACTTTAGTCCACCTAGTATATTCCCTTTAACAAAGAACACAACAAAATTCTGTACAAATCAACAATGTACATAAATAACATAATATCTTATCAATCTGAATGTTAATGCACAACACAGCTTACCATGGAAGAGGAGGTTTATAATTACATTTATTTGGGGTTGGAATGGCCTTCCCATCCTTCATAGATAACTCTCCAATTGAAACAACTGTTCTCCCTCCTGAATTTCTCACTGCTAAATCTCTCTTTTGTGACAACTACAATACATTCAACATTACTATAAAATTAAACAGTGCATAATAAATCACCAATTCAACATTAATTTCTGCAAAATTTAGGATTATGATCATAATAAAATATATATATATATATATATATATATATATATATATAACATAAGATAAAATTAAATATTAAAAATGTATAATATATAATCAGATATTAAAATGCAACATTGAATTAACATCTAAGGTACAAAATTAGGGTTTAAAGCAAAATTACACTAAATTAAAAAAAAAAAAAATAGAAATTGAATGAAAAATAACGAAAAAACCCACCTTGCAAATAACTCGACATGAATCAAAAAGCTTACTTTCTGAGTGTGGTAATGGAGTTTCTTTGAGGGGTTCATTAATGGAGGTTGAGGGTAAATTAGGGGGCAAAACGGTGTCGTTTTGAGGATGGTCGGAAGAGCGTAAGAAAGATTCGATGATTTGTCGGATGAAAAATTTGTGGGGCAAATCGGAGAGGTCGAGGTTGAGTTTAAGGGAGGCAAGATGTCGGATTTGTTTCTCAGTGAGGGAATCACTGTCGGAGGAATTAAGGATGTCGGTGACAGTGACGTGGATTTTATCGGCGGTTTCAACGTCCATTTTGAGTAGAGGAGCTGAGTGTGAGGAGGTTAGAGAGAGATTCAGGTTTGAGGGGATCAAGTATTGTACTTTCATGGTTTTAGTTTCAGACTTTCAGTTTGAGTTTGAAAGATGGTGGAAATCAAAGAGATTGCCATATCAAAGGGTTTGACGATTTTGAAACTATGATTTATAAACAAGGTCCCACCTAGATTCGAACTCGGGTTTTGTTGTTTCGTCTGTTATATACACCTAGGTGTATATGAAGCTCCTTTTCCGATTAATTTTGGGATAAAAAAAATACTCCGTACATGATACCTTCAATCAAAACTCAAGTGATTTGATAAGATAGGGCCTTAGTAGTGACACTGTGAGAAAAGCGGCATTATTGTCAAGTATCATAGACAATTTTCTAGTAAATCGAAAAAACTAGTACCAAGTTATAGGACTATCATTTTCATACAAAGTGTAACCTTTTTAAGCATAGGAGTCGGTCCAAGCCAATATTTATATGTTTACAAGAAAAAAAAGAAAGACACGCGAAGCTATTGCTAGAGCAACTCTTAAGATGTATCATAGATAGAAATGAGGGGCAAGTCTTGGTTTAGCCAAAGCCATTAGAGGTTGAGCTTTAGGCATAGTCATCCCATAAACTTCCTTGGTATCAATCTCCTCTGGCTTCATTCCATCAGGTGGCAACCAATCAAATGCATGGAAAAGCCTAGCTAATCCCATTAATACAAACACTACTCCAAGTGGGGCCCCTGGACATCTTCTCTTTCCCGCACTACATGGTAATATCTTAAAATCAGATCCATGACTGATCTCAACTCTACTCCCATCCAACGGCCAATGTCTTTCTGGATAGAATTCCTTTATATTGTCCCACACCATAGGGTTTCGCCCTAGTCCATGTGTGTTGATGAAGACACGTGTCCCTTCTGGGATGTCGTAGCCATTGATTGTGGTGGGGCGTAGTGATTCGTGTGGGATTAAGAAGGGCCCTGCTGGGTGCATGCGAAAAGTTTCTCGTACAACACAACGCAAGTAATTAAGTTGTGGAAGATCTGATTCTAATACCATTCTGTTGGGTCCCACAATTGTGTCAAGTTCTTGTTGGATCTTATGAAGGACACGTGGATGCTTTATTACTTCAGCCATTGCCCATTCGTTTGTCACAGCTGATGTGTCTGTTGCTGCAGCTATCATATCCTATTTTCAAGTAATTGTGTGAATAATGATTTTAAAATATGCGGTGATACAATGAGGAACTTGAAACTAATTAGATGTTTACGATAAATGTACTCCATGTCGAGCAATAAGAATACACATTCAAACTAATTCTCCTAATTGTATCTTGATAAATTATATTTGGATTAATGTTATTGTTGTTGGTAACATTGATTTAACTCCACTAACAAAATTTTCTTTCTAGAATCTTTTTCCTTCGATAGTAAATAAACTTCTCTTTGCTTCACTATATAAGTCAAAATCATCATCAATTTTTTATGCTTGCATATTTTTATTTTTTATTTTTTTTAACATGATATTTTACTTTTTCTTCTTAAAAAAATTGTTAAGTTTAGCGTTTGTAGATCCCATGGTATGAATGGAACAGTATTTTACTTATCAAATCTACTACTGTATTTTACTCAATTAAGGCAAGGGTACCTGGATTAGAGCTTTGATTTCCACATCTTCCAAGTGTGTCTTTCCATCTTCTCCAGGCAAGGTCAACAAAACATCCACAAAGTCCATTTCTCCATCATCTACTCCCAAATCTTCTCTTATTTTCTTTGCCCTTCTATGCTCCTCAATTATCTTGGTATGAAAATCATCAACCCTTTTCTCAATCTCTCTCATTTTCTTCTCACACCCATATGGATCAACCCACCTCCAAATTGGCAAATAATCACCCAAGTAAATCAAGCCTAATAGCCAAAACAATTCATGTGTTATGTGCATGAACTCTAGGGCCTCTTGTGGACCCGCCGTTCCAGCTCCAAAGTATTGCTTCCCTAACAACATCCTAGTTACATTGTTCATAGAAAATGAGCCCAACACATCCCTTAAGTTAACCGCCTTATTTCCTTGGGAACGACCCCATACATCTTGAATCAAATGTTGGGCTTCTTCAGCTCGATGATTCACAAAGAGCTCGAGTCTTTTAGTCGTGAGCAAGTGCTCCATGCAAATCCTTCTCATTCTTTTCCATTTTGGGCCCATTGGAGCTAAGGCCACATCGCCACTATTATAGGCTAGGTGGGTTGCGGCTAATGTTTGTGGTCGAGAGGCAAAAACCTCATCTTGTCGAACCAATATTTCACGTATGATTTCTGGATCATTAGTGGTTATGGCACCCACATTGCCGAGCTTTAGGTAGACCAAGGGTCCATATTTCTCACAAAAGGAGGCGAAGTCACGGTGTGGAAGTGGACCTAATTGAAGAAGGTTTCCAAAAAAGGGCCACCTTGGTGGGCCAGGTGGGAGCTTGTGTGGTGTATGTAAGTTGAGCTTAAGCCATTGGTATATGACCTTTGCAGCAAGATATGAACAAAGCAAAACTATTGCTATAGTTATAAACTCCATCAAATAAAAAATAGTTAGTACTAATAGTTACTTAATTATCATCTCTACTAAAAGCTTTAATGGTTCAAATCAAGATGATTGCTTTTGTTAGTACTAATAGTTACTTAATTATCATCTCTACTAAAAGCTTTAATGGTTCAAATCAAGATGATTGCTTTTGTTAGTACTAATAGTTACTTAATTATCATCTCTACTAAAAGCTTTAATGGTTCAAATCAAGATGATTGCTTTTGTTAGTACTAATAGTTACTTAATTATCATCTCTACTAAAAGCTTTAATGGTTCAAATCAAGATGATTGCTTTTGTTAGTACTAATAGTTACTTAATTATCATCTCTACTAAAAGCTTTAATGGTTCAAATCAAGATGATTGCTTTTCTTAAGGCTGGCTACATGGATCATGCTATGTTAGTGGGCATTCTAATAAATCTCCTATAAAGATGTTAAGAAACAAATTATGCGTGCTTAGAAAATTAAGGGTGGATAGGAAATAGATAAAGTGCATGAACCATATTTTAAGATCGAACAATCTAATAAAATAATAGGAATATGAAAATTGAGAAAAAAAAAAAAGCGAGATATTTAAGATTTTTCCATTATGCCCTTTGAGGCTTTGACTTAGATTTTATGGAGTATTAAACAAGAATAAAATCAACCTACAACTTTATTAAGTCAAATTAAGTTCGTTTATAGTTTATACATTGGAGTTGGTTATACATCTATGCCTATAGGATTCTAATATATAGGAAGGTTAATTAATTTTATTTTCATGACATTATCCTTAGTACTACAACTTTAGCAAGGTTTTATTTTATTTTTTCCCTTTTGTTTACTAGTTATAATTTTTGTCTTTTTATTTTCATAACATCCTTGTTAAAAATATACGAAGTAATGAAGTATATAGTACTATAACTTTTGCAAGGTTTTTATTTTTCCCCCCTTTTTGTTTACTAGTTTTAATCTTTGTCTATTTATCACCTGGACACATAATTTTGACCAACATTATGCTTAAAAAAAAGGTAAATACAACAATAATTTCTAAAGTAAGACAAAGTAAAATTAAGCATTAACCAAGCACTAATGACATCAATGACACATAATTTAATATAAATTCTTAAATTAACCCTTTAAGAAACATATCCACATAGTTTATAACTGTAACACCCCGACCTCTAATTCAATTATTAAGATAATCTTAGCAGCGGAATTAACCTAACACGGTCGGGACGTCACTGCCGTAAATCCCTCACGAGATTTACAAGGCAACAAACATACTTAATTAACAAACTTGATTTATAAAACATAGTAATCTATTTATAACAAACATTATTCTTAATTTTTATAATAGAAAATCCTATCTTATCTCAAACTTTACTAAGTAGCTTAGTCTTACTATTCAAATTAAACAAATTAAAACTATAACTACTATTAAGTGATAACTGAAAGTAAAATCCTCGCTACTACTCGTCTCCATCATCCCCAGTAGTACCTAAAACATAAAAACATAAAAACGAGTGAGTCGAAGACTCAGTAACGAACTACTCTAGTAGTGTAACATCATTTCAATTCATTTTAGTTAACAAAACAGGGAGAATAGAGTATCTTAAAACATTTAATAAAATTCATATAATGATATATATATAACGTTCATATTAACATGCTAGTCGCTGGCAAGTATGACATGGCGGAACGTCTTCCGCGATGGGCCGGTGCCCATAACATAGAGCAGATGCTCGACATAGTTGGGCTAATGCCCCATGGGTACATGCATGACCGAAAAGTAACCTGTAAACATATACTGCCAGACGGACTAGGTTTTTCACTGTTATTTATCATGTTGTGTAACTTTTACATAAGTCATTCATAGATTCATGACATAATTTCGTAAGATCCAAAGATCAATAAAACAACGTTTATCAATAAAATCATTCATATAAATCATTAGACTGGAGTACATTAATAAACACAATCATCATCCCGCAAGTCAATAAATCCAGAGATATAATTAACTTTCAAAATTGACATCATGCTTTTATAAACACATTTTGAAGGGAATTGCGGGTACTAGCAATAGCCGTTACCTCGATTTACGGTCTAATAACCTTCCTGTTAGCCTTTATTCTATCGTTCTCACTGAGCTCCGAGGTCCGATTCTTCTTGAAAATATAAATTATTGCATTAGTAGGAAAAATGATTAAAAATATACTCTTTAATTATTTTAGTATAAAATCAACAAACTTATTTCTAAATACAAGTAATACCATACGTAGCTTTATGACTCAAAGAAGTCATAGTTTTTCCACTAAATCATTAATTTAAGTATAAGAATTATTTTTGTATTACAAGAAAAACAATACTAGATAACAAGATTTCTCTTTAAAGAATAAATATGAACATTGAAACAATACTTCTTATACCTTGGGCTAATTAGTAGTATACGAAGCAATAAGGTAATGGGTCTTAGAAGGCCATTTTCATTAGTTTGACAAGAAAGTTTACGAAAGGAGAAAAGAAAGTATATAATGAGTTAATGACACTAGTGAACGGTGGTGACGTTTTATATATATATAGAGTAATATGGTTGCTAGAATGAACTTGAAAGAAAGAAGAAGATAAGATCAAGATTTGCTAAATTGATAATCATGGGGTTTTGAGTGACCAATTATATGGAAAGGCAAAATTAGACTTTGTATTATAAAGCTCTTAACCGTGAGGGGAATAGAGAAGCAAGAGGTGGGTTTTGTTTTCTAGTTGAATGAAGCAAAGTTTATCCTTTGCTCTTTTGTTTCTTAACGGTGAAGGATCAATAGCTTACAAGAAAAGATTATAAAAGTTTATTAAGTGATAAGATTATCACAAGAATTAGGCAACTAATGGTAAAGGAAACAGTGAGAAATGAAATTATCAATTCTTTTCTTAGTGGTGAAAAAGGGATGAAGTTAGGAGGTGGATTTTGTCTCTTATGATAAGTAAGGGCATTTTGGTCATTTTTTTTCGGGTAAAAATACATATTTTGATACAAATCTTTAAACATTTTACTGACCGGAAATAAGCTGTAAAATAATAATTTACTTTCCTTAAAATTAGCTTCTGAAATAATATAATATTAAAATAAAATTCAAGATTAAAACATTCGTTCTTGTTAAAACAGAAACAAAACTTTAATTAAGCTAATAAAATAAATATTAGCGTATAATAAATTAGGTTTTAAAATCTCGGGTATTACAATAACCATTTCTAGGATAGTACATATATTGAAAATATTAATGTAATGTTTATAAAAATTAACCGAATTACCTCGTTTTGCGCATTAAAAAACATAACATCAACGAAACCGACCCCTAAAACGAGGCCTATACGTTAATTTTTTTCCAATTCCAAGCTCAATTTGGAATCTAACAAAATAACCCTAAAGAACTTTAACAAATATTTTCAACACGCAAATCGAGGAAAATAGAATTTGCAATTTTTTTAAAAAAAAAAAAACTACAATTTGCAAAATAAATATTTTTAATGGACAATTTTTTTTTTTTAAAAAAAAAAAGAAAAATTGAAAAACAAATGTCAATCTTATAATGCGAGTTGCCAAGTTATTCAATTTTCTACTCTTGTGAGCATTTTCCCCTCAACTTCTCTCATAGCCGCCGGTAACCCCTGCTCCGCTATACCAACCACCCTGCTGCCGCCATTCTGAATTCTTCTACTGTCTAAATTGTTGCGATTTATACTTCACGGAAAAGGTTAGAATACTTTAAAGTTTGTATTTGATATCTTATTCTCTAATTTTGCTTTAATACAGTCTAATGATTCTTGGTGTTGATTTGGGGGACTATTGTTTTGTGACACAATTATGATTTTGGGTTTGTTTTACTTGCTAATTACTCTTTACATTACAAATATGATTATGATTATTACTTTGCAAATGATTATAGATTGTATACATGGTAATTATTCAAATACATATGCTGATTGTGAAATGCTAGATTGTGGAAATTGATTTTGTAGGTTGTAATTCAAATTGTAAATTGAACTATGGTATAGAACTTTGATTTTCTGTAATTGGTTGATTTTCCATTGATTACTTATTATATTTATTGGACAAAAGATGTTTACTTGTGAAAACCTATACATTTTGCTGAGTTTAGAATTTATAGAGCACTTTTTGTATTGCAAGTGATGATGTTTTGCTGTGCAAATGAAATTTCGCAAAGGCCAAGGCCTGTCTCGGCGTCTTCTCTATATACGAATAATTTGATCAAGATGAAAAAAAAAAAAAAAAAAAAAATATATATATATATAGGGATTAACTTGTGAACTTCCCTTGTGTAATGTTATAAACCCGCATATCGAGTATTTGCTTGCTAAACAACCACCACTAGTGTATTGTGTATAGAATGCCTATGTTATATGCTTCATACTTGTACTACTAGTCTCTATTTATATTTGTAATGCTTTGTTTGGATTTGACTTGTAGAGGTTGCGCTTCTTTAAATTGGAGTTGGTGATGCTTCTGCGAAAATTTCCTACTACATTTTCTCTTTCTAAAAGATTCTTATCAACTAAGAACACTCATGACCTTGCCTCCTCCATTGCGGAGTTCAATAAGGTATGCCAATGACCTATATGGTTGCTTACTACAATACATATTAAACAAATATATATTTGATCCTATATGAAATTTGCACTTTGGATTGCTTAACTTGTAATTAAGTGCAATAGTTTTGAAGAAAATTCTACTGAATGATGTATTGAAAGTTAAAGAGTTTTTGTTAAATTTATATGAAAATGTTTGATTTGATTAAATTAGATTACATTTGGAGGTTTTGTTTTCATAAATAACATAATTAAACCCTATTGAGCTGTCAATTTCCCATGTCTAGATTTTTGGATTTTTTTGGTTTGTTAATTGACACAATGGATGATTAATGGGTATGAATTGTAGTTTGATATGATGAGATTTATGTTCAATAAATTTGTACATCATTATGCTTTCTTCTTTGTATAGCAATACTATTTTCCTTTTTGATACTTAACTTAGGATGCTTTCTCATGTAGTGTACTAAGTGATGTTTATCCGAATTTATGAGTTTAGGAACTGGAAGACATATTTGGTGAACCTCCTTCATCAGCAGGCCCTTTAGGTTCAAGTGGTTCTGGAGATGTAACTCAAGATACTCGGTTTTCAACTTCTGAAATATCTGAAAAAGTATGTGGACTAACCCATATTGGAAAGCAAGGGGAGGCACAAATGGTGGATGTCTCTCCCAAACAAAACACCAAAAGAACGGCAGTTGCCAGTGGCAAAGTTGTATTGGGAAAGGAGGTGTTTGATTTGGTGTCAGCAAACCAATTAGCCAAGGGAGATGTGCTTAGTGTGGCCAAAATTGCAGGAATTACAGGAGCAAAGCAAACTAGCAACCTTATCCCACTTTGCCATAACATTAGCCTGTCACATGTGGATGTTGATTTGACTTTAAATCACCGGGATTACAGTGTCAATATCCACGGACAAGCCTCAACAACGGGAAAGACTGGGGTCGAGATGGAAGCTCTGACTGCTGTCAGCATTGCTGGGCTAACCATTTATGATATGTGCAAGGCTGCCTCAAAAAATATTGAAATATCAAATGTGAGGCTCGAGCTTAAAACTGGAGGGAAGAGTGGGGATTGGTCCAGGGAGAAGTAATGCTGTTCAACAACTAGGTGAGTTATACTAACTAGACATTGCTTTAGTGCTTATATTGCTGCAACTTGCAAGCAAAATTTCCATGCTGATAATACTGAATATAATTAGAAGATATGGTTACTGAATGTTATCTCTGTTCCCAGTTGCACATTTCAACTTGTCTGTCCATTTTTTATAAAAAAAAAAAAAAAAAAAAAATTAGCCTAATGCATTTTAATGCCGTCCCTCTTTTCATACATTATATTGAGATCTTGAATGCATGTATGCACTTGGTGGCTGTGGTTGAAACTACTAGTTTCATACAGGATTGTTTATATACAACACAGACATAGAAGCCTAACTTTATATAGGTTCAAACACGAAGCATTTAGGGGTATGCGTGAAAGAGTAGGGTCTCCTAAAGGATAATTGGAATTTGAGGAATTGGGGAATATATCTGACTGACACACTAGCAAGGGTAGGGATGAGGAATAGAGGTTTCATATCTGTCACAGTTTATCACCACCTTTCAGTTTCATTAAAGTTTTCAAAAATGATTTTTATTGGAGCAGTTTTTGGTCCAATGTAAACTATGATTGGTGTCAGGCTTGACAACTAAGGTGCAAAGGATTGTCAATGGTGGTGATTTCTTACTTTGGCTTGGAGCACCTTGGAGGCTCTCCTCCATTGTTTATCTAGATTAGCTCTTACATGACTTGATTTTAGGACTTTCTGAGGCAGCTCTGGCCTAATGGATGCATTTTTGATTTGACGAAGAAAGATGTACTTAATAATTAATATAAATACAAAGTATGATGATGAGGTCTGGTCCTTAAGCATGATGTTATTATCACTCTAGACTCAAGTACTCATATATAGGCCCACTTCCAGCCTTGGATAGTCCCTTACATTCAGAAATAAATTATCACATTGTTTTCACCATTCATAATTGAAGATGGACCATCACAATGGTTGGATCATTCAACTCTTTCTGCATCACTCAGCTTTAGTACAAGGATTCTACCATCGCACAATGGTAGTTTATACAGAAGTGTGTGTATTCTTAGGTGTTGGTGGGTGAAGCACACATATTGGATCTATGTACCTTTAGTTCTTACATCATTGGGATGCCATGTGCATGCTATATGTTGCAGTTGTAGGGCGTTTTGAGAAATTTAATAAAAAATACCGTTGTTACTTTTGGAAAGGCTGTGGGTATTTTGTGATTTTCTAAAATAATGTACGAGCTATGAAACACTTGGTATGTAATTGTTTCTTATGAATACTATAATCATCTTTAATATGAAGTGTTGACTTTATATGTTTACCTCCATGATGTGAGATACGAAGCTTAGTGGTATAGTACGTAAGCAGAGGACATGCTCACAATGTCCCCAAAAAGCCATTCAAGGTAAGGTTTTAAACATTTGAAGTGAATTTTATAGGCTGGCATTAGCTTAAGGATGAAAAGTGGGGAAGGATGTCTTCCCTTATCTTCACCGAAAGGTTCCTCCTTGTTCTCGCTAAATCTACATTTCATTATTACCTTACACAGTGTGTGCCTGAGGCAGGCCTTAATTATTACTTCTTCCACCTGGAAATAACAATCTCATTGTCCCGACCTTAATACTTAAGTTTACACCACATTTTTACTTAATGACCCTGTTAGTCCCGGATGATAGAATTGCAGTCCACACACGAATTTAGTTGAGAAGCAAACCTAGCTATGAGTTGTTGTTATGCTAAGGCTCTCAGTAAGTAGCGACTGCATACTCATCTTTACCTCTTTGAGATGGTTTTGATGCTCTAATCAAATTTTATGTGGCGCAGTGGCAGGGACCATGAGCTCTTTCTTATCTTGATCTACTGCAGTATTCCTAGGATGCTTCACTGCCAATGAGATAAGTAAATTTGTCCCATTTAAGAGCACCTACATTAAGTTTTTTCTGCATTTGAGGGGACCAAAGACCAATTGTCTTGTGTAATATTGCCTACTCTCTCGGTCACTGTCTAGGATTATGAAAAAGGGGTGTTGGTATTCTATTTGGTCACTAAAGACCTCGTTACAAATCACACTTTGTACAACTTTATGCTTTACTGTATTTTTTACAACAATCCATCACCTAGTAGTCTATCATTATTACTCTAAGGAGCAATATTTCAAGCTTTAGGACTATGTATTTACAATAGGATGCTTCGTATTGCTATATAGCAGTGTGAAATGGGGAAATTTATGGCAAAAAACACTAACCATGTGTCGCACAATGTTATGCAATATTTGGGTTTGTATCTTACTACGGAGTACTAGTTATACCTTTCTAAGTTTCTATTCTTAGTCGGGAGGTCAGGATTACATATACGGAGTGCCTATATAATTTAAGAATATTTATAATGGCAAAATCATCCAAACATGTTCTGTTAAAATTTTCAGATATCATGTCTCTTTTGCTAGCCTCAGCCCCTGACGCCGTAATTAGCTCTGAGATTGATGAAGTGGTGATTTTATTCCACTTACATTGCATCATTATTTTTCCAATCTTTGGCTAATAGTGCCAATTACTCATGGCCGTCGGATTTAGATGGATCCTACTGTGATTGCTCCACGTAGACGACATGCTTGATATAGTGCCTGAAAATAGGATTCTATTTTCCACTCGATAAGTAGTTGTTGTCACTGTGATCTACAGCTAAAAGCAACTCTGGGAAATTTTGGAATGCTGCCCTTTCCCCCAAATAATAGACACTTCTTAGCCTGCCACGTAGAATTATTATAGTAATAACCCTATTTATGCTTAATTATGAGTTTTACAAGATATACACTCATTACTTTACATACAGCGAGCAAGTTTTAAAAAGTTACGTAGGAAGACCAAATAGAGATGAAGGGAGTAATATTATGTATTACCATCTAAGTATTTTTTCAGGCGGGTAATATTCCGTGACCGTTTCTTTGTACTCGTAAATTACAACTCTATGTAATGCATATTACGCATGGCCGCATGGGACATCTTCTTTCTTGTTGATAGGAAAAAAAAGGAATAGGGAAAACTTTAGCTCAATGTCCTCATAACTTTAGCCTTTACTGGTGGCAAGTGGTGACCTTACAACTTTAATCAATGAGAACATGCTAAAGATGCTACCTTCAAGTTCTTTTGCTTCATCACCTCGTATATCCCACATATATCGACCTACTTGGCTTCTTCAAATCTGTAATGGTTACATATCATGCCATTTTCATGACATTGTCTTTAATTTTAATGTCGTCTTTATGTGAATATTCAATAATTTCAGGCTTGAAAAATATTGTGATTCTACTTCTTATACTCCTTTATGTGAGGTTTTTTTTTTCCTACATACATTTATTATTGTAAGAAGCGAAAAAGTGTAACACAAACAGTAAAGTCTAGCTGGGGTAATCTTAGGCCTGTTCTAATAGGATTATTTTCAGTTCGTTCAGCTTAGCTTTAATAAGTTCAGTTCAGCTCTAATAAGTTCAGTTTAATTCTGTTCAGTTCATCTTCTAATTTCCTTCTCTTATAAAATATGTATTTCAATTTAATTCAGTTCAGCTCAGTTCAATCAATGAGAACATACCCTTAAAGGAGTAATAACTTAGCTATAAGTTTAATTAGGAACAATTTTAATATAACGGAGGGAGTAGTAGGTGTACTCATAGTCATTTTAAATGAGCAACAAAAGTTTGAGTGCCAGAGAAACCTGATTAGTGAAGCAGTAGATCCATTAAATAAGGCACAAGCCGCATAACTATCAACCAACAAACGCCTTGGTTCGTGAGAAGATTTATGGAACCTAATAAGCTCACATTCCTATGCTCTCTTACTAGTCTTCCGTATTTATAATTTGACTGATAATTGTACGTACTATCTACCCAACCAACAATAAAATCAATACACCCAGTCTCATCAATTTTACTTGAAATATCAACCTTCACCAGACCAAACATTACTCCCGCTATCTGTACCGTTTTTTGTTTTCTTCTATATTATTCTAATACCCATCCTCCTCAATCGTCATGCTCTTCCTTAACCAAAACCCTACCTCTATTTATATTGTACCTAGTATAAATTTATTTTATTGTAATTTGTTTGATTATGATCTTGAATAGACTTTATTATAGAATCTTATTAATCTTGCATTAGAATATTTTTAAATCATACGTTATGTTTATTAGGCGAGAAGAAAATAACATGTCCTTGACAAACTACTAGCCACTTCGTATTTGATTTGGTAATATGTGAATTTTATCATTGTTGTAATGCATTCTCTCTTAAAAACATTATTCAATTCTTATAAGGTAGGATTTTGATTTTGTGATGTTAACATATAAGGTAGGACTGTAGGAGTAATTACTTTGTACATAAGTTTGTACTTGTATAAATTAATTAAGATCAATTCTCAATTTCTCATTAATGGTTAGTTAGTTTAAGTAAATTAAGTTAAGATATGTCATGTTCAATAAGTTTAATAACCCCATTTCAAATTATTTGATGGGACCGGTTCTATTAAAGAGGTCAGATTAATTGTATCAATTATGGTCAATCCTCCAAAATTACAGAGTGCTTATCTCTCAATTTAGCAATGAGGAGGAAAACATGATCTTTATTATCAAATATAGAGAGACAAAGCTAAATATCGTTAAAAAATAGTTAGATTTAGATTAACTATCTAATTAAGAATAGATAGATTAAACTATCTAAATAAGCATTGACTAAAACAAAATAATCACATGTAGTTTGAGACAATGCAACATCTTGTATGAGTTGTAACTCCACCTAATTTATAAGAATTCAGCTATCCATATCCAATTTTATTTGCACCCAAATTAAGACAAAAGAAAACAAAAACACGGGTTACCACTTACAAGTTACAACAACAAAACCCAACATACATATGATACGTACTACAAACTTGCACCGATTAACAAGTTCATAATAATACCTCCAAAACCTTTTCTTTTCAAAAAATTAATTTAATTTTTACTTTTTTTTATTTATTTTTGTTGTTATGGCTTCACATTTATTTATAAGCTCACTCTTCATCTCCATGTGAATCTCTGCACCCTCATTTCACCACCTTTCTTCCAAAAAAACATGGAAGAAGGAAAACCCACCATTTTTCTTCTCTTCTCTTTTGTTATTTTCCTCTCTTTTTCTCTCTCCTCTTCTCTTGAACTTCAAAATCTTCTCCTCAACCCTCTCCCTAAACCCTCCTCCCTTCTTCCGAACACGGAATGGGACCTAACAGCCCAATTACAAGTAAACGGGGAGCTATTCGGTTCCGTAGATACATCGTTCGAGCTTTCGGGTTCTTTAGATAGCACCGTGGCGCTGCAGCTAGAGCATTTGGACGCTCTAGAGCCGCATTTGAGCCAGGATGAGCTTTTTGCCTTAAAGCTCAAGCGCGATGAGGCCCGGGTGGAGTCTATCCTAGCCCGGGCTCAGGGTGTCTCGCATAGACACCGCGCTGGCTCCCACCACGGGAGGAATGCGAGCCACCCTCGCGCTCCTGCTGGAGCCGCTGGTGGGAGCGGCTTCAGCAGTTCCGTAACCTCGGGGTTAGCCCAAGGGAGCGGTGAGTACTTCACCCGACTCGGCGTGGGCTCACCCCCGAGGTACATGTACATGGTTCTAGACACTGGAAGCGACATCGTTTGGCTCCAATGTTCACCTTGTAAGAGATGCTACGATCAAACCGACCAAGTCTTCAACCCGGTCCAATCCGGTTCATTCCGGACCATTCCTTGCCGGTCCAAGATCTGCCAACAATTGGACCAACCCGGATGTGCTCTACGTGGCAACAGATGCGCGTACCAGGTGTCATACGGTGATGGGTCGTTTACCATGGGAGAGTTCGCTAGTGAAACGATGACGTTTCGGAGAACAAAGGTTCCAAACGTTGCGCTTGGTTGTGGTCATGATAATGAAGGTCTTTTTGTTGGTGCTGCCGGTTTACTCGGTTTAGGGCGTGGGAAATTATCTTTTCCTTCTCAAACCGGTAACCGGTTCGGAAACAAATTCTCCTACTGTTTACTAGACCGATCCGCTTCTAGTAAACCGTCATCAGTTGTTTTCGGTGCATCAGCGGTTTCTCGAAACGCTGTTTTTACCCCATTAATATCTAACCCGAAATTAGACACTTTTTACTACGTGGAGTTACTCGGGTTTAGCGTGGGTGGGACCCGTGTTCCTGGTATCACGGGTGAGCTTTTCAAGATTGACCGTACGGGTAATGGTGGCATTATCTTGGACTCGGGTACGTCCGTTACCCGGTTAACCCGACCCGCTTATATTGCCTTAAGGGATGCCTTCCGAGTCGGGGCATCGTCTCTTAAGACCGCCTCCGGGTTCTCATTGTTCGATACGTGTTTCGACTTGTCAGGTAAAACCGAGGTCCGGGTGCCCACGGTAGTAATGCACTTCAATGGGGCGGATATTTCATTACCTGCTAACAATTATTTGATACCGGTTGATATGTCGGGTCGGTTTTGCTTTGCTTTTGCGGGAACAATGAGCGGGTTGTCGATTATTGGAAATATCCAACAACAGGGTATTCGGGTTTCTTTTGATGTTGCTAGTAGGCGGGTCGGATTCCTCCCAAATGCTTGTACTTGATTTGAGTTTTTTTCTTTTTTAATTTACTTTCTTAATTTATTTGTTTAAGCAAAAAAAAGATGCTAGGAAGGTAAAAAAAAAATAAAAAAAAAAAAAAAAAAAAAAAAAAAAAAGGTGGTTGTAATTGGAAAAGGGGAGCAAGTAAAAAATAGTGGAAAATTAAAAAGATATCTTGTGTTGGGTTAGTGTGCCACTATCTAGAATGCTTCACATGAGAAGGGGAATTTGTGTCCTACAAAAAAAAAAGTATACATAAATGTTATTGGCCCCACCACAAGTGAGGGCATTTTGTTCATGTGAAATCAAGTCATGTGAAAAAAATTGGTCACTCTTTTTGGTCGGAACAAGTCAATTTGTGGGTGCGGAAATAACGCTAATCAACTTAACAAATAGCCTTTCACACTATCACAATTGTGAATGTAATATTGTTCATTGTTAACATGAATACATTCTAAAAAATCTTTCATGAACTATGAATCATAACAGTAGTCTTAAACAGAAACAGAATGTTTAGCTGTTTAAGTTGATGATGGTTTAATTATTTGTTTGAGTTTAACTCTACTTCTCATGTAAAAAGGTTGAAAATATACCCTTGTTACTCATTGTATTTTTATATTGGGAATAGCAAGTTTTCCAATCTCTCCCCCCCCCCCCTCTTTTTTTTTTTGTCTTTAACTGTTTTATTTGATGATGATATGACCAAATTATCAAAGGTGAAACAATGTACTCCCCAAATCAAATACTTTTATGGATTGTTCACACTCAAAGGCTCTTTCCATCTCTCACTACTATACAATCTTTCCTCTAAAAATTGAGATATACGAATTATAAATCTACGGTCTAAACTCTAAACCCTTTGGCCTTTTCAATAATAAAAAGGGTGTCTTTTTATTTATTCATTTTCTACATATAATAAAGGTTAATGAAATGATAGCTATCAAAGTATGTTTATTGCTTAATATTTACTCCTAGCAAAAGTTAATAGTGTACAATACACAATAACAAAGCAGCTTTCAAGTTATGGACTACTTTAACAAAAGTTAATTTAGATTAGATAAAAAGTTTCATGGTAGGCAAGAGCCAAGAAGGATTAATTTTACTGTATAAATGAATCATTGAGATACAAATTTAAAATTAAAATTAAATTAAGATAGAGCTAGAAATCTAGAATGGCCAGAATAATATTCAATTTGGTTTGTCAGAAAAATAAATATTCACGTTTGGGGAAAAAATTGTTAACCAATGCAAGGAAAATTTGGTGCCTACATAGTGCGTAGTTATAGAGCTTCACATTGCCAAAACTGGGGTTTCATAGCACTTACGATAGAGAGCAACGTTAGAAAAACTTATCATTGAAGGTGGCAACATATTTTTCATCAATGCAATAAGGTTTTGGAACATCCCTTGAAATTTTTTCCCCCCGAACATTAAAATTACCGAAATGTTATCATGACCCCTAATACCCTCCTGAAATCCAATTGGGTGGGTGAAACCATCCAATTTGCCTTAAAACGGCCTATTTACCGGTTTATAAATTGCACCGATTTCATTAACTCAAGCCTACCACGAACATTTATGACAACAAATAATGATCATATATGGTTCCAAACGACATTAAATGACCCCGAGATATATCCCCTAGAATTTCAAGACTTTTCGACACCGGACTCAAATCCTCGAAAATTTCTCAAAAATCGTGGATAATTAGCCTTCAATTTGACTTTTTTTCGCCCGCAAATAAAAATTGCAGAAATGTTTACAGTGTTCCCTAATATTGCCTGGGAGTCCCATTGGTGGGGTGGAACCATCCAATTTGCCTTTAAAAGACCAATTTGCTGGTTTACAACTTGCACTGATTTCATTAACTCAAGCCTACCACGAACATTTATGACAACAAATAATGATCATATATGGTTCCAAACAACATTATATGACCCCGATATGTATCCCCCAAAATTTCAAGACTTTTTCACATCAGGCCCCGAAATCGCCAGAATCTCTCAAAAAACGTGGATATTAGTCTTTAATTTTGGAATTTTTTGACTTTTTTTCGCCCGGAAATTAAAATTGCCAAAATATTTATCATGGTCCCTAATACCATCCGGGAGTCCAATTGGGTTGGTGGAACCATCCAATTTGTCTTTAAACAGCTAATTTAATTACCGGCTTACAACTTGCACGGATTTCATTAACTCAAGCCTCCTACGAACATTTATGACAACATATAATGATCATATATGGTTCCTAACGACATTATATGACCCCGAGATTTATCCCCTAAAATATTAAGATTTTTCTACAGCGGGACCCGAAACCTTTAAAATTTCTCAAAAAACGCGGATATTAGCCTTCAATTTTGAATTTTTTTGATTTTTTTCGCCCGGAAATAAAAATTGCCGAAATATTTACCATGGTCCATAATACCCTCCAGGAGTCCAATTGGGTGGGTGAAACAATCCAATTTGCCTTTCAACGACCAATTTACCGGTTTACAGCCTACACCAATTTCTTTAATTCAAGCCTACAACGAACATTTATGAAAACAAATAATGATTATATATGGTTCCAAACGACATTATATGACCTCGAGATGTATCCCATGAATTTCCAAGACTTTTCAACACCGGACCTTGAAACCTCCAAAATTTCTCAAAAAGCGTGGATATTAGCCTCAAATTTTGGAATTTTTTGACTTTTTTTCATCCGAAATTAAAAATTGCCGAAATGTTTACCATGGTCCCAAATATCATTCGGGAGTCCAATTGGGTGTGTGAAACCATTCAATTTGCTTTTAAACGGCCAATTTGCCGGTTTACAACTTGCATTGACCGGTTTACAACGGCCAATTTAATTAACTTGCACCGAACCTGACTTGAACCGAAATTGACCCAAACTCGTTTTATCCCGTCAAAACCCGAATTCAACCTGACTTGTTATTAACCTGACCCATTCGTAATCCGACTCGAATTTAACCCAACCTGTTACAAACCTGACCTGAAATCAACCCGACTTGTTATTAACCTGACCCAAATTCAACCCGACTTTATATTGACCCAACCCGAATTTTACCATACCCATTACTTACCCAACCAAAAATTCAACCCGATCTGTTTCTAACCCGACTCGAAATTAACACGACTTGTTATTGACCCGATCTAAATTTAACCCAAATTGTTCCTGACCAGATTTCAAATCACCTTAAATGCAATTTAGACCACCTTTATTATTGTTGATCAAAGCATTTTGTCTAGGGAGACCAAGTCGGTCCAGGCCAGCAAAAGAAAGGAGCATCATCCTCAAATTTAACAGTTAAATATAGTATATATTTGTTGTATGGTCAAAGGAGATAAATATCTTCCTAAATTATAGACTATAGTTCCCTTGTATAATGCCATATATATTATAGTAAAAGGAAATAAATAGCTTGATAAAAATGATAATTATCTATTTATAGTTAGTTGAACCCGTATATAACCTGACTTGGAAATGACCCGACCTGATTGTAACCTGCAAAAATATTGACTTGAATATAACCTGAATTGAATCCGATAATGACCCGACTTGAAAATGACCCAACCTTATTATAACCCGTAAATTATTAACTTGAACCGAACCAGACTTGAACCCGAGAATGACCCGACTTGAAAATGACCTGATCTGATTATAATCTGCAAATTATTGACTTTATTCGAACCCGACTCAAACCCGAGAATGACCCGACCTGATTAGGGATGGCAATTTAATCCGAGTTCGATTCGAATCCGATCCAATCCGAAGGAAAAAAATCCAATTCGAATCCGTTTAAAATTAGTCCGAATCCAAATTCGATAAAATAGATCTGAATCCGAATTGGAGGTGGATCGGACTTGGACCCTACGCAAAGTCCGACAGAGTCCGATCCGAGTCCGAATCCGAGAGTATAAGCATATGCTCTATAACTTGGGACAATTATTTGCTTGTTTTGTAGCAAAATTTTGTTATGTAAATTAGTTTATAATTTAAATATGTTATGTTTATACTTTAATTGGTATGACAATACAAGCAATTATAGGTATATGACATTACAAAAAATAAAAATTTAAAAAATATTCGGATCATTTCGGAGGTCCGTATAAACGGACCGGATTCGGATCCGAAAATTACGAGTCGGATCGGATTCGGATCCGAGTCCAGGGTCCGTTTACTAAACGGATCGGATTTGGATTTAGCCACATCCGACTTGAATCCGATCCGTTGCCATTTCTAGACCTGATTCTAACCCGCAAATTATTGACTTTGACTTGAATCGAACACGAGAATTATCTTAACCCGTTTTAACCCGTGAAAACCCGAATTAAACCCGACCTATTATTCACACGGCCCGAATGTAACCCGACATGTCATTACCCGACCTAAACCTGACCCAAACCCGATAAGAAGTATGACTCGACGTGACCCCAGTCAAGCATGACCCGACCCAAAACCGACCCGCATAGGTTATGAAATTAACTTGAATTGACCCAACCCGAGTTGACCCGACCCACTTTTACCCGACCTATTTACCCGAATTGACAGCTCTAGTCTTTTCATTGATCCTTGTGAACTTCGGCATTGGATATTCATATCTAATTTTTCTTACTATAGTATGATACTCTTGAAATTCACTTGTGAGGAGAGTGTCTTAATGACTAAGGGTCAGTTTTAATTTTCTTCTCTCATAAACGATTCAGTTCAGTTCACTTCAGCTCAGCTCTAATCAGTTCAGTTCAGTTGTTTTCAGTAAATCAGAACATGTTCTTAATGTTCAATTTTTCGTTGTTATTCTTTTTGGATTCTAATTTCTTAGGCAATAGGCCTATAAGGCCATAAGACCATAGGCCTATAAACCTTAAGTCCCATAAGCCAACTGATTGATTGTTAAGCACTTTTAGCCCAATGAAGATATGAACTCTGAAGCATCTTCAAACAGATTAAATGTACAAAAAAAAAAATTGTAATCGTCAAAACATGTAAAATTCCGGGAAAAAAAAATCCCAGGAACAAAAAATGGCGGAAGATCGCGAACAAGAGGAGAGAGAACCTGGAAAAGTTGTGGCGTTGATTGAGAAAGCAACCAATTCTACTGAACCTGGTGTTGATCCTCGTCTTCTCAAAGCCATTAAAACGGTTGTTCGTTACTCCGATTTTGAGCTCAAACTCGCCTATAAAACCCTAATTTATCTCATGAAACGACAGCATTCTCAGGTTTTTCTTTTTTCACGGTTTAATTTCATGACTAATTGCAATAATTTTGATTATAATTGTTGAATTTTTGAACTTAGGGTTTGTAAATTTTCTGAAATTGCAGATTAGGTATCTTGCGTTATTGATAATTGATGAGTTATTTATGCGTTCGAAGCTTTTTAGAACCCTAATTACTGAGAATTTGGATCAATTGTTAAGTTTATCGGTTGGATTTCGAAGAAATCAACCTCTTCCAGCTCCATCTTCTGTTGCATCGGTTTTACGAGCTAAGGCGATTGAGTTTTTAGAAAAGTGGAATTCGTCATTTGGAGTTTATTATAGGCAGCTTAGGTTAGGATATGATTATTTGAAGAACACACTTAGGTATCAATTTCCTAATTTACAAGCGAATGCTGCTCGGGTTGAGCGAGAGAGGAGGGAGAGGGAGGTGAGAACGCAGTTGATTTTGAAGAACAAGCTCGAGACGTTGAGGGAGAGGTTTCCTTCTTTGAAGGAAGAGATAAAATTAACGATTGATGAGATTGGAGAGTGTTTAGAGATTGCTAGGGCTAATGATGAGAATGCGGCATTGGAACTGTTGGATGATGATGAGGAGGAGGAGTTTGAGGGGATGCGTAACCCTGAGTTGATGCAACTTCGGCTTGATGCATTGAAGGAAGCGGAGAAGGTTCATGAGAATAGTGATAATAAAGTAGTTTTTGATGCATTGAGGGAGCTGTATAAATTGTTAGTGAAGAAGCATTTAGTTTCGGTTCAGGAATGGATTTCTGTTCTTATTCGGGTTGAAGTTGATGATGTTAGGTTTAGGGATTCTGCATTGAAAGAGTTCATTGATGTTCGGAATCGAATTACTGCAGTGAAGAAGAAATGTGAGGAATCTGGTTGTGCCCTTCCTAAGATCAGGGAGAGCGAGGAAGATGATGACATTTGGGAGGAGTGTAAAATTGAATCTGTGGAGGGAAGTAAAGATATAAATGTGGTACCAGTTGATCGTAAAGTATTGGCTACTGATGCTTCTGAAAGACCTGAATGCAGCAAAAGTGGGGCAAAGAAGAAGGATGTTGTGAAACGTAGAGTGAGTGCTGGTGATTCGAATCCTTTGCGGGGTAAGCTTTTAGCTGAAGCTCCCTTTGTTAATTGGGGATCCTCTTTGGATAATTGGGGTGAGAAGAGGGATGTGTTGGTGAATCAGAGGGGATTAGAGATTGATGGTCATTGGGGCAGAGTAGATAGTGACGCTGCTATACCATCAGAAAAAATTGCGGAACTAAATGTTCATGCAAGCCTTTACAAAGAAGAGCAAGCTGAAGTTCAGCCATGTCGTGCTCCTTTGCGCAATGGAAATCTTTGCCACAGGAAAGATTTGAGAGTATGTCCATTTCATGGACCAGTTATACCGCGTGATGATAAAGGAAATCCAATTTACCCTGAGGATGATGCAGGGAAATCTGTCATCTCCTTAGGTAATAAAGGTACATCAATAAGGCAGAATTCTTCCACTGAAGAGTTGAATATTGATGGACTGGGCATTTCTTCAGAGCAGCTAGCTAAAACTGCTGTTAAAAATGTTAGAGAGAAGGATGAAGAGGAAATAAAGAGAAAAGAAAGTGATAAACGAGCAATCAAGAAAGCTAAACTTGCAAAGGTTCGGGAACACAACGATGCAGTTCTTCGGGAGGCTGCAATTGCTTCAACCTCGAGTTCTGCAGCTTTTGGGGAAGTTGTTCCTGCAAATACGGGAGAGAGATTTACCAAGAAAAATAAAGGGCCAACTCTTGCATCTATGTTGCGGAAGAAAGTGACAGCAAAAGATAGATTAGCACAGAAGCTTTTGAGTTCCTGGGCAAAAGATGAAACTGTCAAGCAGCTAACTAAAGGCGAGGACACCAGGTACCGAGAATCATTCCCAAATCAGTGGTAGCAATGTTTTTTTTTTAATTTAATAAAACGATGGCACTTCTGCATGAACATTATAGAACCCGGGTTTGACAAAGTACATCTGGATTATCACGTTTGCCTGTTATTCAATCAGCCGAGAAGATCAGACCATTAACAGTCAGTTCTCAAGTAGTAATCTGGAATTCTGGATAGTGTTAGTAGCTTTGTAATTATGTGTTCTCTTATCTACAATTCCATTTCACAATTTTGTCATTTACATTTACACATCGCGACATGTTAATAGAATGTACAATCTTATTGCAAGTGACAAGTGACAGAAAAGACAGTTTTTTGAGTCACATATCAGCAGCAGTTTGGCAGTAGTTTTCAATTCCTTGTTATATTTGAAATCAACTATTGATTGTACTCCAATAGTCCAAGTCCAATTACTGTGATGATGATCAAAAGAAGAGGGGAAGCATTCTTCCAAGTTGTCATCAACCAAAAAAAAGGAAAAATGTTGTTATGATATTAGTTGTAATTCAAGTAGTATACACTTTTGTACCTAGTTGTTGGATAGCTTAAAGTGCACAACCTTTTATAATTGAGAATATTTGTATTAGTTGTATATTACTTGTATAATATATGAAAGGATATGTTGTATAATTGAGACTAATGATCTCACCTTAAGATTGAATAAAGTATTATTCTAATGAGTGTGTATGACAACCTATTCTTCCTTGAAAATTGTATGGTAACTTGCTGCTATTATGATTTGTCATTATGGAGAAAACGAATTGTGAAGGATTCATCAAAGATTTTACAAAGTATAAAAAAGTGCAGACCCACTAATTACAATGCTTGATTAAAGTACCTTAAAGATTCATCAAAGATTTCCTTTTATCTCTTAAGTTAGGCGGCTTATTAGGCCCAAATAAACAAGCATTTACTAACTACAAAGTATGGAATAGACATAAAAGTATAATAACAAGCATTCTTGGGTAAAATATTGATTGAGCTTGGTGAAAGCTGATACATTCTTGTATCATTTTGAGTAGTTTATTTATGCTAGACTTCTTCAAGTGACCTCCAACTCAAGTCATCACTTTATGCCGAGTGTTATTATTGAACACCCTTTTGTAATATGACATACGGGGTATCTATCTTAATTTCAAGTTGTAACGAGTCACATGAATATTAATAAATAGAAGTACAAACTCTTAATGTTTATCGTACAACTTAGACCATGGGACTCATACATGATTAGTGTATCACATTATGACTGAATTGAGAGCGAGGTCAAGTGCTTCCGTTATTATAAAGAATGATCCAATACGTGAGTAGGACCATAGGAGCAAACAATGATCAAAATCTAAGCATCACCAAATGGAAACAAACATTATTGTGTGACAACAAGTATGAAAATCAAATATGAAATGGAAACATTACCAACCCACCACCTTTAGGGAAAAATGTCATTAATTAGGCACACAATAATTGATGTAACCGAATCAAATTTGAGAAAATTTACGCAATAAGTCAATAATAGTGAGAGATCTAATTTTGCACCAACGACATACCTAATCATCTATCTACTTCAATGAGAGTGTATAATTTATGAAAGTTTAATTAAATTACCCACTAATTTCTCTTAACTTTCAAGTCTCAAGTGTTGGGTTTTATAGACACTAGTATAGAATTATGGGCATGATTATTATTTTTATGTCGGCTAAACAATTTGTCTTCTTTCACGTGTTTAATTAAATATTTGGGCATCATTTGTCTGCTCAAGACCAAGTCCCTAATTCACACGCACATTCATGTTCTTGTTTAGTTATATTATTATGTGATGATATTCGAAATGAACGCTTTTGTTTCCTTGACATCTTAAAGCTAAAAGCTTTTGATTAATTATTAAATAAAATAAGTATCTTACCCACTATTAGTTAATTAACATAAGTTTAAACTAAATACAGTAATACAATGTCTGATATAATGAATTTTAGGTTACACGTTTTTTTGGTAACTCTTACAGTTTTACTATGTAAAACTTCAACTACAGATCAATAAGACAATAATCAACACTAACTAAATATTATTAATACTTAAAAATTATACAATACCCATATTTTATTCATCTAATATGGTAATTTATGGTGGAATGCTTTGAAGTCATGATGTCTTCGAGCCAATTTTATTTTTATTTTTTACCACAACCATCTAAAATCTCAATATTCAATTTTTTTTAAAGCAGTCCATTTATCATAATAAAATACTGAAACTAGTTACGGAGTGTCGGAGTGGTATCCTATACCACTAATTTTTCTTATACTTTTTTTTTTAATAAAAAAATTCTTTTGAAAAATCCAATTTAGTTTTTCTTTTGCAATGTATATATATCTTGCATTACCACAATACACGCTGAATACTAAGGGCCTGTTCTCTTAAGTTGAAATTCAGTTCAGTTCATTTCAGCTCCTAATTTCCTTTTCTTATAAAATATTCATTTCAGTCCAGTTCAGCTCAGCTCAGTCCAGCTCAGCTCAGTCCAGTCCAGTTCAGTTCAGCTCAATTCAGTTCAGCTCAATTCAGTTCAATTCAGCTGAGTTCAGTCAATGAGAACAAGCCCTAAGTTCTTCTTTGGTTGCAATGGGAATTAACTTCCTGTGATAATTTACATTGTATGGGAAATTAGTTCCCTCATCTAATTCCTATGAAGTAGCTTTAGTTTTCCTAAAAAAAAAAAGAAGCTTTTGTTTGTTTGCTTTGTTTTTGGGAAATTACTATTTCTAGGTTTTTTGAATTACAAAAGAGGAGGTGGGTAAAGTAATTCCCACATTATATTAAAAAAAAAAAAAAGTAATTCCCACATTACATGGAAATCTCATAAAATTTTTAATTTCCTTCATTTTGCAATGGTTAATTAAACACGCACTAATCAAAATATGACTTTTTCAAAATACTACCTTTGTATCATACTCCGTATTATGTGCAACAAAGGTTTTGACATAAACTTTTAGGCAAAATTTGTTTATAAATGTTTAATAGCGAGAAAGATATAGGTGCATGCAACATGCGGTGAGGTGAAAGATGGAGAGAAATGACAACTTAAAAAAGAAATAACTATGTAGCATCCGTTTATACTTTATAATAAATATTAAGCATATTGTACTTACTCTTTTTTTTTTAAAAAAAAAACATCAGTTTGACCGGTATATTTGTCCAGACATAACTTTGACCATTAATATCTTTAATTGTCTATTCTTAAAAATTGTAACAAAATAAATTATGAAAATCTCAGGATATAGTATTATATTACTTTAATAAAAGAAAGTTTAATCAAACATAAATTAATAGGTGTATAATGTAAAAGTCAAATACTCGTAGAAATAATTTTTAAAAAGATGAATAGTAAAAAAAAAAATGGAAAGAAGCAAAGAAATGGGCCAAAGAAGCCCATAAAGAAAAAGCACCTGGGGATATGGAAGGAAGGAAGGATGGTTGTTTTAGCAAAATGAGGGATTTTGGGATTCCCTTTTTTCTCTCTCTTTCTCTTTCTTTCCCAAACTTTGAACTACTCCTGACTACCATTGGAGCTTAGGAGGGAGGGTGAGAGAGTGAGTGTTTCATCACAAACCCAATTACATTCAATCCCAGAAATTCAATTTCTGATTTTTTAGAGTTTTTTTTCAAGTGGGGTTGTTGTGATCTGGGCAAATTTGGTGGTGTTTTCTGAAAATTATAAATGGATATTGATAGCATAGAGTGTGTATCTTCCATTGATATGGATGAAGATGAAATAATACAGCAACATCATCATCAACCTCATCACCAATTTTCATCTTCAAAAGCTCCTCACATCATCAACAATGGTGTCCTTAATCCCAACATTCACCCTGCTACCAGTGTTCATGAGCTTCTTGAATGTCCTGTTTGTACCAATTCTATGTACCCTCCAATTCATCAGGTTTTCCTTTTATCCTTTCTCCTTGATTTATTATTTTTTGGGATTTTTTTGTCCATTTTTTTCACGAGTTTTTCTATCTGGGTTTGTTTGATTTTGTGGGGTTTGTCGGTTGTTTGGTAGAACTGTGTGAATTTTGTTGGGGTGTTGAATTTGCCCAAAATTTTTATGTATTGATTTGTAAGGTTTTGGCTCTGTGTACTCTGGAGGATCTAATTATTGAAATTAATAACATTTTTTGTTGGATTAAGAAGTTTAAGGAAATTGCTAAAATGTTGGTACCCTTTAATGTTATTTTACTTGAATTTTGAACCTAAATATCATGAGAATTGAATTTAGCCTTATTATAAACAAGTAATTATTTTCCTGAAAAATTCTACCTCTGCCAATGGCTGGTTGTAGCCTAGAGTTAAGCTGCTCTCTAGATCCTTGGAACAGTAAGATATATAGTTGTATCATTATATTTCTAATAATACTGCTTTCTGTTTTTGGTGCCTGGTGCAGTGTAAAATATGGCAAAAATTAGCATGATTTAGACTTTGGATTATTGGCTTTTAAGTGGCATTTTGGGAAGTTAATCTTGGGACATTTGAAGAATTTGTGGTGCTACTATATGAAGAAAAAAGGTGGTAAGAATAGAGAAAGTCTTGTTGTGTATAGTTGCTATTTGCTCGACTAGTTGCTCTTGTCCAAGATGATTTCTTTGAGGTGGTAGCTTCCTATAAAAGACTACATGATGCCTAGTATTTCCCGGAGAGGGTAGACTGTAGGATGCAGACGAGTTGGTATAGAAGGACCTGAATGGTACTGGTGAAGTTCTGGAGTTTGTTTATCTGCAGAAGGTTTTATATCCACTGGCGTTTAGTGAAAATGGTTTGAGTACATAGACACCCATGCTGCAAACTGAAAGGGATACCCAGAACAAATCCACAAAATATGGTATAGGAGTTGACAGTGAAATGATTTAATTGATCAAGTCCATCAAGATGCACTCATATAGGAGCACTAGTGCTTTACTAGTACTCTAAAGGTTTCCTGAAAGACAAAATGAGCTGCTACTATAGGCGCGCTTATATTGGTATTAGTTCTTGCAATTGTGCAGTTCTGGAGTATGGATGTGTGTAATATGTCACCAACTTGGTCAAAATATGGGCATCTGGATGAAACTGTCAATTGTTTAATCAAACTGTTTATGATCTGAATTTGTAGGACAATTACAAAGCTATACTCTCTGGGTTTGAACTTTTAAGTGGTCTTGTATGTAGAACATGCCCTAGGATTTTCTATAGGTTTATCAATCTCATTTGGCCTTAATCGTGGTCCTAATTCATCAAGTAGAGTTGGAACTGGGAAGTTAGACATTTGAGATCTGTGGTTGACTGGTTGTAGGTTTGTCGTGTTAGAAATTGGCATTACACTCATAATCTCATGGGGTTCTTTGTCCATTTTTCCTCGATACCACCCTGTCACGAGGGAATAAATGACACATCCATTTTATTCGCTTGCTATTCTCCATATGTGATCCCCCCCGCCCTCTCCCTCCCTGGTGATATAGCTGCTTGAGAAACACTGTATTACTGTAATAATTATCCCATTGCTTCTTATTCTAAAATTGTTAGGGAGGTTTGCTGTGTTTGCCTGTTATAATTGTTTTTCTTCTGAATTTTAATCATGTGAGAATATTGATTATGAAAATTTTAACATCATGACTTCTACAGTGTCGAAATGGGCATACACTTTGTTCCACCTGTAAAACACGTGTACAAAATCGATGTCCAACCTGTCGGCAAGAACTTGGGGATATAAGATGTCTAGCATTGGAAAAAGTTGCTGAATCGCTTGAGCTTCCTTGCAAATATTTTTCACTTGGTTGCCCGGAGATATTTCCCTACTACAGCAAAGTTAAACATGAAACCATATGTAACTTCAGGCCATACAATTGTCCGTATGCTGGATCAGAGTGTTCTGTTACTGGGGATATACCTTATCTGGTGGCTCATTTGAGGGATGATCACAAGGTCGACATGCATTCTGGATGTACATTCAATCATCGTTATGTGAAGTCTAATCCACGCGAGGTGGAAAATGCTACATGGATGCTAACTGTAAGTTAATTTAGCCACCATCAGCATGATGCATCACCATTATCAATAATCAACATTACACCATGACCTTCTCCCTCCTGCCCCTCTCTCTCATCCCACTAAAATATTAATGGTGGAGTTTGCTTTTGGTTTGATTTCTTGAAGCCAGGTTGAGAACATAGGGCACACCTTAAATGCATATAAGCTTTTCATAGGTATTGCTTGGACTACAATGTAAATAACATGTTTCCCTCTTCCCTTTCCTAGGTGTTCCACTGTTTTGGTCAGTATTTCTGCCTCCATTTCGAAGCTTTTCAACTTGGCATGGCTCCTGTTTATATGGCTTTTCTTCGGTTCATGGGGGATGAGATGGAAGCTAGAAATTATAGCTACAGCCTTGAAGTTGGGGGCTATGGCCGCAAAATCACATGGGAGGGAACCCCTAGAAGTGTTAGAGACAGCCACAGAAAAGTTAGGGACAGCCACGATGGTCTTATAATACAAAGAAACATGGCACTTTTCTTCTCTGGAGGAGACCGCAAGGAACTGAAGTTGCGGGTCACTGGGCGCATATGGAAGGAGCAGCCGAACCCTGATGGTGGAGCCTGCATTCCCAATCTGTGTAGCTAATAGTTGGTTTCTCTCTTGCCTGCTGACCCCTTCTATCTACTCTTCTCTTCAGGATTGTAATTTGGTTAACCAAGTATATATAGACGTGCTGTACAATTACTGATGTGGAATGAGTGCATGCTAGATGTAGCCGATTTGCAAGATTGTTTTAACCAATTCACTTTCGCCATTGAAAATGGCTAATAATTTTACTGTGTCTGTCTTGCACTTTGTGACTTGTTGGATCATGTTGTCAAGAGCTTCGTGCTTCCAAGATTGTGCCCGACTCGCCAACTAACTTCTTGCTTTGCATAAATGAGGTTCTTATAGCTTGTTTTATGTGGATGTCCATGATTACGCTGTCTTTTCAGCCAAGCTATTCATTTCCGTTACTATTCTTTATTTTCATTTTTGATTATTAACACTATCATTATCGATTCTCTAGGAAAGCAGTTACTGGAAGACAATTCTTGTATACTCTAACATTAAACACAAATTGTCGTTTGTCGATTAATAAAATTGAAGAATTAAGGTTGAAAACTTCACGTCCAATGTTCTTTTCAATTTCAAATGTCATAAAACCCTACTAAAAATAAAATATTTTGATAGCTCCTCTTATTGTAATGCAAAAAGCTAGCTCAAGGGGAGGAGAGCTCATTATCCAGTATAAACACCAACAAGGCTTTGCGCTAGGCTGCCTAGCCCCGGGCGAACACTGCAATGCCGGCATCACCTCTTCAACCATAGGCTTTGCGCTAGGCAGGAACCCCCTAGCCCCGGGCGAACACTGCAATTCCGACGTCACCTTCATTATATTGGACAACAAGAGCCATCCCCCAAAGCTAGCTCGAGGAGAGGACAACGTATTGTCTTATCTAAAACCCAACATTAACCCTCCCTAAGACCAATGTGGGACATCCATAGCAATTTAACATTCTACAATAGGACTTAAGCCAGGGTTTAAGCCAAATTCCTCTCTTCAACTCTTTCTCTTTCTCTCTGTCTATCCATGTAATCTTCAGCTTCTCTTTCAATGGAGATTCTTACGTCTTCATTTCTACCCAAACCCCAATTTTCTTCCTCAATCTCATTTCTCTGTCCTTCATCTTCACTCAGGACTCTCACCAAGAAAACCCCTTATAAATTCCGCAAAACCCATCTCAAATCTTTCCCAAACCCGCCATTTTCGACTAATTTACCACTCCAAAATACCAAAAAATTTCACATTTCTGCTCGTTTTGGTAGACCCACGAAGCGCAGGAACTCTCTGAGGAAGAAGCTCACTGGTGATGATGGTGGCAACTCACAGGTGCGTCAAAACCCTCAAAAAATTATTGACCCAGCCCATAATTTAGTTGATAATCAAGTTTCTGATTTAAAATTAAGTAGTGATGGATTGGAAAGAACAATTGATTCTGAAATTAGTAATTTGGGGAATTCTAGGGAATTTGGGGAATCTGTTTTGTGGAATAAATTGGAGGGTTGGGTTGATCAGTATAAGAAAGATATTGAGTTTTGGGGAATTGGGTCTAGTCCAATTTTCACTGTTTTTCAAGATGGTAATGGTAAAGTTGAGCGAGTTTTGGTTGATGAGGATGAGATTTTGAAGAGGAGTGGAGTAGAACCATTGTATTTTAGGAAGGAAAGTGAGTTAGAAGATTTTGATGAAGTGAAAACAAAGATTTCATATGCTAAACTTTTAGCTAAAGAAGTAGAGGGTGGGAAGAATGTAATCCCAAGGAATAGTTCTGTTGCTAAATTTGTAGTTTCTGGTGAAGAATCAGGTTTTGTTAGTAGAATTAGGAGTGTAATTGTCCAACCAAAGTCGATAACAAAGGTTTCAAGGGTTGGGATTGCTGTGGTTTGTGGTTTTGTCTTTGTTTGGATGATCAAAAGGTTGCTTACTTTGGGAGGAAAGGAGGAGGAAATTTCGAGTTTTGAGAAGGAAATGTTGAGGAGAAAGATGAAGTCGAGAATGGAGAAAGAGAAGGTGAAGAAGGGTAGTGTGGAAGTCTTGGAAGGGCCAGCTGACACGCCTACTGTGCTCACTGAAAGGCCTCGTCTTGACAAGGATGAGGTGTTGAATAGAATTAGGGAGGCAAAAGGGTTAACTAACGGTCTGGTTGCCCTTGATGTTACAGGTGCTCCAAAGATGGCTTCTGTTGATGTGGATGTTAGGATTCAGGAGATACAGATGATGGCAAGACATGCACGGGAGATTGAGAGAGGAGAAGGCTCTGCAAGCGAAGGGGGTGAATTGGATGGACAATTACCAAATGAGGAGCATTTGGTGGAGAAAGACACTGTTGAAGTACCCGAGAATTCAATTTGGACTGATGAAGCAGAGATACAAGCTTCAAATGTACTGCCATACATCAGTGAAGACGCTCTTGAAGAACATGCTGGTGGTGACATGAGTAACCTTTTAAGTAAATTTTTTGCTGAAATAAGTACGCTAAACGGAATTCCAGGGATGGAAATATCAGGCACCCCCCAAGAAATGCAGAGCGATGATTCCAAATCCACCAGTGAAGATGTATACGAGGGTATTGAGGATGTGGAGCCTCATAATAATTCAAACGGAATGATTATAGGTGACACAAAAAGCCATATAAGTAGTCCTTTTCAGAGCCATGATATTTCTGATTTATCAAACGTAACCGAAGGGAGTCAGTCTTTCATTTCTAGGAGCCAACTTCATCTACCAAAAAAAACACCTGTGAGAAGGAAGCCAAAAATCATACGCTCGGTAAAAGAAGCTAGGGAATATCTCTTGCAGAAAAATGATAAAAGATCTGAAGCTAGTGATATTCCTACCACAGCTGCTTCTAAAGACGAGGGAATGGACAATAGTTACAGCAAGAGGCTGGAAGAGGATGGCGAGGCATTGAAGACTTTTGATGCAGACAAGAAATTCGATACCATCCCAGCCCCAAAAGTTATGTATGACTCTGCAAAAGGAAATGAAGTTTTTGCAACTGATATTGATGGAGTAAAGCTAGAGACAGAAAGTATATTGAATCAGAACAAAGCTTTTGATCCACCAAGTGTTAAAATCTCAGGTACTGACACTATTAGTGATTCATGTGGAAGATTAGACCTTATGCCTGGTGAAAATGATATTTGTGATGATAGTCAGGAAGCAAATAAGCCCCTTTTAACTGAACAAAGTTTGGAAAAAGTAGAAACAGGTGTTATGCCTAAGCCTACTGATTTAAGTAAAATTTCAGACCCTGCTTCTGGCCAAAATGCATCTCATAATGGTAGTAAATTTACAGAGGCAGCAGGTGTTCGTCATAAAAGTGCTCTTCATGATGCCAATCTGCAGGAAAAGGTGTATTTGTCTAATGACAATGGTAATTTCAATCTTAATGAAGTCAATGAAACACGGAATTCCTCTAAACCTAGCGAGATAATTGTCCCTGCTGGTGTTGGAAATTATCTAAATGGTTCTAGTTCTGGTTCTGTGAAAGAAGAAGTTCAACTAGGAGGGATAAACAATGAAAATGATTACAGGAAGAATCATGAGACTGCTGAAACGTTACTAGGTTCTGGAAGTAGTTTAGAATCAGTAGATGACAGGGAGGAAGCTTTGTTTGCTGATAAAGAGAACTGGTTAGAAAAGAATTTTCATGAAGTAGAGCCCATTGTGAAGAAAATAGGCAGTGGATTCAGGGAAAATTACAATGTTGCTAGAGAGAAAAATAACCAGGAGGATACAGAATTGGACCTAATGACACTTGGGTGTATAACAGATAACACAGAACTAGAGTGGATGCAGGATGATAAACTGAAAGAGATTGTTTTCAAAGTTCGAGAAAATGAGTTGGCTGGACGGGATCCGTTCCATTCTATGGATCCTGAAGATAAAGTTGCGTTTTATGCTGGCCTAGAAAGTAAAGTTGAAAAGGAGAATCAGAAGTTAGCAGCTCTGCATGATTGGCTACATTCAAACATTGAAAATATTGACTATGGAGCAGGTACTATATTCTTCAACCTAGCTATCAATTTATCATGGAGCCACTTCCACAGCTTTACTAATGCTATTTGTATTCTAGTACAGAGTAACTTTTGTCAGTAGTCTATTTACTCAATGATATGATTCAAGCTTGGGTTTATTTTCACATAGAAGTTAGGTCAAATAATCACATTTTGACTTGCTGTGTTATCTTAATTGCAATATTGGGTAGTTTGTGTCTGAATTTGGATGCAAGCTCACATTCTCACAATTTTTGCAGATGGTATCAGCTTATATGATCCTCCGGAAAAGGTTATACCTAAATGGAAAGGTCCACCACTGGATACAATTTCTGACTTTCTGAATAATAGCAGAAGTCAACAGCAGGTGACATCATCTCTTCAAACGGAAAATGAATCTAAATACATGGATAGTGTTGAGGCTTCCCAGAAAGCTTCTCCCTCAAAGTCATTACCTAGAGAAAAAGGTGCTAAAGTTTCAAAGACTGTAATTGAGGCAAGTGATGGCTCAGTTAAACCTGGCAAAAAGTCTGGGAAAGAGTATTGGAAGCACACAAAGAAATGGTCTCGTGGATTTGTGGAATCCTATAATGCAGAAACTGATCCAGAAGTGAAATCTGTCATGAAGGATATAGGGAAGGATTTGGATAGGTGGATTACTAAGGAAGAAATTCAAGATGCAGCTGATTTGATGGATAAAATTCCTCAGAAAGGCAAGGAGATCATAGAGAAAAAATTAAGCAAACTAAGGAGAGAAATGGAAATGTTTGGACCACAAGCTGTAGTAAGCAAGTATCGTGAATATGCTGAAGAGAAGGAAGAAGATTACCTGTGGTGGTTAGATCTTCCTCATTTGCTGGTATACAGTTTTAATCCTCTTTTTTTTTTTTTCATGCGAAATTACTCCTGCATTTCCTTTATCAGAAAATTGGTTTCTCAAGGAGTCGTTACACACCCTTTAATTTTGGAATCTAAACCATTCCTCGCTATTGTCTATGATGATATTTGTGATTCTTTTTTTTTATTGCATTTGTTATTTGCTGATGTTTTAAGAAGTGCTCTGGAATCGTACAGTCGGTTTGCTTATCCCCACTGAGAAATCAATTATTTTTGCTGCTTGCAGTGCATTGAAATGTATACTTATGAAGGTGAAGACCAAAGGGTTGGGTTTTACTCATTAGAAATGGGTGTGGATCTTGAGCTCGAACCAAAGCCGCGTCATGTAATTGCCTTTGAAGACCCTAGTGATTGCAAGAATTTTTGTTATATAATTCAAGCTCATTTGGAGATGCTTGGCAAGGGAAAAGCATTCATTGTTCCACAACCTCCCAAGGTAATTGTCTTGGTGTTTCTTATCTCTTCCTCAAGTCTTCTTTACCCCTTTTGCAGGTGCTTTTATGTTTTTCAACCTCTCTTAAGGTCATATATTTGTGTGCATTGGGGACTTAGGATTGGAGGGATAAGCATTTTGATAGTGTGTTTGACCTGTTTGTGTGTGTGTGTGTTTAGGGGGGGTGGGGTATTATCACATTTGTTATATTAGCTTTATTTTAATATTGTTAGTCAATTTTGCTACCTTCACAGGATGTTTTTCGGCAAGCCAAAGTAAATGGCTTTGATGTCACTGTAATTAGGAAAGGGGAAATAAAGCTCAATGTGGATCAACATCTCGAAGAGGTCGAGGAATTGATTGTTGAGATTGGAAGCAAAATGTACCATGATAAGATCATGCGAGAGCGCTCTGTTGACATAAGCTCGCTGATGAAGGGCGTCTTAGGCGTTAGTCCACCCACCAAGAGGTAACATTCAGATTTCCTTTTATCAGCTTGTATGATCAACTATGAAAATTCCCGAAATTTCCTTTAATAGTCTATTTACATGCTGCAATTTCATGTAACTGAACGACTTGATGATCCAGAAAAAGAAAGAAGCGAGCTCGGAAGAGACCCAGCAAAAAATGAACACTAGTCTTTCAAAAGTTACATCAGCTAATTATTTCTAAATCAGGTATCATCAGCTTGAATATTCAGTTCCTTCCAGTACTTCTGTCACAATTGCATTTCCTTTTCGGCTTTACTTACCACTCTTTCCTTTTACTTTTTCTTTTTCTTCTTTTTAAATTTTCAGGGTCAGCATTCTGAATTAAATATGGAGAATCGAAGATACATCATTATTTGTAAAGTAAAAGTCCTCCAGAATAACACCATCATCAGTTGTTCTAAGGAATCATCCGGCGCAAAGATACAAGACCAGTCTCACTACGACTACTCGGTTCGACTTGTAAACAACCAGGTGCCTATCATGAGATCGAGTAGCATTAGATTGAAGTCTGCCAACGAGGAGACAACATAATGTCTCAAACAACAGCTTGGATGAAGATTGCCCACCAAATTAATCAGCTCAAGTATTGCCCTTGTATGATGTGAGGATATTCTTTCCTTATTTGTATAGATAAACTTGCAAATTTGCAATCATTGTCAATTATACCAGTTTGGAAATTCCGATCAAATCTTGTTGCATATTAACTACATTAACTCATTAAAAATTTCATATTTTACATTACAACACATTCATTGCAGAACTTAGTTCCCAACAGAAAGGAAAAAAAAAAAAAAATCTACAGTACATAATTTTGCTGATCTCCTAGACAAAAACTGAATCATCATCCTAGAATTACAACACACAAAATTCCTTCTTTTTTACACTTGTTACTAATCTTGAATTCGAAAAAAAGGCCGAAAATAAGGTGAAAGATTGGAATGGAATTGGGATCGATCAGCAATTATAGCCAAGAACAGACCCATCTGAAACCTGAATTGAAACCCTGCACTTAGCTCCTTTTTCAACATGATGTGCAAACACCTTCAACACTTTGACACTTCCCACTAACTTCATCCTCGTCTCCAGCTCCATTATCTGCCCGGAACCAGGAACAGGCCCGGATCCTGCGTTTCCGACATTGGGCGGGAGTTGGAAAGACTTGACATCAAATGTAGCAGACATGAACTGAGTTCTGCCAGCAGCTATACTTCCTGCAGGGATGTACATGAATCCAAGGGGTCCTGCAGAGGAGGAGAAGAGCTGCAGGGAGCTGTCATAGTGAGAGAAGGAGTAGCGGTTCGGGTTCCGAACCGCCACGTATTGGAAGAAGGTGAAGTTGGCAGTGCCATTGACGAGAGTAAAAGATGGGAATTTCATGGTGTGAACTGAGATTTGTGGGTTTTGTGGGCGGAAGAGAATGAAGCAAGTTATTACAGCTGCGATTGTAAGAAGGATCAAGAAAGAAGTTGCTAAAAAGCAAGATGCTAAGGTTGAGCTTGATTTTTTCGGCCTTGGGTGATGGTGGTAGGGGTAAGGGTACGGTGGTGGTGGTTCTTCGTATGATGGTGGTTGTTGCGGTGGTGGTTGAGGGTATTGTGGTGGTTGTTGCGGCGGCGGTTGGTATGGTGGTAGCTGCTGAGGTGATGGTTGGTATTGTGGTGGTGGTGGTGGTGGTTGGCGTAGGTCAGCTGGGGGCTTCGGTTGCTGTTGGGGTAGTTGTCGTGGTGATTGTTGTGGCGGTTGTCGTGGCGAAGGTGATTGTTGAGGAGGTTGGCGTGGTGATGGTGGTTGTTGCGGTGGCTGGCGTGGTTGTTGGGGTGGTTGGCGTGGCAGAGGTGGTGGAGGTTGGCGTGGTTGTTGTGGAAGTTGCCGAGGGTGAGATGGTGGGGGGCACATTTGTGGGGGGGGGGGGGGGGGAAGTGAGAGTGGGAGAGAAAAGTGGGGAGAAAGAGTGAGGAAATTGAAGTGTGATTTGATTTCTTTAGCTAAAACTAAGTGTCTTTGTTTTTTTGCTAAGTGCTAACAAGGTAGCTAGAGTCAGAAATGGAGCCCACATGGTGAATGATGAGGATGATCAATATGGTGTACACGTGGCATCTTGCTATTTGCTTGATGGAAATTGGAAAACATGTCCATGTTACTTTTCCCTTTACTATTTTTGTTAGGAAAACTTTTTTATTTTGGAATAGTGGGTTGATTTTGATTTGAACCTCAATAGTGGCCTAGTGGGTTAGACACTTTGATAATTTGTGAATTGTGAGGATTGTCACTTGTTCAAATAAAGGTTGCAATAATGCCTTGTTCTAGCTTGGTTTGAGTCAAGTCCATTCATGTTCGAGTACAAGTCGAAATTTCGAGCTATTCAAAATAAATCCCATCAATATCTAGTCCAGTCAATGTTCATCGTTTTAAGTTTTCCATGATGAACCATATTGCTCCTAATCAAAGGGGTCTAACTGAATTCGTAGGCCCGACCCCTAACCAGTTATCTCCAAACTAAAACAAGCTTGGAGGGGGAGGGGGGGGGGGTAAAATTTGGGAGAGACGAAGCATAGAAAAGTGATAGAGATATGTACATAACTGCCTCCCAACAAACTTATCCATCTCAGTTTGAGACTAGAAACATATCAATTGTGACAAACAGACAATACGTGATTCACAAAAGACCAGCAATTACAAGCATAAATATCTTATTACATCTAAATATCTGATACGTCCCTTGCATTGTTAGGGAGAGAGACAAGCCTTTGAGTAACCCAAAAGTATGGCACAAATCAGAGCATTTTAAGGATTTTTAAGACTAAATTCACTGTAACTCTTATTCTATATCATTAGTGATTAATACTGATTCATTCTCTTCTGAATTCATTCAAATTCTTGCATTTTAAATATCTTTGTTCTACATATGACTTCAAAACCCCAACAACTTTGTCAAAATATGGGCCCATCTTTTACTGCAAAAACAAGACTAGCCTTCATTCATCTTGCTAGTACACAATAATTGATGTTTGGAAATCACGACAAGATTTTTGCCAACGAGTACGCAATACTCCCACCTGAGAGTACACTCAAGCCACACAATCAAAGATACAAACTCATACACAAATCTTGTTAGATTCATCTAAATACAACTAGCAGTATGAGATGAAATACGATCTGATAGAAGAAATGGTGTGGGAAACACTGAACAGGATAAAGATTACCCCCTTAGCATGAAAACCTTCATCAAAACTAGCTGAGAGGGTTGCCAAGCTTCGGCGAAATCGGAACTGACTCGATGAGAATTAAAGAATGTACTTCAACTGAGGGTAGCCTAGAAAAGAAAAAGATACTATCTATCAACCCCTATTATTAAATCTGTGCATACTTTTTATGTACCTAACATTATGCACATGTATGTACCACTATCAACTACCCCGAAATCTCGTCAAGGCGACGATCCATGATGTCGGACACAGTTTCGAGGAAACCTGCTTCACTTGTGCAGGGGAGTGCTGAGTCCAGTGCTTCTTGGACAATTTCCTCAAGCACCGACTCCTTGTTAATGTTCACCCTGCACATGATGCTACCAATTTCATATGGAGTTAACCCAAGCTCCACCCCTTTCTTCAACAGCATGGTAGAGATGCGAAGAGTGCGGGCACTGTCAACGGGCAGATCCCATCCATAATACTTGAGGAGAGCAATGTCTTCTTCGGCATCCAAAGACCTAATGTACTCGACAGTCTCAGCAGAGAATGGTTGCTTAGCTTGTGGCCAGTAGAGCCATTCAAATGTGCAGTCTTCAAACTGTAATAGTCCCAGATAAATTTGGTATTAGATATGATTTTATCCTACAGAAGATATGCTGCAAATGACAGGGATCCTAATAACACAATTAACTCAGATAACAAGCAAATACTCAGAAGAAATCCCTAACTATAATACATAAAGCAGAGTTCATACATGAGACAACTAGCCTGTTTCAATTCAAAACCTCTGTTCAAAAGTTGAAACCAAATGATATGATAAATCATCTGCTAAACTCAAGCAGTTATGACCAAATTCAGAGCTCCAGCTAATGCATCTTTCAAGCAGATCAAATTTTGGCCACATTGGCAAGGCACCGATATCCTTAAACTAAACACGATTATCAGCATCAAATCAAGGAGATTTTACATCTGCCATTGCTGGACAGCAATCATCCAAGCATCCGAGAGAAAACACAAAGCCAGAACTCACAGTCAATCAATTTGCTTTCTATACATAAAACTCTACTTAACACTTCAAACAAAATGAATAAAATGTAGGCAATCAATAAAATGTAGGCCTAGAAGATGATAATAAGCTTAAGTGCAGGCAATCAATAAAATGTAGTCTAATGAACTAAACCATTTAAATTCCCTATCAAGCACCATTCATGACAGTAAGCAATGAAGCTAACACATATTTAAAACATAGTACTAAATAAAGTGTTAACAGGAAGAATGCGATGGCACTTACATAATCCGGCAAGCAGTATCCGTGATCGATGGGAATCAGGACAGTCTGACCAGTCTCCTTGTCCTTGCTATACAATATATTCCCAGCATGTCTGTCTGCATTAGCCAGCCTTATATCAAGCACGGAGATTTTGTGCACCTCTCCCACAGGAAAAGAACCAGGACCGATATCCTCACAGCTTCCATCGTTCTTAACGAATTTCTGCAAGGATCCCATCTTAGGAGTTAAGCCATCAGGGTTATTGAATCCACTATGCAAGCATTTCACCAAACCTGTAGGAGGAACCCCAGCAAATCCCAGTGCTTCTCCTGAGAAATTGCGTCTGCCATTCAATGGATGATCCAAGAGGTAAGCTGCTACCTCCCTAAACGCCCCTTTCCCGACTTGAGTGCCCCTTTTCAGCCCTTCACCATCAAGGGTCCCAGGTATACCATGAGGGTTGTTCCTCGCCTTAGGCTCCTCATCAACGGGCTTGAACACAGATACATACTCTAACCCAGTCAAATCCTGCATAAGATAAACCCCTCCAGAACCTTCAGCTGACCTGATTGGAGTATTCCCACTATCTAATCCCTCATAAGTCATCTTCATAACATCCAATATCGCTGATGGTATTTCAGCTTTCTGATTGACAACCACTGGCTCGAAAACAAAGTCTTTTTCACGGAGATAACTTGATGTCAATACTGAATCGACCGGCTTAACCTCATACGCTTGCCTCTTAACCAACCCCGTTGCTTCCACAGAAAGCTCATCAATGTTCTTGGCAACACGCTTCGCCCTAATCTTAGCAGACTTCCTTACAAGCAAATGAATCACAGCATCATTTTGCTTGCAAATGTCATCAACTAATTGCTGATCCTTAAGTGGCTCTCCTTCATAAACAATCTCCTGATCATCCTCCTCAACTAAACCTTTCGCCCTCTTAGCTATCTGTTTCTTAACATACCCAACATCCCGGTATCGCCCGACATCGAAAGTCCACTCCTTCCCGGATTCTGTCTTAACCTTAACAGTCTGAAGGTCAGAAAGCCTAAGCACTAAGTGAAGAACATTTCCATTAGCAACTCCATAGTCGCGAACTAACGAATTACTCCTAGATAATTCCCTCCCTCCACAAACCAATTTCTGGGATTTGGCAACAAACCCTTTGAAGCTTTGAATCTTCATTTTCACAGACTCAATCGAGTCCGATTCAAACACACGCAACGGTATCATATTCCCAGAAACACTCAAGAAAACCATTATAGATTCATCCAAATTCAAATCAAAAGCATTGTGGAAAAATCGCGGCGAAATCACAGGATCATCCGCCCTAATTCTACTAACTGCAATCCCAGCCGACGACATTTTCCCTTCTGGTTATGAAATTCAATCGAATTTCAAGAATCTAAACTATATATATACAGAAAACTAATCGAAAATAATTAAACACTAAAGATTCATAACCCCCAACAAATTTTCTGTATCTACAGTGTTATAAGAACATAGATACAAAAAAAAAAAAAAAAAAAAAAAAAGAAACGGAGAGAATCACACTTACAAAAACCCCCAAACGTATCAAAAAACCAGCATCAGTACAGCAGAAATCGGGAAATCAGAATCCCAAAAAAGGAGTAACGAAATCAGAAATTGAAAATTTAAAAAGCAGGAAGATCAATCAATCATTGAATGAAAGAGGAAGGAATCGCAATTAATCGATGAAGTTTCGATGAAAAGGAGGTATTAATCGAAGAAATTGCGAAAAAGAAGAAAAGTAGAATTTGGGGAAAATGCAACGGGTAGGAAGGATACGTCAGTGATGAGAAGGATGATATATACGCGTAGTCGTAGCTAACTAATATTCGTAACGTTGACACTTTTTTTTATTAAAAAATAATAAAATAAAATATTTATAATTATTTTATGAGTGGTTGTTTTTGGGAAAATTATGGAATGACACGTTAATGGGAAGCTCTGATTGGTTAAAGCTTGTGGAGCCACGGCATTTTATTGGCAACGGTGAGTTTTTTTTTTTGGGTTGTTTCCCATTTTTTGTATTTTTATTAAAAAGAAAAATAAAGGAGATTTGTATTTATTTTTGTCTTGGGCCATAAGAAATGCTGGAAAGGTGAGATTTTCTGTAATTAATTCAACCGTCTTTTAATACGGGATTATTTTTTAATTATTTAACTTCAAAGTAATTAATTTGAAATTTTAAGAAAAAGGAAATTATACTTTTGTATAGTACATGTACTTGATTAAGATAATTAGTGAGCAAAAGGACGTTAGGTTTTAACTTTTAGCACAAGTGGCTAATTGTTTGTTTGGCTTAAGTTGTGTCCGATTTCTTTGAGTTGAGTCGTGTTTGGTATTGAAGTCTTTTGAATTGGGTCGATTCTCTTTATAGTTTATTGCTAGTCGAAAACGGATATCTACAATATTTATGTACGGAGGAACTCTTTCATTAGTTCGTCTATTACTCCAAACCACGTATAAGACGTGTAATAATGTACCGAAGATGTTTTTTTTTTCAAAAGAAATAATATCAACTCTTATTTTATATAAAAGGGTTGAATTAAATTTGTGTACCAAGTATCACATACAAGAGTACTAAGTATCTTCATGTGAAAGCTGAACAATGTATCAAAGCCAAGAAAAATAGAAAATCTATAATCAAATAAAAGGCAGTACAATTATAGTGTAGTTGAACAATAATCAAAAGAGAAAATATAATCTTTACTTAAAAAATAATTAAGAAATGTTCTTCACCGAAGATTATGGGTTAATTGCACGTTGTGTCGTTTGTTGAAGACTTGTAGCACACCAAAGAAATGGACAAAAAATATCTAAGTCAGATTAAATCTCAAGAAATGAAGAGATCCAACTTGGTACATCAGTCCAAATGTCAAATTTCATTTCATTGACTATATGCCTTTGTTAATAAACATTTCAAGCTTTCAACGTCAATTTTAGGTACTCAACTAATGACAGAACTCCCTTCTAACAAGTTGCCTTAGGCAGAGTTTTCTCTACCACATAATTGGGTATATCTTAAATGTCGTACAGCCTGCAATACAGGAGGCGATGAACGTGTACGTCACAGTTGGGTGGAGCGTATCTATGTAAGTATATCCAAGTTTACTTTGTCTATAACACTAGCTAGCTGCAGAAATGAAAACGATGTATTTTAGCTTTACAAGGTATGGTAACAGCAAATAAGGTTGTACAGCAGTGAACTCGCCGTGCTCAAGATTGGAAGCATTCAATGATCAGGGACTCAAAACTCCTGAATTTATTTCAGGATGTGCAGTATGAGATACAAATAACGGAATAACCACAGCTACAGAAGTACAATAAGACCAAATGATGACTGATTGACTGACAGACTGAATTTGCGATCATGTACTAGTAATTGTGCTGTCAAGATTTGAAAATACTCAGATAACTAATAACTGCGAGGTTGCTTATGAAAAGTTTGTGAATGTTACCATACAAAAGTTCCATTTACATTGAAGCAGTATGTAGATGCTATGGAGTATGATTTTCACACCTCATAGCATATAACGCATCCGTGCAGTATGCACATCATCTGCTAGACTGCTACAAATCTGGCCATTACTCCATTAGTCCAGTGCGCAAATGGATCAACACCATTGCTCATACAGTCATGAAAGCTATCTTACCAGTACATCTAACCCCTGCATTTATGCAGAGATTCTATTCCCCTACGAGCTTCAACTAAACAATAAACACGCAGCTTCTTTGAATCATGTCAAAGGAAAGAACTTGTGTCTATTCCTCCGGTCCCTTTCTCTCTAAGCATTCAGCTTCTTTGTTCATCACAAAGCTCGGAAAAGCAAGATTAACATCCCTGAAAGCACAAAGAATAGCTTATAAGTGCAAATGTGCAGAAATGCTGACAAAATACAGATACTAAAAAAGATATTGAAATTCAAAGAGCAAGTCAAATCAAATCCTCACATCAGATAGGGAAGAGTCATGTTAGTTAGCAGTTTGGGATTTTTCGCTACATATTCTTCCCACTCTTCCATGTCGATTTTCCCGTCACCTTTTAAATCTGTTTCTTTGAATGTCTGGTAACAAAGAAAGCAGCCATATTTGCCCAACCCAATCAATATTCATAGATTGAAAAATAACAAGAAAGCAATTCTAATTTTTAAGTCCATACCGTGTCAACAATGGCTTCAACGATATCACTTGAGAGATGCATGTCTGATTCCTGCAGAAGGGCCACCACCATTTCTTTCAACTGCACGAATGAAAGTAAAAAATTACTACTCCACACTTTTGCTCTATTGTAAATCATCTCCGAAGCAAAATCACTGCATCAAGGGCATTAAATTACTACTGCCAAAACAAAACAGTTAACTTTGAACAAACCTTAATAAACAAAATTAGCTTCACTGAAACCTAAATATATACTCAACCTTTACTTTAGATTCCTATATATAAATGAACAGTTGAACAAATGAACAATATAACTTACAGACTCTTTCTCATGAAATTTTTATTTATAATTCAAACAAGTTAAAACAGCATAAATTATACATCTGACTAGACCATATTCTGTTTCTTGTTCGTGTTGACATGCTGATAAGTCGTTTCCTCACTTTTCACAGGTCACATAATTTGTTTTGATGATTTCACAGTGTTCTGCAGCTAATAATGTGGATACATGTAATCATATTGTAGCTTTGAGTCATCAGGTTTATTGATCATGGCCTTTCACCCTGGATTAGGGCAGATTTTAATCCCATTTAAATTATTGAAAGGGGAGCATGAAGTCTTTTCATGCAAGCTAGAAGATTAATGGTGTTATGACTTTAATTCTTTGTGCTAAGCGAAATGGATACCACCACTCAGATACCACAAGGCCAGGGTAAGGCAATGTACATTTGATGCAAGGATAGTAATGGCATTTAGGATATATATAGAAGTAAATTATGCACTTACTTCTTCATGTTCAATATAGCCAGTTCCTCTTAGGTCATACAACCGAAATGCATCTGCCAGGAAGCTTTTCATTAGCAGGAAACAATTGGCAAAACTAGCCAGGAAGCTTTTCATTAGCAGGAAACAATTGGCAAAACTAGTTATTTAGCTATCTAGGAACTTCAGGCTTAAATATAAGGTATCGCTTACACTTCATTTTATCTTTGTCAGGAGTGCTAGGGTGAAAGACACTCAATGATTGAACAAACTCTCCAAACTCAATGCAGCCATTTTGGTTGACATCAAAGAGATCAAACATCTGCAAGTATGCAACCGAGTTAGTAAGGCTGGGGCAAATGGCCGGGATACAGTCAGTAAAACCGGGAAGTGCATATAACAAAAACAGTTGTGAATCAGTAATTTGTCAGCATATACAAGGCCCTAGATAGTAATAAAATCCACCATATATATCAGTCCAGCTTCCAAAACGAAACGTGAAACCTAGCAATCAGTGATTCAGATCATACACTGATATTCCCACAGTTCAAATTGCTAAAAGGTTGTCCAGTTTTCTGAATTCTGAAGTAATATAACTTCAGATTTCATACTTAATAAATACTGCTCAACTTATCTTGTAAGGCAAAAAATACTTCAGTATTATGTAAACTGAAGGAAAAAGAACAAGTGAACAACTATAGATCGGAAATTTTTGCATGAAATATGGGACATCAGCATCTAACAACAAAAAGGAAACACATACTCTGTCCAGAAAAAGGCTTCTCTTCATACTATTCTTAAATAATGCAAGTTGAAGTTCTTCCTGATCATCATAATTGATAATTGTATTAGCTTAAAGAAACAATAAAACAATAGTAACTTAGATATATCAATAATATAATACATAACAACTCTTCATTTGCTACCATATAAAACAGATTAAGTATCACTTATACATCAAGGATATTTATATACCTTTTGAATAAAACCATCTTTGACAACAGAGTTGCTGAGTTTATTGAATAAGTCAAATAAAAGATCCACTTCATCCACAGTAACTGCAACAAAAAACAATCAATAAATTATCAAATTATAAATATTTATTTTCTCTAAAATAGTTAGGTAATTTTGGGCATAGCTTCTTTAAAAAAAAAAATACCGAAAAAGAAGCATGTAACATTACTTTTGTGAAAGAAAAAGAAAAATCTTTCAAAAAATATGGAGTAATAAGATCATATTTTGTTCAGTCACACTCACACACCTTCATGGTTGTTTGTTTAAACATACAAAGAAAATAATGAAGTTAAAAGCAAAATAATTATTGTTTCATAGATTATGAATTTATGACAAGCACAAAAAGTTCCATTTGTACTGTACAAATCAATGGTATTTCAGGGTTCATTTGAGCATTCAAATACGAGTAATAGACTAATAACCTTTTATTGTACCGTGCACATTGTACAACCGGTTGCACGATAGAAATCTTGGCTATTGAGGACTAGCCATCCCATTTTATTATATCATCCAAACCATAGAAACAAATCCTTGATATGCAATAAATCCCAAATTAAGAAATTATGGTAACAAAGTTCAAGCATTCAAAAAAAAAAAAAAAATCAAATCTCATACACATTCATTTGACATATCTTATATTAAATTACAAATCAATAAATTGAAAGAGAAAAAAGATAGAATACTCACAAACAGTATCTGCCGCAAGGAGAGAGAAATTATCAGACGAAGACAATTTCATTTCGTCTTTTGAATTCCCACAACCCATTTTTAATTTTTAGTTTAAACAACAACGATCTTCTGAATAAAACCCAAAACTCAGAAGAAAAATTATGAACACAGAAACTAAACAGCTGCTCAATTAAAAATGCGAAGTTATGTAAGTATAAAATGTAGAAAACAAAAAGGAGTGAAGAGACAATAAAATTGCGCCATATATGATTATTCACACTAACTTTGATAGAGACCGTCAAAAAAAAATGTTGGCAGCTGAAAAGGTTGACTTTTTAGTTGTCACTTGGAAATCTTGATATGTATCAAATCAAGGGCAATTTATGAGAAGTCGAGAGCGTTTTTTGCAAGAAAACACTTGACTACTTGACAGATGCATAACCTGTTAAGGTTGTGTTATTACTGTTATCCGTTTTTCATATATCCACATGCGTGCCCACCCGCTTATACACATAAACAACTTAGGTTAACCAATACAAGTATTCTTAAAGTGTTTAGCTCGTAAATTTGGTCGGGTTGACCTGTGAGACATTTATTCGATAGGACAGTTTATCCTACCTAAAAAAAATGTGTGAAGTACGTATTTGATTATACCAAATTGGATTAGATAATTTTGTGAAAAATAGCAACAAACATTGCAACTCATACATTTAATCATTATTATTCAAATTACAATACCAATCAAATTACACCAGCAACCATCATCTCAACAATTATATTGAGATGATCTACTTTTTACAAAAAATGTATACTGATACAAATGTTCAAGGAAGCAACTAATGAATCCTAGCTTCTTCAGTACTTATTATGATATCACCGTGAAGTGATTAGTAGTTGTATGCCAATTGCCAAGACTTGTTTAGCATTAGCAGCCAGACATTCATACCGAAGAAGATTTCATTCAGAAGCAACTTAAGTTTATCATATCGGAACCAAACAACCCTGGCAACAAAAACAAGCCACTACAATACCTAGAAGAGCTCCAGCAAAGACCTGTGATGGAGTATGGCCAAGAAGTTCTTTGAGCTTCTTTTCGCTGATGGGATGCCCTTGGAATAAATCCTCAATGATCTTGTTCAGAACCTAGTCGAATGAATCCCATAGAGAACCAATATATTAGCAATTTTACATAGGTTAACTGAGGTGCCAACAAATACAAAAACTACGGAGTATCAAAATAGGTCAAGAATTTTGACAGAGGAAATGAATGCATCATTAGAAACTTAAACTGCAGTTCGAATTGAAGACTTGAGAAAGATCAAATCAGATCACATGCATATTAAATACGAGTACATCATTTAAGCTTATAACACCTTTCAGTTAATCAGTTAATCTATCACTTTCAGTAGAGTTCGTCATACACACCATAAAGGTTAACTAGATGCATCATAAACAACCAATTCATCACTTTAAACTAAAGCATTTGGCCTTACATTACACCAAGTAGTTGGCCTTAAATCCCCGTTGAGGCAACTGAAATTTTCGTAATTTGTGAGCTAGCCTCAATTGAGCACAGAAGTGCAACCTGTTATGATGTTAATCATGCAATCGCTTTGTGTATAAAGGAACATTGCAGAGCCATGAATATAATACGTAGAATTTAAACTGGAATATGGGATGACGAAAACAATTCAAAGCAAACTAGCAAAGAGAGCTACAGAAATTTGTATGTTGTCAAATAATAATAAGAAGAAAAATAAGTTTGAGAACAACAATGTATGCACACCGGTGGTCCTATGCACTGCTTAAAAAATACTTTGTAATTACTACATGTACATTCAATAACAATACGAGTACGATGAGAAAGGAAATAAATGCAAGTTTGGTAGAGCAAGGTCATATTATTCCTTAATACTGAACATTCAATGATACTCAGGATATGTCATATTCCTATCATGAAATGAGAAAAAAGTTGAATCCAATGATCATGCCCTTAATTATGGGAGATTATAGCAATTTGACAACTAATTCATGAACCAAGTATAACTAACAGTCATACACAGGAGACAGGACAACCAGGACTTAGTGAAAAGCTCTACAGTGTTGATGTGCGTTTGGTTGTGATCTCACCTACGAGTAATCATTTATAGGTACACACAAGTGAATGATAGATTTATCATATTAACTACGAGTCTATGACTAGTGACTAGTACCATAGCAAACCATTGTGTCATAGGATGTAAATTTGATAACATAGTGCAACAATATTACATACCTATTTATTTCTAGGTACATCCACGTGTATGATAAATAAATAGCCCGGAACGTATTAACTAACAATCTACAACTAGTGGTCTAGTGGTACTAGTAGAACAAACCAAATATGGATAATGGTTTAAACATATTACCTGAGCTTGCATACCAGCATGTCTCCTAACTCCAGCAGCATCATACATAACAATAAGACTAAACCCCAAACAAACTGGAAACAAAGCATCAGCAACACCATGACAAAGCGCAACAGAAGTAGTCATAGCAGTACACAAAGCAGAGTGAGAAGACGGCATTCCACCTGAAGCACAAAACATCCTCATATTCCATCTTCTTTCCACATAAAAATTCAGCAATACCTTTGTAGATTGCGCCAAAAACCACGCCAATAATCCACTAACAAACGTTGGATTCGCGGCTAGTGTTGCGATAAAGGGGCTAAATCTGTCCCTAGCAGTGGATTGCACGGATAATAGAGCCATCCCAACTCCTCCATTGTGCAAAAATTGTGTCTTTTCGTTATTAAACCTAGTAATTTCATCAATTGCTGGGTCTTTTAAGTATGAAACCCAGTTAATTTTTGCTGTGAAATTCTTTATACTTTGTAAAATTGGAACTAATAATGAAAAGGGGTTTAAGGGTGTTGAATGATTGAAGCTATTATGAGGAGGGTCATTAAATGGAAGTTTACATGATATACAAATTGCTCTCTTTTGGGGTTTTGCCCTGAATATTGATGAAGAAAACAATGAAATTGCTCTTTGATATGGGTTGTTTTTGGGATTAAAAAGCTTTTGATTAAAAGATGAAGGTATAGAGGGTTTTATCGCAGTAGATTTCATGAGAAAAAACTGCAAAAAAAGCTTCAATCTTTTATCCTATTTTCTGGGTTTCACTTAGTTTCAGAGTTCATCGAGAAAGAACTGAAAACGAGAGGTATTGAGAGGGAGGAAAAAAAACAGAACAAGTGTGAGGAGAAGAATTGAGCTAATTGGTAGCTGAAATTAAAGGAATTTGTTTGTTTGTAAAAGCTTAGGATTTGAGAAACTTGAGCCATAAAAAGGGGCAATTATTTAGACTTTTGTATGTTTGTGTAACATGGGATCATTTTTTGCACCATAAAGATTATAGGAATATGCTAGATTACACCAAAAACTTTTCACGTTTCTCAAATCTTAGATTGAGATTGAATTGGAGTCTTTTGGAAACATGTAGAAAGGCCAATTTTCAATACATTTTTGGAAGAGAAGGCCTTGTAAATTGTAATAGTTTCAGGATGGCAACGGGTCAGACTTGGAGCGAATTATGCTAAATTCGACTCCGACACAACCGGAAGTCCGACTCCAATTTCAATATCCAACCTCCAACTCCGATCCGATCCGACTCCGAGTTTTTTTTCTTTATTTAATATACTTTGAGAAATTGGGCTATTTGGGCCTTACAACCCACACCCAAATGCCACCATGGCGCACACAAAAATCCACTATCTATTGGAGTCGGAGTCTGTTTTTTTTTCTCGGATTTTTTTAAGGATCCGACTCTGACTCGGAGTCGGATAATTTTAATGGAGTCGAACTCGGATTACTTTTTTCTCGGACTCGGAGCAGATTTTTTTACCTCGGATCGGGGCGGAGTAAGGTCAGATCCTGACTGGATTTCCATCCCTAGTCCCAAGTTGGCAAAATTGTTGCCTTGCTGATATTGGCCCAAAGCGAATGGTTGGCTTCACTTATCCAACTCACGAGTTTTAAATAAGCATATTTTCAAATTTATAATACATGTTGTAGGTATTCAGTCGAGTTAATTTTATCTATATGAATGAAATCTAAATTAATTAGAGTACGACAGAGTGAGTAGTTTGAAATTTGTCTATCTCAAGTAGTTTGCTTTCAATTTGATTGGTAATTCAATATAATAGCATGTCAGTGAGGTGGTGATGACATCAAATACGGTAACATGTGGGTAATGCTATAAAAAATAGTAACATGCCCCCGTTATAAGATTAACCCGATTCAATCAAGTTTCATCACAAGAGAACGCAAAAAGGTTCGGTTGTGTCAAATCTATTCATAATACGCTTTAAATAAAAACTTGGATCTTGATACTTGCTTCATATATACTTGTCATAAATAGGTTTCCACGTGTCACCTTTTTCAAGTGACATGTTAGTAATATGCGCCACATGTCATTATAAACATAACATGTCACTTTGCTTATAACAAGACTTGAACTCAAGACCAACAAGTCTTAAGTTAAGAGTCTAACCATCTTAACCATTTCTTAAATTTGTTTTTTTATCCAACAAAATTATAGTTGACTTACATAAGTTAATTTGTGTCTTTATTATACTATCTGTTTCCATTATGTAATGATTGAGTTTGACAAATAAAAAATATTTATAGCAAGACTTAAACTCGAAACGAACAAGTCTTACTATCCAAACAGTCGAATTTGATTAGCAAATTAAACAAGTACAAACTAATAACCCGGGGCATTGCCCGAACCACACACTAGTTTTTTTTGTTTTTTTTTGAAGAAGAAAACGGTTAGTGCATTAATTCATTGAGAGAGTATCCAAAAGTACATACGGGGCAACCTCGTCCGGAACAAGATAGTCCCAACATTGTTCAAAACCCAACGGCACTAACCTAGCTAGGTGATGGACAATTAAATTCCTATCACGCTTAACATGAGACCATATAATAGAAGTAAAGCAAGAGCTTAAGGATATAATATCCTCTAAAATACAATCCACATCAGAAAATAAGAAAGCACTCTTCTTTAGCTTGGACACGAGCTGCAAGGAGTCAGACTCAAGAATTATATTGTCAAAACCACGTTCCTTTGCCTTTTTAAGACCAAACAGAGCAGCCTTACACTCAGCAATTAAAACATCCCATCTCGCTTTGACTCTACGAACAGCCGAGAAAAGCACCTGTCCACTGTGATCACGAGCAATGGCCCCAAAACCCACCCATCCTGCCTCATCAATAGATGCATCAACATTAAGTTTAATAGCATTAGGAGGAGGTGGAGTCCATACCATTCTTCCTGCCGGAGTTTGTGGTTGCAAGATTCCACCATAAATCTTCTCCGTGTACTCACCAAAATCACAAACAAGTCTGCTATGGCGGAGAAGCAAGGCAACATCGGGCTCTAGATTATTCTCAAAGACCCATTTGTTTCGACGGTACCAAATAAACCAAGTGAGAAATAATCTCTTTTGATACATCTCCTTCTCGAGGTCCTTAGCCCATGCCATCAACACTTCACCAAAGGAACCAGACACACATAGCTCTAGAGCTTTCACGCAGCCACTGTTTACCCAGAGTTGCTGCACTCTTGGGCAAGTAATCACGACATGGATATTGGACTCAGTAGCCGAATTGCAACAGGGGCAGATGGAGTCATCAATTAAGTGCCTATTGTCACGACCCACACATTCCACCCTCACTAGGGCCATTGGACGGGAGGCAACAATCGTGGCCAGGGGGAATGCCCTTGGTGCACACTGACTAGGCCAGACACACCCTCCCCCTAAAGAGCTTTATATTGCTACTGTGCTGTCACCCTAGTGAACACCCAAGTGACAGTAACACAATAATGGGCTATTTAGGGACCCAAATGAAGTCCGATTGAACCCAAATTTGGGGGTCCACCATATTCAGACCCAATGAACACCATGGTGGTGTTAGATTTTGAAGGAGAAGTCCGGAAGGTTCCAGAATACTCAAGGAGACTCGAGATGCATCCGGAAGCTTCTAGAACCTCCTAGGACATCCTTGAATCATCTGTAAATCTAGAGTTAAGTAGATAATTCTAGAGCCTTGTATATAGAAGGAATGTACTAAAGAAATGTATAGAATACTCTAGAAAGAGTTAGATCTAGAACCCTCCATTTGAGGAGGTTAGGGAAGGTTCTAGGCCATGCTTGGAACCCTATAAATAGGGGACTTGGCCTTCATTTGGAGGCACCTCAGAAAAACTTGTAAACACTCTCTCTCTCAAGCTATCAAAGCATTCAAAATATTTATATCCTCTTGTGTTCTCAACTTTCCTTAGCTTTCGTTGCACATTCTTGCTTGAAGCGTTTCGGGGTTAAGCCTTGACTAGCATCCGAGGGAGGGAAGTTAGTAGGCTAGCGTGCACAAGACTAGGGGAATTAGTCAGCACGTGACAACGTGGTATCAGAGCAGCTACGGTCGCGGGGGACTATAGTGCTGTTAAGCTTTGTTAGCAAGTTGTGAGCGAAGGAGGGAGAATGGCAAAGAGCAAGGACGGTAAGGACGCTAGTGCTTCACAAGTAACCGAGGGCTATGCGCCTGAGGCTCTCATTCAAGCTGTCCAAAAGCTTGAGAAGCGAGTGAATAAAGTTGATGAGAGATCGGCCAAAGCCGAAGTTGCTGCTTGCGACATGACGGATTCTGTCGGCAAGGTCGAGAATGAAGTCATTACGCTCAAAGGGCAGTTAGGGGAACTAGACGATCGTCTAGAGGAGGTATCCCTTGATGCTCAATCACTCGCTGATCAGGCTTTTGAGAAGATGATGGGCGAGATGGCAAAAATGCGTGAGGAGTTCACGGGGGAACTCCTTGCTTTGAAGAAGGAGAACGAGCTCCTCAAGGAGGAACTCACATCACTAAAAAGGACCACGATGGCTGGGGGCGCCACCATTCAAGTCGGTCCTAAGGTGGAAATTCCCAAGCCTCCAAAGTATCATGGAAAGAGGGATGCTCGGGAAATTGACAACTTCCTATGGAGCATAGAGCGATACTTTGAGGCTGTGCACTTGGAGGAGGATGCCTCCAAGATTAATGCTGTCACTATGTATCTCGGAGATGATGCCATTCTGTGGTGGAGAAGGCGTGAACAAGACATCAAGAATGGTTCATGTTCCATCCGAACATGGGACCAATTCAAGGAAGATTTCAAGAAGCAATTCCGCCCGCATGACGCAGCCAAGGTCTCCATGATGAAGCTGCGTGAACTCAAGCATAGCAGCACCATCAAGGAGTACATCAAGCAATTTACAACCCTCGTGCTCGAAATTGATAATTTGCCGGAGCCTGCACAACTTTTATATTTTATTGGAGGGTTGCAACGATGGGCTCAACAAGAAGTAGAAAGGAGGAACGTTCAAACACTTGCTGAGGCCATCGCGGCTGCAGAGTCCTTGGTTGATTACAGGGACACAAGGAAGGAAGGGCGTAGCAACGGCAGCAAGGGAAAAGGTGGGGGAGCCAAGCCCACTGATCGAAGCAGCACCAATAGCAACAAGACGGTGAAAAAGGATAAGGCAAAGGGATCATCGTCGTCTTCTTCATCATATGACAAGCCCAACAACAGGGGTTGTTATTTGTGCGGAGGGCCGCACTGGGCAAGGGATTGCCCTGGGAGACAGAAGCTCAGCGCCATCATAGCTTCGGGCGGTGAATCGTCGGGGGACGATGCACAAATGGGGTCGTTGCGCCTCTTTAGTAGCGTACGGGCCACCCCAAAAGCTGAGGAGAGCACCAAAGTGGTCCAGGTAAGCACGTTACCTCGCCCGAAGGGCTCACTTATGTTTGTTGATACATTAGTGAATGGGAGAGCTTCTAAGGCACTCGTGGACTGTGGTGCCTCACACAACTTCATTACGGAGAAGGAAGCAATGAAGTTGGGAATCAAGTACACCAAGGAACCGGGGAGGATCAAGACGGTTAACACCTCGCCCGTTCCTATCCTTGGTGTGGCGCATAAGGTGCCTATTTGTCTGGGACAATGGAGTGGCACCATAAATCTCACAGTCGTGCATATGGACGACTTCTCTTTGGTGTTGGGACTTGAGTTCATCGACACAGTAAGGCCCGTTTCTTTTGAAGCGGACGGGTCAATTATGATCAAAAGGGATCAAGGGTCATGGTCCGTTCCTGTCACACGAGAAGAGGTTGAAGCCAAGACAATCTCAGCAATCCAGGTGTCCAGGGGGATCAAAAAGGGACAAGAGACTTTCTTGGCTGCATTAGTGGAGGAAGAGGAGCCCCATGGGAATGAGGTTCCACCAGAAATCTCCGGAGTCCTTGAAGAGTATAAGGATGTGATGCCTCCGGAGTTACCAAAGAGACTACCTCCTAGAAGGGAGGTGGATCATGAGATTGAGCTGGAGCCAGGGACCAAGCCTCCAGCCATGGCACCATACCGTATGGCCCCACCAGAGCTCGAGGAATTAAGGAAGCAATTGAAGGAGCTGCTGGAAGCAGGGTTCATTAGGCCCTCAAAGGCACCATTTGGAGCACCAGTCCTATTTCAGCGCAAGCATGATGGGAGCTTGCGAATGTGCATCGACTATCGGGCTCTCAACAAGATCACTGTCAAGAACAAGTATCCAATCCCGTTAGTCGCCGATCTGTTCGATCGACTCGGCAAAGCACGATACTTCTCCAAGCTGGACCTACGATCGGGGTATTGGCAGGTGCGCATCGCCGAAGGGGACGAGGCGAAGACGGCATGCGTGACCAGGTATGGTTCTTATGAGTTCTTGGTGATGCCTTTTGGACTCACCAACGCCCCTGCTACTTTCTGCACCTTAATGAATAAGATTTTTCGGCCTTTCCTTGATAAATTTGTAGTCGTCTATCTCGACGATATCGTCGTGTATAGCGACAACTTACAAGATCATGTGGAGCACTTGAGACAAGTGTTCCAGGTCTTACGAGAGAACGAGCTTTATGTGAAGCAAGAGAAGTGCTCGTTCGGACAGGAGAAGGTGTCATTCCTGGGACACCATATTAGAGCCGGAAAGATAATGATGGAGCATGACAAGGTGCAAGCCATCAGGGAATGGGAGGAGCCCAAGAACGTGTCGGAACTACGTTCTTTCCTTGGGCTCGCCAACTACTACAGGCGGTTCATCATGAGCTACTCAGCACGGGCAGCGCCATTGACTGACTTGCTAAAGAAGAAGGCACAATGGTGTTGGAGCGACAAATGTCAAGAGGCCTTTGATGACCTGAAAGATGCCGTCACCAAAGAGCCCGTATTAGCACTACCCGACTACTCAAAGCCATTCGAGCTACACACTGATGCCTCAGATTTTGCTATCGGAGGAGTTCTCATGCAAGAAGGGCATCCAGTGGCTTATGAGTCACGTAAGCTCAATGACACTGAGAGGAGATATCCAGTGCATGATAAGGAGATGACAGCTATCATTCATTGCTTGCGTGTCTGGAGACATTATTTGCTTGGAAGTCGGTTCACCATCTATACAGACAATGTTGCAACAAGTTACTTCCAAAATCAAAAGAAGCTAAGCCCCAAGCAAGCTCGATGGCAAGACTTCCTAGCTGATTTTGACTACGCTATGGAGTATAAGCCAGGGAAGGTGAATGTAGTTGCTGATGCTCTAAGCCGCAAGGCAATCTTTGCTAGCGTGAGTAGCATAGCTAGCACCCTCCTTGATCGAATCAAGGACGGCTTAAAGGAGGATTCTATGGCCAAGAGTTTGATGGACTTGGCTAACGAAGGAAAGACCCGACGCTTCTGGATAGAGGATGGGATACTCTACACCGTCGGACGTCGCACCTATGTGCCTAAGTGGGACAACCTTAGGCGGGACATCATGAAGGAGTGTCATGATTCATTATGGGCTGGTCACCCTGGGATACAGCGGACAATGGCGCTCTTAGAGGAGGTATACTACTGGCCTCACATGCGGGACGATGTAGAGGCCTATGTGAAGACTTGTCTTGTGTGCCAACAAGACAAGGTAGAGCAGCGTGTGCCAGCAGGACTCTTGGAGCCCTTGCCCATACCAGAGAAACCATGGGAAAGCGTCTCAATGGATTTCATATCTGCCTTGCCCAAGTCAGAGGGGTTTGGCTCTATCATGGTAGTAGTTGATCGCTTTTCCAAGTATGGGACTTTTATACCGGCACATAAGGATTGCACAGGGGAGCAAGCCGCCAAGTTATTCTTCAAGAATGTGGTCAAGTACTGGGGCTTGCCAAAGAGCATCATCAGTGACCGAGATCCAAGGTTCACCGCCAAATTTTGGACGGAGCTTTTTAAGTTGCTAGGGTCCGGTCTACATTTCTCCACAAGCTTCCACCCGCAGACGGATGGGCAGACAGAACGAGTGAACGCTTTGTTGGAGCTCTATTTGAGGCACTTTGTGAGTGCCAACCAACGAGATTGGGCAAAACTCCTAGACATTGCCCAATTCTCCTTTAATCTGCAGCGGTCCGAGGCAACCCAGCAAAGCCCCTTTGAGATAGTCATGGGACAACAACCCTTGACTCCACAAGCAGTTGTATCGGGCTACACGGGTAGCAGTCCCGCTGCCTACAGATTAGCTAAGGGATGGCACGAGCAGCTCGACATCACCAAGGCTTACTTAAATAGGGCCGCTAAGAAGATGAAGAAGTGGGCCGACAAAAACAGGCGCCCATTAGAATTTCAAGAAGGCGACCTAGTCATGGTGAAGCTCTTGCCACACCAATTCAAAGTCTTCCGCAAGGTGCATAAGGGGCTAGTGCGGAAGTATGAAGGGCCATTCCCGATCATTAGGAAGGTCGGGAAAGTTTCCTATAAGCTTGAGCTACCTCCCAAGCTGAGAATACATCCGGTGTTCCATGTTAGCATGTTGAAGCCCTACCATGCCGATCTAGAAGATCAGACCAGGGGAAAGTCACAACGGGCACCTACGGCCGTGGTAGCATCATTTGAAAGGGACATCGAGAGCATTGAGGCAAAGAGAGTCATAAGGCGTCGAGGTGTGCCAAGCTACAATGAATACTTTGTTCGTTGGAAGGGTCTCCCGGACAGCGAGGCCACATGGGAAAAAGAAGAAGATCTATGGCAATTTGCGGACAAGATCGAGGCATTCGAGTCGGGATCTTGACGAGGGCGTCAAGACTTGGGTGGGGGAGCATGTCACGACCCACACATTCCACCCTCACTAGGGCCATTGGACGGGAGGCAACAATCGTGGCCAGGGGGAATGCCCTTGGTGCACACTGACTAGGCCAGACACACCCTCCCCCTAAAGAGCTTTATATTGCTACTGTGCTGTCACCCTAGTGAACACCCAAGTGACAGTAACACAATAATGGGCTATTTAGGGACCCAAATGAAGTCCGATTGAACCCAAATTTGGGGGTCCACCATATTCAGACCCAATGAACACCATGGTGGTGTTAGATTTTGAAGGAGAAGTCCGGAAGGTTCCAGAATACTCAAGGAGACTCGAGATGCATCCGGAAGCTTCTAGAACCTCCTAGGACATCCTTGAATCATCTGTAAATCTAGAGTTAAGTAGATAATTCTAGAGCCTTGTATATAGAAGGAATGTACTAAAGAAATGTATAGAATACTCTAGAAAGAGTTAGATCTAGAACCCTCCATTTGAGGAGGTTAGGGAAGGTTCTAGGCCATGCTTGGAACCCTATAAATAGGGGACTTGGCCTTCATTTGGAGGCACCTCAGAAAAACTTGTAAACACTCTCTCTCTCAAGCTATCAAAGCATTCAAAATATTTATATCCTCTTGTGTTCTCAACTTTCCTTAGCTTTCGTTGCACATTCTTGCTTGAAGCGTTTCGGGGTTAAGCCTTGACTAGCATCCGAGGGAGGGAAGTTAGTAGGCTAGCGTGCACAAGACTAGGGGAATTAGTCAGCACGTGACACTATGCTCCAATAATTCACGTGTAGGCAAGGAGTTCGAACAACACCTCCATAAAAAATGCCGGACCTTGGGAGTAACATCAACTTTCCAAAGTTCAACCCAGAATTGCTCAAAGCCATCCAAATTCAAGGACTTCCCTAAAAGATAAGCTGATTTTACCTCGTAACAACCGCTTTTAGACCAAGCCCATATGAGAGTATCCTCCGGAAGGCGCTCACCAAGCCCATAGCAAGAACAACTACTTTATCACGATCATTAAATGTCCTCTCAAGAGCATCAAGCTTCCAACAACAACTATTCACATCAATCAGCTCTGCAACCATATTACAACCATCATCTATTCTCGCCGAGGTAGCAAATCGGCTCTCATCATCTATTAACCAAGGATCGGACCAAATATTAATTCTATTACCATTTCCTACCCTCCAAAACATTCCCTCCTTAACAAGGGCCTTAGAACTCCATAAGCTCTGCCACGAATAACTAGAAATCGGTCCCAACGCTGCCTCAAAAATAGAAGAGTGAGGGAAGTATTTTGCTTTGAACACACGACTGACAAGGGAATGCTCATTTGTAGCAAGCCTCCACACTTGCTTACCTAGGAGGCATCATTGAAGACTCCCAGATCTCGAAACCCCATGCCTCCCAAGAACTTAGGTTGACATAAAGCCTCCCAACTCCTCCAATGGATTTTCCTACCTTTGTCATTTGAACCCCACCAAAATCTAGCCATCATGCCATGAATCTCTTGAATCAAACCCGAAGGGAATTTATACACCCCCATGAGGTATGTAGGAATAGCTTGAATAACCGACTTGAGAAGAACCTCCTTCCCTGCTCTCGATAGAAGCTTCTCTTCCCACCCTTGCAACTTTTTCCATATACGATCCTTAATGTAAGCAAAAACCGCTTTCTTCGATCTTCCTATGACAGTTGGAAAACCAAGGTATTTTTCATGATTCTCAACCATTTCCATACCAAGAATAGGGAGTAAAAGTGATCTTGGACGGTAAAGGAACCTCTTTACTAAAAGACACCTCCGATTTCTCCAGATTCAAATCACACACTAGTTTGAAATTTTGAATCACTAAAAGAACCTCTTTCCCTAAGAAGATGAAGGTTGTGCCAACTGCCAAGATTCAAATTTATGGGCCCATGAACACCAATTCACATTCAAATGATCCAAACCTTATTACTGTATAAACGTTCCCAAGCACACAAAATATAGCCGTTCCAACATCCTTACACTAAAAAGTGGGTCCATTAAAACAACAAATAAAAATTTATAAAAACAAACCAAAAATGAAAAATAACAGCCAACCCAAACGCAATCTTACTTTTTTTTGAAACATTTTTTGCATCACCTTTTATTTTTCCTATTTTTCATTTTTATTCTCTCTCTTCTCTTATAATCTTTTCTCAGCGTCTTCCTTCATTTCTTCTTTTCTCCCCATTTTCTCATTCAAATTCAAAAATTCCCAGATCTCTCAATTTTTGAAAAACCCTAACCCTAAAATTCAATCTCACATCGATCTTAATCGGTGCTTTGATTTCCAGTAATGGAGAACTTGATTTCTCTTGTTAACAAGATTCAGAGAGCTTGTACTGCTCTCGGCGATCATGGTGATGAAAGCGCTCTTCCTACTCTTTGGGATTCTCTTCCCGCCATCGCTGTCGTCGGAGGTCAGGTATTGCTCAGATCTTCGATTCTTCTCAGATCCTACTTCTTATTTGCTTTCATTTTGTTTTGCTTTTCGTAATTAGGGTTATCTTTTTTTAAATCGTTGATTGTTAGAGATGGAGATTTTTTGATTTGATGTTTGTTCGATTTGTAGTTTGGAGTAGCTTCCTGTGTTCGTATTATGATAGGATGTTAGCTTTTTTAATTGATTTGTGATTTGGATTGATGCCATTTTTTTATAGATTTAGTGTTTTAAGCTATGGCATTGATGCTTATCCATCACCGACATTGACATTGACACTTGGCGGTTCAACATTTTTACAGAAATTTGCTCTGTGTACCTTATATTGATGAAATTCCCCAAGTATAAGAACTGTTTTTTTTTTAATTTTTTTTTTATTTTAATTTTAATGAAAGAAAAGCAATTTGAATAGTTTGTATTTCATGAATCATTGTGGTTTCCCACTAAAGCGGAGTCGGTGATTGTGTTTTTCGATTTAAATATATAAATTAGGGTAATCAAACTGTTGACAAACCAAAATGAAGAGAATGGTGATCATGTAAGGTCGAAAGTGCTGGGAGTATTCTACTTTGGATGCTTCAAAAGTTTAGCTTGTTGGTAAAGTTTATATTTTAAGAGCTGTTTACTTCTTGATAATCACTTAGTGATTCTCTTGGATGTGCTTTGTGTGTATCACTCTGGTTGGAGATGATGCTCGATATAGGGCTTGGTTTTATGGAATAAGAGAAATGTGGATACTATGAGAATTATATGCTTAGATTGTATGTTTATATTGTTGATTCCAAGAATAGGTAGCTTTTAGAGTGATGATGAAGTATTGATCATCTCTAGGTGAATTGAGTGTGATGGACGGAGAGTGATGCACTAGGTCGAAATTTAGTATACTGTCTTGCTCTTCTTCATATCGTACAGTATGTTCTTACCCCTGGGATGTTTTGATGATTTGTAGAGTTCGGGGAAGTCGTCAGTTTTGGAAAGCATTGTTGGCAAGGACTTTTTGCCTCGTGGATCTGGTAAAGATCTTTTTCTGGATACTTTGGTTCTTTTGTAATTAATTTTTCCTTAACTATTTCATATTTTAATTTGTTTGGCTGTAATTAATGCTAATGTTTTATGCAGGTATTGTTACTAGGCGTCCTCTTGTTCTACAGTTACACAGGGTTGAAGAAAATAGAGAATGGGCAGAATTTATGCACCTTCCAAGGAAACGAATCACGGATTTTGGTATGTTATTTTTTCATAGACGGTCACTGATTTGATTTTTTTTTTGGTTCATGTTATCTTTTCTATTTAAAGTTTCAATGTAAACCTTGGATAATGCCTCTTCAGCTGCTGTGCGGAAGGAGATAGCGGATGAGACTGATAGAGAGACTGGGCGCAGTAAAGCAATCTCTAGTGTTCCTATTCATCTAAGCATATACTCCCCCAATGGTAAGACATATCTTTTTTTTTTCTTTTTTTTTTTTTGGCCGCTTGAATTTCCTTTTCCTTCACATATAAAGGAGTAATTACACGTGTAAGGTTAATCGCGTGCCAGAAGATTTTTTATTTTATTTTTTAAAAATGCCGTTGACAATTTTTTGTTTGCATGAATAACCTTATTTTATGCTTATCGTTTATTTTGCATGTATACTCTTTATGGTATGCCCATTAAAAGTTGACTTTATATAAATCTGCTAGTTTATCAAAAGAAATTACCTTAAACGATGATCACAATCAAAACTAGTGACGAAGCCACTTTGGTTATACTTTGCAAGGTATCCTCTAATAATTTGAGATAATTGGGAAGCAGGTTTTTTTTAGCATATGAAGATAGAATTGCCCTTTATTTTATTTTTATTTCTTTGAGATGAAGGTAATAATAACACTAGTAGGAAAAATTTGTTATTCTACTACTTTGCTTAGTTGTACATATAAGTTAAGAAGCTCATGCAGTAAACACAACATTATAACGAAACTTTTTAGGTGGCTTGGTTGAATCCTTGAAACTTGAGAGCATTATTTTTCTGTTTCTCCTTTTTCTAAAATGGTTTGGGTATTCATGAACCTACATGTTCTCTTTGATTTTGGGTTTTTTAGGACTGATCTGAGCTATCATGTACAATGTAATTGACTGTGAAATAAGGAATGAGGATAATCAACGGCTGAACTAGTTACTAGTTTTAGTTTTTGGACGTTCTGGTTCATAGACAGGCTAAGTCTTGGTCCGGTTTTGCTAAATGCTATCTTTGCTTAGTAGTTGCCAATTAATTAGTATTACTGTTCTCTCTTGTTTTTGGCTTTCAATTAAGGGTAATGTTATATGTAGCCCTAAGGGCTATATATAAGCATTAAAATACTCTTGGAAATTGTATAAAATTAGGAATTCATGACAAAAGCACGCCTAAATCAGTGTTATTAGTGTTTATATTTTGATGATTTCTTAACATTTTACGATTTTCAAGTGTAAATTTAATGCTTATATGTAGCCCTAAAGGCTATGTATAACATTTTCCTTAAATTAATTTCTGTGCTGAATATCCAAGGGCTTCATTTCTCGTCTTGCTGCATGTTGTTGATTAATTTGTGTTATAATTTATAATAATTACCTATTTGAACTTCCTGTTGAAGGCAGTTTGTACTAATTACAATTTGGCTTATGGCAGTTGTTAATCTTACTCTGATTGATCTTCCCGGACTTACCAAAGTGGCTATTGGTGAGTTGTCCTCATTGAAGCACTTATCCTTATTTATGATCTTGTTGCTAATAATATGATGATGAGCTTTGTATATATTTTTGTTGTTTCATTGATTCAGATGGCCAACCTGAAAGCATTGTTCAAGATATTGAAAATATGGTTCGCTCCTTTATTGAGAAGGTAATATAAAAAGAAGCTGCACAATCTGTCGATTAATGTGTTTACAAGTTGTCTCCCCCTCAACCCCCCTCCCCCCCCCCCCCCCCAAAAAAAAAAAAAATCCACTTGGTGTTTCTTCATTTCCTATATATTGTGAGTTTATCAAAATATCTGATACATTGTCTTTGTTGCAGCCCAATTGTATTATTTTGGCAATTTCTCCCGCAAATCAAGATCTTGCTACTTCTGACGCAATTAAAATTTCTCGTGAAGTGGATCCCAAAGGTGAGATAATTCTGCTCTTTGTCCATCTAATGTGGTTTCATAATATATTGTGAAGCATATTGTTAGCTCTTGCTTGCCTGATTTCCATATACGGATTTTGAAGCCACTGTTGTATATAGGGATTTTGTTGAGAAGTTTTGGGTAGTGAGGAAATTATTGTTCCTGTCCAGGAAATAATGTCTTAGTATTGGTCCTTGGGTAAAAGTTTTTTGTATTTTTTACTTGAGGGTTGGTGGTAGTGGTTACTAGAAGTCTTCAACTGCAAGTTTCACAAGTTGTGTGGGTAGCAGTTGACATTTTGGGTAATTGTTTTGAGCTGAACATCTTCATCTACAAAAATGGTATACAAACTAATATTTTAACTTGTTGATACTGTGTTCTCATATGTTAGGAGAGAGGACTTTTGGAGTTTTGACGAAGGTTGATCTTATGGACAAAGGAACTGATGCGGTTGATGTAAGTACTTTCTATGTTAGGCTGATTGTTTAGTTGTAAACATTTATTAAATGGTTCTTATTTTGGAATAGAGTTTAATAAAGGCACTAAACTAATAATATTTCCTTAAGGAAGACAAATAATTGGAGACTTGAAGCCTGCATTTTTATTCCTTACTCAATATCCTTGATTTTCTAGATTTTGGAAGGCAAATCATACAAGTTGCAGTATCCATGGGTGGGTGTTGTAAATCGATCACAGGCTGATATCAATAAAAATGTCGATATGATTGTTGCTCGACGTAAAGAGCGAGAATTCTGGTCCAGTAGCCCAGAGTATAAGCATCTTGCTCATAGAATGGGTTCAGAGTTCTTAGCTAAGATGATGTCCAAGGTATGTTGATATTTCATGGATTTTACCTTTTAATATTCATTATTATCCACTTTTGTACCTAACCTGAAATTTCAAATCTTCCAGCATTTAGAAACTGTCATCAAATCCCGTATTCCTGGCCTCCAGTCTCTTATCAACAAAACTATTGTTGAACTAGAATCAGAGTTGAGTCGTCTTGGGAAGCCTGTTGCTACTGATGCTGGAGTAAGTATTTTAAAGCTTCATTTTCTTTGGTTTTCTTTTATGTACTCCAATCAACGTGATGAAAATTTATGTTCGATATTGTCAAAGATTTGGATAAATGAAGTGTCACGATATCATACACACATCATACTAAGACAGATTAATGCATTCTTATTTATTATATTTGGTTACTTTAGTGTTACAAACTTAATGCGATGAAAATAATGTTATCATATTTACCCCACCTACACGCACACACACACACACACCAAAAGTCACTGTAGAGTGTGACTGGAAGATGGGTCTCTAGATTCTCTTTGCTTGCTGCACTACCTTTTTACTACTAGTAGGAATGCTCATAACATTTATTGGTGCATTCATGACAAGGGGGACTTGTGCAGCATGTTGACTTCATCTAGAGACAATAGACTTTCCTGATGCTGGAAAGAAACTTTTTTAAAAAAAAAAATAGATATGGAGCGCCTGTATGTCCAAATCTGTCTGTTTCTGGCTTTCTTGGACAAGTTTACTGTATTCTAATCCTTACCTGAGTTTTGAGTTTGTTTATGCATAATAAATAAGGGGTCAAAGTAGTTTATTGATCATTATTTCTACTATCTTGTGCTCTTGCAGGGCAAGTTATACATGATCATGGAAATATGTCGAGGATTTGACCAGATATTTAAAGAACATCTTGATGGGGTGTATGTTACCTTAAACTCTTTCAATTGAATGTTTGGCATCTCATTAGATAGATAGATTTCAGTTTGGCTTGTCATTCAGTTCATCCTCCTTTTCTCCGTCATTGTCTTTAAGCTGCATTTGCTGTGGTTTTGCAGACGCCCAGGTGGTGACAGAATCTATGGCGTGTTTGATAATCAGCTTCCTGCTGCATTGAAAAGGTTGCAATTTGACAAGCAATTTTCCATGGAGAATGTGAGGAAATTAATCACAGAAGCTGATGGGTATCAACCTCATCTTATTGCTCCCGAGCAAGGTTATCGGCGACTTATTGAATCTTGTTTGGGTTCCATTAGAGGTCCTGCTGAGGCTGCAGTTGATGCGGTATGTTCTTAATATTATATATTGATAGAACACTTTAGGTTGGCCGGGGTCTTCTTGAAAACACCAGTTTTTAGAAGTTAGTATGTGTCTGTGTAATTTAGATATAGGAGTATGGGGTTTTTATTTATTTATTTTATTTTATTTTTTATGTAATTCGTCTGTTGTTCTTGGTGTAATAATTGAAATAGCAATTGAAACATATAACAGAGATGCAAGAAACTCAATTTTAGTCTTTTAATAGTTGAGTGGAGGGAGTTTAATTCACTTTTTGTTAAGGTACAGTCTTTAAGCCTTTTTTAAAAATTGTTGTGTTTAGTGTTTTCAATATGTGACCACAAGTGAAATAAACTGGTTATTCTTAACAATTACTCTCTCCTTCGGGGAGAGGGGGAGGGGTTATAAACTAAAAGTTGTCTTTGCATCTCTTTGGGGTACAAATTAATCCTTTTCTGTCTTCCTATGTTTATTATTGTTGACAGAATGCATTTTGTCTCTCTAGGTTCATGGAATATTGAAGGAGCTTGTTCACAAGGCTATCAGTGAAACTGCGGTAAGCTCATGGTGTTACATTTTTAGTTGCATATGGTTATGAAGCTCCATAAGGGAATGGCATAATGTAGAATATGTTCTATGTGTACTGAGCATTCTAGGTCTTATCTGTCCTCTATTTTATTTTTAAATTTTTAAATTTTTAATAAAAACATGTGTTACATTTATTATAGAAAAAGGACCGTGACTGAAGGCAATATATAATGAACGCTCTTTTTGAACTTTAGGAACTAAGACAATACCCCTCCCTACGAGTAGAAGTTGCAAATGCTGCTTCCGAGTCATTAGAGAGGATGCGAGATGAAAGCAAGAGAGCAACCTTACAGCTTGTTGATATGGAGTGTGGTTACCTCACTGTCGATTTTTTCCGGAAGCTTCCTCAAGATGTTGAGAAGGGTGGCAACCCAACACATTCAATTTTTGACCGTTACAATGATTCGTATCTCCGTCGGATTGGTAAGCAACATTACACTGTCTTTGTTTCTAACGATGCATGCAATTCATCTGTGAAGATGTTGATTTGTGGAAAGCCATTCTTTTTTTTTTTATTATTTTTTTTTTTTCTGAGTCTTGCAACAAGAGTACTGGTCTCAGTTAGCTAAGATTTAGATTCCTTACAATGTTACATTGGTAGTTGCCTAACATACTGACGATACTAATCTCTCAATTCTGATTTTCCTACAGGATCAACTGTCTTGTCATATGTCAACTTGGTTTGTGCTACATTGAGAAATTCCATTCCTAAATCAATTGTTTATTGTCAAGTACGTGATGCAAAGCGCAGCTTGCTTGATGTTTTCTTTACGGAGTTGGGTGGGAAAGAGGTTGGTGTTCTAGCCCCAATTGATATCTCTTCCTATCTTGTTGTCCTTCCTCCCCTCCCTTCCCCACTAAATTAAACCCTCGAAATGCTTTTTTTTGTTGGCAATCTAATCATCCTCGTGTTGCTTTCTCTCTGCAGGCAAAAGTATTAGGTAAGATGTTGGACGAGGATCCAGCAATTATGCAGAGGCGTACCAACTTAGGAAAGAGGTTGGAGTTGTATAGGACTGCGCAGTCAGAGATTGATGCTATTGCCTGGTCCAAGTAAGGGAGACATCTGAGCAGAATCGCTTTCTTTGTGCGTCCCAAATTGCTAGTTGTAGCAAAAATGTGATTCTTTGATTCATATAGAAATATACAGCATGGTTTTCTCATCCATGATTGAGGCCATTGTAGGGGACGACGAGTCACACCCAATTTTATTTCTACTAGCATGTGTATATGCTCTGATGGTTGTAATGTCTTATTCATCCTTGATGCTTGAACTTCTACAGAATTCTATGCAGTGAGGTGCCTCTTTTTTGTCGACGTCAAACCTTAACTAACCCTCATCCGACCCCCAACCCCCTATTGATGTGATTATGTGAATGTGCCCCATTTAATTTAAATGCGTCATTAATATAAATTAAGTCGCTTTTAAAGTTTAAATTCTGTATATAAATATATACAGGTGTAAAATGCTGGGATAAAAGTTAGGGAAGGGATGATTGAAAATGATATCAATTGCTACATAACACAGGTTGGTGTTCAAGCGTCTCAATCTATCTGCTGTACAAGTTATTGATTTATTTATAGTGGTTGACTACCACATTTGCTAAATATTGAGGTTCTGAAAATACTTCATTAGGTAGTAGATTTTTCTAATCCATTCCGACTTTATAAAAAAGTTGATAGTCGGAAACCTAAAAATTGAGATGGTTTTAACAAATTCTATACCATTAGGTAGGTTACGAGAAGATTAAGATGAAAGTAGAGTAGGATTGCTTTTAGAAGATGTGATTAATATATTGCGGACCATTAATATTAGAGATTTCATCAGTCTTCAAGACTGATGAATATATTGCGATTAATATATTGCGAACCACTAATATAAGTTGGCTTGAAGACTGATGAACCTATCCACACTATGATGTGATTAATACTATGTTGTGATTTTATTCTTTGGGCTCTAAGAATTTCTCTATCAAATTTCCAAATCTAAATTAAATATATGTACAACAACTATTCTCTATCTAAATTCCAATTTCTAAAGATTTCCTATAATTTATTGTTTGGACTATGAGGATTTCTCTATCAAAATTCCAAATCCAAATTAAATTTATGTACAACGACTATAAACGTATCGTATCAAAATTCTTAATAAATCGAAAAAATGAATTAGACCTCAATCACATGATAATGTCCCTGACCATTTAAAATTGTTTCGATCATTTTTCATCGTTATTTCAAATTTAATAACGAACTTATCAAAACAATCAAATCATTGAAAAAATAAACTCTTAGAAATAGTTTGCTACAAACAATAACTTTATTATGTACTTGTTAATTTTGAAGTATTCAGGATTCGGGGAAATTACGTTGTTAATAAAACTTTTTTTTTTCCTTTCTTTTTCTGAAAACCGATATTGTTAAGATTTAAATGCTCTAGTGGATGACTGAACCATCATACAGCAAATGTACAGAAATGGTTAGCTCACAGAATTGAAAATGACAGTAATTTATTAATATGAGGTTAAAACAAAGAACAAATAACAAGAGTGGGGGTGTAGCTCATATGGTAGAGCGCTCGCTTCGCATGCGAGAGGCACGGGGTTCGATTCCCCGCACCTCCAAATTTTATTTCATTTTTATCAATGTTTATATTCCTCAACACACTTGTCAACATATCATATAAATTAGTGTCAATATCCAATTCTACAACTTCTATCAAACCAAAGCTTTAAATATAAACTTTCCCAACCCCCCTTTTATAAATGCTAACAATATTACAAAGATGACAACTTTACTTTAGTAAGTCACAAGATACACACAAACACACAACTTATTTGTAGTCTATAAAGATAGGCCATAATCTTTGTTGCACCTTACCATTACTACTTTCTACACTTTTCTTCTTATCCTTATTTTGCTTCCAAAGAAGAGAGATTAATAATACAAAAGATTATGGAGGGTGCTCTTAGGAGGAAAAAAGGAGTGATAAAACCAATTAAGGTTAATAAAGGTATAATTAATTTGGAAGATTATGAAAAAGAAGAGCCATTAAGTCCATCTTCGGTCATATTTCATAAACCAAACTTTAATATACATATTTTAGCAATGATGGGTTGCAAAACTACCATTGATGTTGAGCTTTGTAAGTCCAAAACTCCCAATACTCTTCTCAAGCATCCTCGTTTCTCTAGCATTGTGGTAATTATTTACTTCTTCCCTTTTACATATGCTTTTTTCTTTTTAATGTATTCCTTTTAATATATGCTTGTATTTTGTGCAGTCTCCAACATATATGTTTGACCAATTATTATCTTCAACCACGTAATATATATTTTTTTGTTGCATGCATATTAGTAACAAATTATATACAAATCAACCCTTTTTATTTATTTATTTTTTTATGTAGTAAAATTACATGAATATTAAGTGAGTGGAACAAAAAATTAACGAGGTAGTATATATTTGTGAATCTGTTTAATGTGCATTAACAATAATATAAACATAAACATGCATGCATATACGATATATAACCATGCTTTATTAGTATCCTTACTAATAATAATAATAATAATAATAATAATAATAATAATAATATCAATAATAATAATAAATAAATAAATAAATAAATAAAAATAATAATAATAATAATAATAATAATAATATTAATAATAATAATAATAAATAAATAAATAAATAAATAAAATAATGAAAAAATCACGCATGCATAAAATGACAAATTAGGTTAAAGGGAGATATAAATGTTGCTTATGTGAGCAAATTAATCAAATAGTGACATTTAGCCAATATAGGGTGGTATAAATGCAAACAACCCAACCATAAAGTGACATATAAGGTTACATAAATGTTCTTTCTTTCTTTATTATTATTTCTTTTCTCTATATAGATCATTTAGATACTAGATTGAGTGGGGGAGATTTTTTTTATTTAAAAACAACAAATAAAAAGTTGTATCTCCAAAAAAATCCCCTTTTAATAATAATCCAATATTTGGAAGTAGGAATAAGTTTGTACGGTATCACAAGAATAATGACTTATGAAATAAGTAGGCTTTAATGATAAAGTATTATTTAGTTGCTCAATTATGATGTTTTGTTTACTTGAATAACTTTTCTTTGCCAATGTCTAATAAAAAGATAAACCAAGTTTACTTTTTCTTCATTTAATCACATGATAGATGTTGTAAACCCCAATATCCACCGAAGGATTAATTATGCTTTATGCTATATATTTGACCAATTGTGTTAATAGATGTTAGCTAGTCATTTTATCACATGATATATGTTTTTTTTTGATAAATGTTAGTCAAACAACATGATAGCTAATATTAGTCAAGAAACATATAATATGAAAAGTATATATTAACAAACCATTTAGTACATTATTGATTATTAATTAATTATATGTTGAATTGATAATCAATGAATTAATCTTATGTTTAATAATTTGCTTTCCTACAGGTAGGAGATTTAAGTAAAGGAGAAGAGTTGAAATGGGTGAGAACAGAAGTGGACTTAGACAAGCATTTTATAGTGCCAAAAATAGACCTTGAAAACATAGAATCACCTGAAAAATATCTTGAAGACTATGTTTATAACCTTAGCAAAACAACCTTAGACAAGTCTAGGCCACTTTGGGAAATCCATATCCTTCATCTTAAGCTCTCAGAAGATGTCAAGGGCATTGGAATATTCCGAATTCATCATTCACTTGGCGATGGAACTTCCCTCATATCTTTGATGTTAGCCTTAACGCGTAAGACCTCTGATCCAACGGCCTTGCCTACCATTCCTGCTCAAAAAACGTATGTTGATGATAACAAACATCCAAAGTTGTTCATTTGGAGATGGATTTTGGCCTTGTGGTGGATGTTAGTGTTGTCTTGGAACACCTTGATTGATGTGTTGATGTTTGTAGCAACCTCGATTTTTTTGAAGGACAAATCTCCTCTTAAGAGTAGTTCTAGAGGAAGTGTAGTGAATACCTCTAGGCGTTTTGTTTACAAGACGTTTAGCCTTGATGATATGAAATTCGTCAAGACTGCAATTGGTGGAGTAAGTTCATGTATTTCGCATTTGATCTTTTATTAATCGCGATTTTTGTCAAATTTGATTCATTAGATTCAACTAATATACATGAATTTTGTTGCATTGAATTATACAGACTGTCAATGATGTTGCACTAGGAATCACACAAGCTGGTTTATCTCGTTATCTTAACAGAAAATATGGTAAGCCTTTTGCTTTTACAACAAATTTTTTTAAGCTAGAAAGTTGTAGCTAAAGCATATTAATTGCTATGGTTGCCTAGTTGGTCATGTGTTGGGCCATGTTATGCCCAAAAAGGGTTACATATTCATCCAATGTAAGTCCCGAAAACTATGGTTCAATACTTCAAGCTAAGTTCGATTAAACTTACTTAACGGGCTATATGCAAAATGGTCTTAAAATTAAATTCGAGCTAGCTAGGCCAAATTTTTAGACTTTAGACGTATATAGGCTGCAAAAATTTGGCCTTGGGTCGAATTGGAACGATTAAGACAATACTAGCAAGCATGAATAACATTTAATATAATGTACTAGCTTGATCAATGTTTTAATCTTCATGCTTTGTGTTCAGGAATTAATGGAAATGATCATGTTCGTCTTAGATCTGTTCTTCTTATCAATATTCGACCAAGCGGAGGAATACAAGTGAGGCATTCTTCACATTACAATTCAAACATTTTGTGTAAAAACAATACATAACATAAATGAGTCAATTTTCGTATATGTCATGTAAAATTGTAGGCATTAGCTGATATGATGGAGAAAGATACAGAGGCAAAATGGGGTAATTCATTTGGCTACGTGCTTCTTCCGTTCACCATTGGATTGCGCGATGATCCTTTAGATTACATCCGAGAAGCCAAGGTGACAGTAGACAGAAAGAAGAATTCACTAGAGGTCTTTTACACATATTTCATTGCTGAAATAGTAAAGAAGTTGTTTGGTGCAAAACTTGCAAGTGCCTTATCTGATAAAATCAATTCTCATACAACAATCGCCTTCTCGAATTTAGTTGGACCTATGGAGGAAATTGGCTTTTATGGTCATCCTTTGGCTTTTCTTGCCCCATCTTCATATGGACAACCACATGTAAGTTGCATACCTCAATTTGTACAACCTATAATTCTATTTGTTAATAAATTACTAAATCATGGCTTGCTAATAAATATGTAAAGATGTATGTTTTCTGATTTTTGTACTAAAGCCAAGTTACAACTTAATGTTGGCCCAAGTCTTAAAAATTGGGCCAGGGTGTAGCAGGCTGAAGACTATAGTGCACTATATAGGCCGAGCCTAGCGCTTCTAGAATGGCCTGACGGCTGTGCACTGGTCCAAAACCGGACTAGACGAATAAATTTGGTTCATTGAACCTGACCTATATTAATGTAGCTTATATAGTACAATTATGATCATGTATTTATTTGTAAATTAGACCCATTGTAAGTTTATAACATTGGTGACATTTATATTTTACAGGAAGTGATGATTAACTTCCAAAGTTACATCAACAAGATGACATTAGTTCTTGCTGTTGATGAAAATGCAATACCTGATCCTCATCAATTGTGTGATGATATTGTTGACTCCCTCAAATTAGTGAAGGATGCTGTTATAGCAAAAGGCCTAGTCAAAAACTCTGCACTACCAAATGGCTGTGCAACTACAGAGCAATGACCTTAATACAACCAGGATAGCTAAATGCAGAATTTAGTCATATACCATCAGCCGCGATCAGCCTATGTACTTCCACAACCATATACGTGCGTACTACGAATGTACCACCACAATCATCCTATATATCTGTTAGGGATGAACCTCCCTAATTAAATTTAAATTTAATTACTTGTTTAATTTCTTTCTTTTGTTTAAGAATAATCAATTTATTTATTTTGCTTCTATAACCAGTTTCGTAGATTGCTTTATCTATCCACTTGTAAATTATCCAACATTAATGAAAAATTGTGATAGTGGATTTCAATTGGGTTAATCTGAATTCGGGGTTAGGGGGTTAGATTTCAGTTCCTTCCAAATTGTTGTTGCAGGGAATCAAACACACAATCCTCCCTAGTCCCTAGTTCCGTACCAAGTACAACCTCAATCAATCAATCACCAATACACCAACAACCAATTATTATTCATTGTTATGTATGTACTATTGTTCGTTGCATATTGAAAACACGAATTCAAGGGTTCTTATTTTATAATTTGGTGGTGATTAAATTTGTTTTGATAAAAATTAAGTGGGGTTAGTTCATTAATTGGTAAGGATGAGTTTCAAATCAATAAGGGGGCGTTTGGTTCACATAATCAAGGTGTAAGGTATGAGTTTAGAATAGTTTAAACTCATACCTTATATTTGTTTTATGATTTTAAGAGTTTCAAACCCATACCAACTTCAAACCTCTAAGGTATAGGGTTTAGAAACCTTGGTGGAGGGGGGGGGGGGGAGGCGGGTTTAGCTCATTCATATACTTTTAGGTATCATATATGATTCCAAACGACTTTATATGACCCGAGATGTATTCCCTACAATTTCAAGACTTTTCGACACCGGGCCACGAAACCTCCAAAATTTCTCAAAAAGCGTGGATATTAGCCTTCAATATTGGAATTTTTTTACTTTTATTAGCCCGGAAATAAAAATTGCTGGAATGTTTACAATGGTCTCTAATACCCTCCGGGAGTCCAATTGGGTGGGTGAAACCATCCAATTTGCCTTTAAACGACCAATTTACCGGTCTACAACTTGCGCCGATTTCATTAACTCAAACCTACCTCAAACATTTATGACAACATATAATGATTATATATGGTTCCAAACTGCATTATATGACCCCGAGACGTATCCCCTAAAATCTAAAGACTTTTCGACACCAGGCCTCGAAACCTACAAAATTTCTCAAAACGCGTGAATATTAGCTTCAATTTTGGAATTTTTTTACTTTTATTCGCCCGGAAATAAAAATTGCCGAAATATTTACCATGGTCCCTAATACCCTCTGGAAGTCCAATTGGGTTGGTAGAACCATCTTATTTGCCTTTAAACGGCCAATATACTGGTTTACAACTTGCATTGATTTCATTAACTCAAGCCTACCACGAACATTTATGACAACAAATAATGATCATATATGGTTCCAAACGGCAGCATTATATGACCCCGAGATATATCCCCTAGAATTTCAAGACTTTTCGATACCGGGCCCCAAAACCACCAAAATTTCTCAAAAAGTGTGGATATTAGCGAACTTTTTTTCGCCCGGAAATAAAAATTGCCAAAGTATTTACCATGGTCTCTTGTACCCTCCGGTAGTTCGATTGGGTGGGTAGAACCAACCAATTTGCCTTCAAATGGCCAATATACCGGTTTACAACTTGCATCGATTTCATTAACTCAAGCCTACCACGAAGATTTATGACAACAAATAATGATCATATATCGTTCCAAACGGCATTATATGACCCGAAGATATATCCCCTAGAATTTCAAGACTTTTCGACACTGAGCCCCAAAACCAACAAAATTTCTCAAAAAGTGTGGATATTAGCCTTCAAATTTTTTACTTTTTTTCGCCCAAAAATAAAAATTGCCGAAATTTTTACCATGGACCCTAATATTCTCTGGGAGACCAATTGGATGGGTGGAACCATCCTATTTGCCTTTAAACGGCCAATACCGGTTTACAACTTGCACCAATTTAATTAACTCAAGCCTACTACGAATATTTATGAAAACATATAATTATCATATATAGTTCCAAACGACATTATATGACCCCGAGATGTATCCTCTAAAAACTCAAAAAAATTCGACACAGGCCTCAAAACATTCCAAATTTCTCAAAAATTGTGGATTTCAGTTTTCGAATTTTTTTTACTTTTTTTCGTCCGGAAATAAAAATTGACGAAATGTTTACCATGGTCCCTAATACTCTCCGGGAGTCCAATTGGGTGGGTGGAACCATCCAATTTGCCTTTAAACGACCAATTTACCGGTTTACAATTTGCACCAATTTCATTAACGAACTCAAGCCTACCACGAACGTTTATAACAACAAATAATGATCATACATGGTTCCAAACGGCATTATATGACCCCGAGATATATCCCCTAGAATTTCAAGACTTTTCGACACCGGGCCCTTAAACCTCCAAAATTTCTCAAAAAGAGTGGATATTAGCCTTCAATTTTTGATTTTTTTTGACTTTTTTTTGCCCAAAAATAAAAATTGCCGAAGTGTTTACCATGGTCCCTAATACCCTCTGGGAGTCCAATTGGGTGGGTGGAACCATCCGATTTTCCTTTAAACGACCAATCGGCGCAAGTTGTAAAACTGGTAAATTGACCGTTTAAAGGCAAATTGGATGGTTCCATCCACCCAATCGGACTCCCGGAAGGTATTAGAAGCCATGGTAAACATTTCGGAAATTTTTTTTCCGGGCGAATAAAAGTAAAAAAAAATCTAAGATTAAAGGCTAGTATTCCACGCTTTTTGAGAAATTTTGGAGGTTTCGAGAACAGGTGTCGAAAATTCTTGAAATTCTAGGGAGTACATCTCAGGTCATATAAAGTCCTTTGGAACCATATATGATCATTATTTGATGTCTTAAATGTTCGTGATAAACTTGAATTAATGAAAATAGTGTAAGTTGTAAACCGGTAAATTGGTCGTTTAAAGGAAAAATTGGATGGTTCCACCAACCCAATTGGATTGCTGGAGGGTATTAGGAACCATGGTAAGCATTTCAACATTTTTTATATCCGAGAGAATAAAAGTAAAAAAAAAAATCCAAAATAGAAAGTTTATATCTACGCTTTTTGAGAAATTTTGAAGGTTTCGGGGCCCGGTATCGAAAAGTTTTTGAATTTTAGGAAATACATCTCGGGGTAATATAATTAATGTTGTTTGGATCCTTATATGATCCATATATGTTTTCATAAATGTTTGTGTTAGGCTTGAGTTAATGAAATCGACGCAAGTTGTAAAATAGTAAATTGGCCGTTTAAAGGCAAATTGGATGGTTCCACCCACCCAATTGGACTCCCGAAGGATACTAGAGACCATGGTAAACATTTCGGCAATTTTTATTTTCTGGCAAATAAAAGTAAAAAAAAATCTAAAATTGAAGGTTTCGGGGCACGGTGTCGAAAAGTCTTTAGATTTTAGGGGATACATCTTGGGGTCGTATAATGTCGTTTGGAACCAAATATGATCATTATATGTTGTCATAAATGTTTGTGGGATGCTTGAGTTAATAAAATCGGCGCAAGTTGTAAACCGGTAAGTTGGCCGTTAAAAAGCAAATTGGATGGTTCCACCCACCCAATTGGAGTCTGGGAGGGTATTAGAGACCATGGTAAACTTTTCGGAAACTTTTATTTCCGTGAAAATAAAATTAAGAAAAATTCTAAAACTGAAGGCTTATTATCCACGCTTTTTGAGAAATTTTGGAGGTTTCGGGGCCTGGTGTCGAAAAGTCTATAAATGCTTGGGAATACGTATCGGGTCATGTAAAGTCGTTTGGAACCATATATGATCATTATTTGATGTCATAAATGTTCGTGATAAGCTTGAATTAATGAAAACAGTGTAAGTTGTAAACCGATAAATTGGTCGTTTAAAGGAAAATTGGATGGTTCCACCCAATCAATTGGACTCCCGGAGAGTATTTGGGACAATGGTAAACATTTCGGCAATTTTTATATCTGGGCAAAAAAAATCAAAAAATTCCAAAATTGAAGGCTAATATCCACGTTTTTTGAGAAATTTTGAAGGTTTCGGGGCCCGGTGTCGAAAAGCTTTGAGATTTTAGGGGATATATCGCGGGGTCATATAATGTTGTTTGGATCCTTATATGATCAATATATGTGGTAAAAAATGTTCGTGGTAAGCTTGAGTTAATGAAATCGGTACAAGTTGTAAACCGGTAAATTTGCCGTCTAACGGCAAATTGGATGGTTCCACCACCCAATTGGACTCTCGGAGGGTATTAATGACCATGGTAAACATTTCGGCAATTTTTATGTTTGAGTGAAAAATAGTCAAAAAATCCCAAAATTGAAGGTTAATATCCACGCTTTTTAAGAAATTTTGAGGGGATACATCTTAGGGTCATATAATGCTGTTTGGAACCATATATGATCATTATATATTGTCATAAATGTTGTGGTAGGCTTGAGTTAATGAAATCGACGTAAGTTGTAAACCGGTAAATTGGCCGTTTAAAGGTAAATTGGATGGTTCCACCCACCCAATTGGACTCCGGGAGGGTATTAGAGACCATTGTGAACTTTTCGACAAATTTTATTTCCGTGAAAATAAAAGTAAAAAAAATTCTAAAACGGAAGGCTAATATCCACGCTTATTAAGAAACTTTAGAGGTTTTGGGGCCTGGTGTCGAAAATTCTAGAAATTCTTGGGAATACGTATCGGGTCATATAAAGTCGTTTGGAACCATATGTGATAATTATTTGATGTCATAAATGTCCGTGATAAGCTTGAATTAATGAAAACATTGTAAGTTGTAAACCGGTAAATTGGTCGTTTAAAGGCAAATTGGATGGTTTCACCCAGTCAATTGGACTCCCGGAGATTATTTGGGACAATGGTAAACATTTCGGCAATTTTTATATCCGGGCGAAAAAAGTCAAAAAATTCCAAAATTGAAGGCTAATATCCACGCTTTTTGAGAAATTTTGAAGGTTTCGGGACCCGGTGTCGAAAAGCTTTGAGGTTTTAGGGGATATATCGAGGGGTCACATAATGTTGTTTGGATCCTTATATGATCATTATATGTGGTAAAAAATGTTCGTGGTAAGCTTGAGTTAATGAAATTGGTACAAGTTGTAAACCGGTAAATTTGTCGTCTAACGGCAAATTGGATGGTTCCACCCAGCCAATTGGACTCTCGGAGGGTATTAGGGACCATGGTAAACATTTCAGAAATTTTTATATTCGAGTGAAAAATAGTTAAAAAAATCCCAAAATTGAAGGTAATATCCACGATTTTTAAGAAATTTTGAAGGTTTCAGGGCCCGGTATCGAAAAGTCTTTAGATTTTAGGGGATATAACTTAGGGTCATATAATGTCGTTTGAAACCATATATGATCATTATACATGGTCATAAATGTTTGTGGTAGGCTTGAGTTAATGAAATCGACGCAAGTTGTAAACCGGTAAATTGGCCATTTAAAGGCAAATTGGATGGTTCCACCCACCCAATTGGACTCCGGGAGGGTATTAGAGACCATGGTAAACTTTTCGGAATTTTTTTTTCCAGGCGAATAAAAGTAAAAAATTCTAAAATTGAAGGCTAATATCCACGCTCTTTGAGAAATTTTGGAGGTTTCGGGGCCCGGTGTCGAAAAGTCTTGAAATTCTAGGGAATACGTCTCGGGTCATATAAAGTTGTTTGGAACCATATATGATCATTATTTAATGTCTTAAATGTTCGTGATAAGCTTGAATTAATGAAAACGGTGTAAGTTGTAAACCGGTAAATTGGTCGTTTAAAGGCAAATTGGATGGTTCTACCCAGCCAATTGGACTCCCGGATGGTATTTGGGACAATGGTAAACATTTTGGCAATTTTTATATTCGGGCGAAAAAAGTCAAAAAATTCCAAAATTGAAGGCTAATATATCCATGCTTTTTGAGAAATTTTGAAGGTTTCGGGGCCCGATTTTGAAAAGTTTTGAGATTTTAGGGATATATCTCGGGGTCATATAATGTTGTTTGGATCCTTATATGATCATTATATGTTGTCAAAAATGTTTGTGGTAAGCTTGAGTTAATGAAATCGGTGCAATTGTAAACCGGTAAATTGGTCGTCCAAATGCAAATTGGATGGTTCCACTCAGCCAATTGGACTCCCGGAGGGTATTAGGGACCATGGTAAACATTTCGGCGATTTTTATATTCAAGTGAAAAATAGTCAAAAAATTCCAAAATTGAAGGTTAATATCCACGCTTTTTGAGAAATTTTGGAGGTTTCGGGTAGAGCTATCAATACGGGTTAACTGGTCAGGTTTGAGTCGGTAAGAGTGGGTCGGGTCAGGTCGAGTCAAAACGGGTTAGGTTAATTCTCGGGTTCGAGTCGGGTTCGGTTCAAGTCAATATTTACGGATCAGGTCGGGTCATTCTCGGGTTTGTGTCGGGTTCGGTTCAAGTCAATAATTTGCGGGTTATAATCAGGTCGGGTCATTTTTAAGTTAGGTCATTCTCGAGTTCAAGTCGAGTTCGGTTCAAGTCAATAATTTGCGGGTTATAATCAGGTCGGGTCATTTTCAAGTTGGGTCATTCTCGGAGGCAAGTCAGGTTATGTTCAAGTCAATAATTTGCTAGGTTACAATCAGGTCGGGTCATTTTCAAATCAGGTCATATTCTGGTTCAACTTACTATAAATAGATAATTATCATTTTTATCAAGCTAATTATTTTCTTTGACTATCATATATATATGACAATATATTTGGGAACTATAGTCTATGATTTAGGAAGATAATTATCTACTTTGACCATATATACAACAAATATATATTTTATTTAACTTTTAAATTTAAGGATGATGCTCCTTTCTTTTGCTGGCCTGGACCGACTTGGTCTCTCTAGACAAAATGTTTTGATCAACAATAATAAGGTGGTCTATATTGCATTTAAGGTGATTTGAAATCGGGTCAGGAACAATTTGGGTTGAACTTAGGTCGGGTCAATAACAAGTCGTGTTGATTTCGAGTCGAGTTAGTAACAGATCGGGTTGAATTTTTGGGTCGGGTTAGTAATAGGCCTGGTAAACTTCGGGTCGGGTCAATAATAAGTCGGGTTGAATTTAGGTCAGGTCAATAACAAGTCGGGTTGATTTTGGGTCGGGTTTGTAACAGGTTGGTTCGAGTCGGGTTAGGAACGGTTCGGGTTGACTTCAGGTCAGGTTAGTAACAAGTCGGGTTAAATTCGGGTTTTGATGGGTTAAAACGGGTTTGGGTCAATTTCGGTTCAAGTCGGGTTCGGTTCAGGTCAATAATTTACGGGTTACATTCGGATCGGGTCATATCCAGGTTCATGTTTGGGTTCGGGGTCTCACATACTCGGGTCAACTCGGATCTAGGGTTGGTTTCAGGTCGGGTTTGGGTCACCATTTTTTCGGATTCAGATGGGTCGGTTAATAATCGGGTTTGAGTCGATATTTTGGGTCAGGTCAACTTTTGACAGCTCTATCAATACTCTTCTTATAAAATCGGGCCAACAAAGTTACAACTTTAATTATGCCGGCCAGGGTGTAGTAGACTGAGGACTGTATTGTACTATTTCCGCCGAGCCTTGTTTTTAAAAATGACTTGGCGGTTGTGCACTGGTCCAAAACTGGACTAGACTGGAACAAATCTAGTCCGATCAGCCTACGTACTTCCACAACCAGAAACGTGCATACAACGAACGTACCAGTGGTAACCACAATCATCCTATGTATCTGTCGGGGATGAACAAATAATCCCTCCCTAAAAGATAAAGTCATGGAAATAAATTTGTTACAGTCAAATTCTTGTGTTTGTTAATTTAAGATAAAACTCTAATTTTTAGAAGAAAAAAAAATGCGTCAACGCATGTAGGTAGCAAAAGTAGACATTTCATTACATACAATTAAATCACTTGCAATTTTTATGTAAACGTGTTGTGATATTTTAATGAATTTGAGGTATAAATTGTTCCAGCATCTATCATATCAACTCTAGAATTATCATTATTGATTGAATTGACGGAATAGTGGGAAAACATCGAACTCTAGCCATAACTCTTCTAAGTAATTTCATGAACAAGTCAAACAGCGACATAAGTTACTTTATTAAGTTTCCGAGGTTGGAATAGGTCATGCTTACAACTTACAACTAAGTTACGCACACTTGATATGAATTCTGATGAAGCATTTATAACTATTGACATAATTTGTCTATTGCCTACTTCAAATTTAAATAACAGTACACTCTATGCTTATCATGAGAATAAGTTGAGAATATATAACAAATTTACTGATATAGCCTTACTTATCAATATGAAGTACGTAGTATATTTTTTCTTTCTTATCATTAAGGGTAGATTTTAATTATGTCGAAATAAAATCTACCCTTAATGATAATTAAAATCCATTCCTACCCATTTGAAGTAAATTTGTTGGACATAATTAAAATCCCATTTCTACCCAAACTCCCTCCTACCATACTAGCGAGTTTTTGTAAATTGTGATAAAAATTCTCATTCCCACCCAAACTCCCTCCTATCAAACACCTCCTAATATTCTAATAATTTGTCCCCTTAAACTTTTTATGATTTTCAAGACATATCTTAAAACAGTTTTATCGTAACTCCATCCTGTACGTGTAAAAATTATAAAAATTAGATAGTAATAACATATAGAATGAGACGAATCTAATAAGATTCCACAAAATCATATAATCAATTATAGATTACGAGTATTTGGTAAAAAAAAAAAAAAAATACAATTCGGCCCATTTTTTTTCAATGGGCAAATACATAGGGATAGAGGAAGAATGATTTACACAAATCTTTGATGAACTTTGTCAATCCACACCTACTTTATTGGTGCAAATTAATTTACGTAGTTATCTTCAATCCCATGAATTTATGAGTGATATATAGTGTTTCTGCTAGCACTACTGCTCCAGATATATAGATAATACAGTATATAATATCATGTAAATGTAAATGCAATAGTATGCAGTAACATGAGTAAAGTACAAGTATATACCATTGATTTTAATAAGTAGATCATCACATGGAAACAAATTAAATTGATTGAGGCAATGTTACGACTTTTCTTTCGTTATTATCAAGTTGTATGTAACGTACGTACTACATTAATTCACAAGGCCCCCCAAAAATGAATGCACAAATATATATTGCATGTCTAGAAGTCACTCTTGAGTCTTGAGGACATTTTCTCACCTAAATCTAGCCTTATTAGCTACGGCTGGCAGCGTGTGGCTGCGCCGCGGTTGCAGTTGTTAGTTTGTTACATGGAAAACACAATAAACATCGTTGAATAGTAAGATTATCACAAATGAACGTATGAACATATACACAAATGATTGACATGTTGGTTGTAAATTAACAGATAAACATAAACTTGCAAATTAAGCATTAAATTTTATAGTTAGCTTCCCAACTTCCTTTTTAAATGCATGAAAATTACATTATTATTACTCTTGTCATTTGTCACTAGTCAATACTCTATATAAAGCACCCAAATACAGTAGCTATAAGCATCACAACATTCTCAAAGTTGTTACATATTCACATCTATCTACATACACTTGATTTTCGTATTCTCATACATAATAATATTGTAGTATTTCGATCAATTCAAATCTTTTTAATTTCGATCTTTTATTTAATTTTGATTAGTAGTTATGGACTACGTGATTAGGAAGAGAACGAAAAAAATAAACAAAAATGGGGTACTAAAACCCTTACAAATTGGTTGTAATGGAGGATTAAAAGTGTTAGAGGGGGGAGGATGGAGCTACTTAGTCCTGCATCAGTCGCGTTCCATAAGCCAGACTTTAATATACATGTAATGGCTATTTTCGGCGTAAAAACTCCCGTTGATATTGAGCTTTTGAAGGCTAAATTTCCAACTTCCCTTTGCAAGCACCCTCGTTTTTCTAGTCTTGTGGTATGTTTTCCCCTTGTATGTTAATTATACTACGTACTAAATTAATTACTAATGCATGCAATCCTACGTAATTTACTAATTACTTAATTTATTGAGATATATTTGTATGGTGCAGTGTTTGAATTGATTGAAACTCTCATTTTCACTCGATGCATGCATGTATGTGTTTAGGATACTTATATTGTTACATACAATGACTTTAATTTTATTATGAGAGTATATATTATCCTTTGTATACATATTAATATTAATATATACGAGTACTAATTAAGTATATGTTAGCGGAAAAAAAAAATACAATTTAAGTTAAATAAGATGAGGATATACGGTCTTACTAGACTAGACCATACCTTATTAAAATCATAATAGAAAACCTTAACTAGGGTGAAGGTCGATGACAAATTCTTTCGAAGGGGAAACTAGATATATTAGCACAAAAGTAAAAACCTAGGCGTGAGTTTATTATTACAATTAATTAAAATGACTTGATATTAATTTACGTTTTGAAAGTTAATACTATATACAAACTACTTGTTTAGGTTAGGATGACTTTTCAATATATATATATGGAGAGTTGAGACACTAATTGTTAGGCATCAATAAATTGAGTGAGATGGATTTGACACCTCCAATAATGTAAATTATGAGGTAGTCTTAAAAGCAACGCAAATTTAACATTCTTCATTTTACTTTTTTTTTCCCCATAAATTACGTGATAAAAATATCAATAAACGTATCATTGGTCGTCGTTATTGCATTAATTAGTATTATGTTAAACATATTACGTACTAAAATTAAATAACAATATACGTATCATTGGTTGTCGTTATTGTATTATTTTTTTGTTGAACGGTCGTTATTGTATTAATTAGTATTACGTTAAACATATTAGTAACTAAAATTAAATCTTATTTATACAGGAAGGAGATCCATCTAAAGGAGAAGAATTGAAATGGGTAAGAACAGAAATAAACCTAGACAAGCACATTATAGCTCCAAAAATAAACTCCGAAGACATAAAGTCACCAGATAAATATGTTGAAGACTACATATACAACCTTAGTAAAACAACCTTAGACAAATCAAGGCCACTTTGGGATATCCATGTACTCAACCTTAAACTCTCAGAGGAAGTCGAGGCTATAACAATAACTCGGATTCATCATTCACTAGGAGATGGAACATCTTTAATCTCTTTGTTGTTGGCACTTACGCGTAAGACCTCCGATCCAGAGGCCTTGCCAACCATTCCTGCTCCAAAGATTAAGCGCGATGATGATAATCGTAAAGGGATTTTTTGGAGATGGATTTTGGCCTTATGGTTGATCTTGAAGTTGTTTTGGAACACTTCGATGGATGTATTGATGTTTGTAGCAACGACGTTGTTTTTGAAGGATAATTCTCCATTTAAGACTTCTCCAAATGGAGGAAATGTCTCTAGGCGTGTTGTTTACAAGAGTTTTAGTCTTCAAGATATGAAATTCGTCAAGAATGCAATTGGTGCTGTAAGTTTTTTTCTTCTTACTTTACTCTATCTATATTATCTATAAAACCTTTTTCTCTTCAACCAGTCAATAATTCATTTTTATTGAATTAATTGGTTTATACATAATTTTTCGTAATAACTTTGCTTAAAAAAAATAATTACTTATGGGGATGCCCCAGTTTTTCAAAGTGAAAAACAATGGCATTTTCGTAAATAAACCCATAATAATGAAAAAGTTGTTGATTTATTCACTTCGTTTCTCAATATGAGAAACAAGGAATTTCCCCTTATTTATTGATTACAATGATTAACGATTCAAATTTTATGATGATTTACTAGTAATTTTTTTTTTTTTTGAAACAATTTACTAGTATTTTTTGTTGTACATAATTGATTAATTTTTAATTTAATAATGCAAAATTGTTTTAATAGTAGTTCAAGCTTTTTTTAAATAGTATTTATGTTAAATAACATTAACAATACATCACTATATGGAATTAATTGACCATCATTTTTTTGATCAATTTTGATTGGTTTAATTTTTAGAGATTTAAACCAATACATATTATAATTTTATAAAGTAAATTTAATGTGTTTATATCAACCTTAAATCTGACTGATGTATTAATTGTATACTATATTGGGATGCACAGACGATCAATGATGTTGCACTTGGAATCACACAAGCTGGTTTATCTCGCTATCTTAGTAGGAAATATGGTAATCTTTTTGCCTTCTCATAAACTCATCTCATCTAGTACTCAATCAATCAACAATAGCCTTCATATATCTCCACTAATTCCCATTATTAATTATTACAGAAAATGAAGGAAACAATCATGAAGTTACAAGAGAGAAAACAAAAAAATATCTCAACAATATTCGTCTTAGATCGGTTCTTCTCGTCAATATTCGACCCTCTGGAGGAATTCAGGTAACGCTGTTAAAAAAAAAAAAAAAAACGCGGTTTCTTGTTGTGTACGTTAAAATAGTTCATATATAATACGGAGTACTGTGTATATATATGTGATTAATTATCTGATTATAATTTTTAACATGTAATAATAATAAACATTAATGATAGGATTTGGCTGATATGATGGAGAAAGATGCAGAAGCTAAATGGGGAAATGCAGTTGGTTACGTGCTTCTTCCGTTTGCCCTTGGATTGCATGATGATCCTTTAGACTATATTCGAACTGCCAAAACCACCGTTGATAAAAAGAAGCATTCCTTAGAAGCTATTTACACTTTTTTCATGGCTGAAGTTGTCATGAAATTTTTTGGTTCCAAGGTATTCATATATATACACTATACAAAATCTCTTTCTAGATCACGACACCATCACATGACAATGTTACCCTCTTGAAAATGAAAAAATCAAAGTTTCTCTCGGAGATAAATCTGTAAATATAAATAATTTTTTAAATAACAAAAGCAAATGAAATATTAAAGTAACACATACATATAATAAATGGATAAAGTTGTGAGAAAAGATAAATTGAAATGTTAATCTCATATATTAATCCATAGGGTTTGAAAATATAATAATTTGTACTATATTTTGCAGGTTGCAAGTGTGATATCTGATAGAATCAACTCGCATACAACTATCGCCTTCTCAAATCTACCTGGACCTTTGGAGGAGATAGGCTTTTATGGACTTCCATTGACTTTTCTTGCTCCAACTTCCTACGGTCAACCACATGTACGTTTCCAACTTGCTACCTATACTTATAATACGTATTCTTTTTTCTTAAGAAATTAAAGTTAATTGCACTTTGCGTGTTGCTCCCTTCGTCCAATATTAGTTATTAATCAGGTTCAAAAACATGCTTAGTTCAAAAAAAAAATATATGTCACATCTTTTTACATGAATGATTAATACAAGTAATTAATACTGGACGGGAGGCTCCCTTTCGACCCTTTGTCTAAAATTATTAATTATTAATCAGGTTCAAAAACATGTTTAGTTCAAAAAAATATGTCATACTCCCTCCATTTCAATATGATAGTCTCATATGGAATCAATTACATAAAATAATAAGAAAAAAATAATATTTGAAATCTAACATTAAATTAAAAAACAATTTATAAATAGTTTTGCCTTATTTAATTTTTTTGATTTTTTTAGGAAAGTTTTAGTCATATTTGCATAAATCAAGGGAGTAATTTCTTTACTTAGAATCATGTCATTAATTCACAATCAATTAATCTAACCAATCAAAATTTAATACGAATAAAATAGGAAATAAAAACTAAGTTAAAAGTGGAATACATTCAATACGGGTATATCTTTTTGAAACGCTCAAAATAGTATATGGGACTAACAAATTGAAACGGAGAGAGTATTTTTTACTTGATCAAATGATTAATACAAGTAATTAATACTGGACGGAGGGATTATATCGCGCAAAATCTTATAAATACTTCCTAACAATCTTCATATCTTATGTTAAATACTTGCTAATAACAATCTTCATTTTTTTTTTGTAAATGATGTTAACTAACAAATGAGTATATTCTACAGCCTGTGATGATAAACTTCCTAAGTTATAGTAACAAGATGACAGTGGTTCTAGCCGTAGATGAATACACGGTTCCGGATCCTCATCAATTGTGCGACGACATTGCTGAATCTCTCAACCTAATCAAGGATGCTGTTATAACACAAGGTCTTGTCAAACAAGATCACTCTGTGATGTAGTCATAGTACGTGTCACGGTCCGAGTGTGTTGCCTCCCACGCGGCTGGGAAGGACTTATCAATTGACAGCACCATCTCCGCCATCAACAACCACCCATCACCGCAATGCAACCTCCACCACCACCACCGCAACTTTTTTGTTGTATATATATACCTAGATATATTATTCCACTAAATAAATTAAATGGAATATAGTATACCCCAAAATAAAGAATTACTGCGTGGTATGAATATAATATAATTCCTTCGTTCATTTTTATTTACTACACTTAAGTCAAAAAGTTCTCACCTTTTAAGTCAAACTGTTGCAGTTAAAAGTGAACAGAAGAAGTATAGATACGTTACTTTTTTTTCCGTGGATAGCCCTAGTCAAGTCTTGTTTGTAGATATTAGACGATTCAAATTAAATACGTGGATGTGTATAATAAATGTAAACCTAATATAAAGTGCTCTTTATTTTTCATTCATGGAGATGATGTATCATGTCGATATGTCATACTTAATTTCATTAATGTTAATTGTGTCATGGGCCTCATGGTTATTTACGTTATGCCCTTATAAAATTTTGGATCTAGTTTGTTGCATGTCTTAGTTTTAGCTTTAATAAACTATCATACTTTTTACTGGTATTAGAAAATAAGTTCAGAAAATTCAAATAAAACAAGTCCATATAAATAAGGGTATAAGACCACATAATTTAAGACATACTCAAAAATAAGGGTATACGATTTGTAGTGGTTGTGCTCCAATTAAGACAAGTTCATCCGGCTTGTGATAGATTGATAGATTGATTGTGTTTCTTGTAATTCCTAAATGCACACGAGCTATTTTAAGCCTCGAGGAACTAAAGCAGGTTATAAATCAACTATAGTAGATTGGCTAAGTTATCATAACCACAGTGCATGGTAACTACATTCTACGATTTGTACATAGTGATTCAGGTAATAACTTTTTACCGGATTACAAAGGTAAAATAGAGGAAAGTGTATCTAGTTTTACCATCTTAACCTCATTTTTTTTAGCTATAACATTCGGGGTTCCCCTTTAAAAATTAATCTCATACCTCTTGCTATGTTTTCCCGCTTGCTTTCTCTCTCCCGGGCCATATGCACGTACAAATATTCACTTAAATAATTACGATTGTGTACTTGTGTTATACATCTAATAATAAGAAGTGTAAAAGTGGGAGAAAGCAACCAACAAATGGTAGGGTCCAAAAAAAAAAAAAAAAAAAAAAAAAAAAAAAAAAAAAAAAAAAAAAAAAAAAAAAAAAAGGGATGTTGCAATAGCAAGAAAAGGCGGGAAATGATGATTTTACCAGCAACGACCAACCAACTTCAACATCATAACAGAAGGGGTGTAAGGTGTAACTTAAACTACACGAGACTAAAACATTCCAACATTCTTGTCTTTGATCATCTCTCACTTTTCACTTCCTTATCTTCTCAATATTCATCATTCTCTGTGTAATAGTATGATCGCGCTTGCTTCCAACTTAAATGAATCTTTCTGCTAGTTATTTTCCATTAAAAATGACCAATTTGAGATCTCAAAGTTTCCTAATAATGTCATACTTATTGTTGATTTTATGTCTAATTATATTTGAGCAAAAGAGCGTTTGTTTAGTAAATGCTGCTCCTGAAGCCGGTGTTAAACAAGCGAATATGGGCATTCCAGATGCAAGATCACAATTTTGCAGCATTGATTTAGCAAACTTTCTTCCTCCTCCATATGGGAACCTTTCCTATAGCAACTGTCACCCTGTTTGGGAAACTTATGTTTTGAGGGTAAGTTCTGTTTCTCCTTAATCGGTTATTTTTAAGGTTTCTTTCTACGGCCTATTTGGTAGGTGGTAATAAGTTACGGCCTTTAGGTATAGTGGTAATGACAATATTCATAGTAATGCATTTTCGTCCCAAAGTATGAGTTGTTTGCAAATTTCCATTACCACTTGTTACACTTCGACTTTCGCTCCATACCATCTTATTACTCCATCATAGTATGTGTTAGATCTCAACTAGTCCTGGTTTTAAAACAAGACAATTAATATAGGCTTCTTATTTGTCTATTTGTTTCAAGGGAATTCAACCATTCTGTATACCCTTAATGGGTTAAACCTGGGAAATTTTGTTAGCAAAATCTAATGTATCTTTGCCTCATTCAGTTTGCACCTTTTCAATTGATTGCAGTATTACCAAAGCAAGGATCACACTGTAACCATAGTATTATCAGCACTATACACGACAGGATGGGTAGGCATTGGGTTCTCGAAAGATGGGTTGATGGTGGGTGGCAGCGCCATGGTAGGGTGGATCAGCAAAAGTGGGCACGCGAAGATCAAACAGTATTATTTAAAAGGTCGGAAGGCTCATGAGGTTCTTCCCGGACAAGGGGACCTTAATCTGACAAGCATTCCTCCTGTTGTGGTACTAGATGGAGCTAATCTTTACATGGGTTTCCAGCTTCAGTTTAATGCTCCTCTCCAACAGCAGCCAACTCTGCTAGCTTATGGAAGCAGGATTCCCCTAAATCATAAACTCACAGTGCACGATGATAAGACCACCATACACATTGATTACTCAACTGGTGAGTGTTCTCTTATTTACAATGCTGTTGAAAGCATCAGAATCTGAAATCCTTTCATATTCTGTTCTTTAGTTTTTGAGCTTATTAAGTGTCAAAAATTATATCAAGTATCCTTAAGAACATACTCATGTCGGAATGTCAAGGATCAAACACAGCCACATGGGGGATAGAGGTGGGTAAAATGACAAGTCCCAACTAACAGTCTAACATAGCATATATCTGAACATCTCAAATATACAGTAGTTATCAAAATCAATTTCGATTAGCAAAAAGGATAGACAAATAAAAAAGAATAAAAGAACTGAAAATTCACTGTCAAGAAACCATGATCATAGTTTTTGCAACTACTCATGGTATCCATAGCAATCTCAAATATATAGTTGGGGAAGGGAAGAAAACAGCGAAAAGTAAGACCAATTATCTTTTGTTGAGTATCAGGTGTTGCTGCTGCTACAAGTGGGGCCGGGGGTCTCGACAAGATGAAAAGAAGCCATGGAATTCTGGGGATTATTGGCTGGGGACTTATTCTTCCTTGTGGGGCTATGATTGCCAGGTTTCTCAAGCACAAAGAACCTCTGTGGTTTTATCTGCACACTATTATTCAGATTGTAGGGTTTCTCATCGTGTTGGCGGGAGTTGTGGTCGGTCAAGCACTTAATAATCAGATACATGCAGATGTTGCTGCTCACAGAGGCATTGGATATTTTGCCCTCACACTTAGCATTATCCAGGTAAACAAAAATTAGATCAGACATCATACTGATGTATTGTGAGACACTAAATTTTTATCCCAAAAAATATGTAGGATCGTCCATAAAATTTTTTGCCTTATTCTATTTTTGACTTGTCACAGGTGCTGGCATTTTTCATCAGGCCAGATAAGGAGTCAAAGATACGTAGGCTTTGGGCCGCATACCATCAATGGTTTGGAGTAATTACACTCTTCTTTGGGGCTCTAAATATTGTTCTCGGGTTCCAAGTTGGGGCTGCTGGTTCTGAATGGAAGATAGGATATGGATTTCTACTAGGTATCATTTTGGTTACTGCAATTGTTTTGCAGGTTCTATCCAAGCTCAGAAGCTCAGAGAAGCCAGAACAACCTATTTCTGCGTATCAAATGAGTTAATTTCACAAAAAGATTTCTGTTTTAGTTTTGAAGGGGCGTTTCCTACACACCTGAGCATTTGCATCAGCCTCTAGCTAGACTACGCTCACAATTTTGGTTTTTTTTTAAGATTACATTGTCAGAATTTTGTTACTAGGATGACAGGAAAAAAAAAACTGAAGTGGTTGTGTAAATATCATATCACTAATATGTTATTAAGAGTTTAATTCGAAAAAAACGAAAGATGAAACAGGGGTGTTAACAGGCACACCAAACATCTATTATGAACTGAAGGAAGAAATACTTGTACTTTATTCATGAGGCAATGCAACATTAATATCATGGTATAATGTCACAAAGGAGGGAAGGGAAGAAAAAACGGTTCGTTGACTGGGAGAAGAGCAAAATGTCAATTACCTTGTCAATACAAAGCTGAGGCAGTCAGTATACACAGGTGAACAAAATTGTATCAATCACTATCAAAATCCTTGCAATAACCATAATCGAATTTTTTTGTGCATTCTGCAAATCAAAATCTATGAATTCCTATCTTCAGTATACATCACATTGTCAAGCATTCTTCATTTTGAGGGTAAAAAAGCCACCTCACACCTAAACAGAAGTCTCCCAATAAAGATCTGCAGTCAAACAAAATCCAGTGATCAGAACACAGCAATACGCAGCATGTACAGGAAGTACAAGGATATATAGCTACTGGTTACACAACAGATGAACTTGACGAACATGAGATTTTTCCTTGTATTTGAAAATGGGTATGTAAATGCCAAAGCTTTAACAGCAATAAACTGGTTCAATCAATCAACCAAAGCCTTAATGCCATAAGTGGGGTTGGCTACATGAACCAGCAAAATAAAAAAGTAAATGGAAGACATTATGAGTTTAGACTTTGAACTAACCTTTTAACCTCTCAAAAGAAATTTCGAGCCCAATAGCAGTGATAGCACAGAAAGGACCAGTAAAGCTCGATGTAATCTGAGACATCTATACAGCTACACTGCATATTGGAACATATATTTTTTCCCATAGCCCTTTTCTTGAAACTGCAGCGAAAACTAACTATTCCCTCATGTTGCTACATTACTTTCACATGATGACAAGGGCCTGGAAGTTTCACTGTCTCGCAAAACTCTGCTGTATGCAATTTTGAATGACTGTGAACAATGAGGTCTTCTAAGCAAACTTAACGGCACTCTTAGAGTTTGCTTTCGGTTTCTTTTTCCTCGAATTAAAATGCTGAAAGTTCTTTCATCATCTTCCACACGATGATTAGATTTAGGAACCTCAGCACTATCTTCAGACTTTTCCTTGGGAATGTCATCAGACTCATCACACACTGGCATTGTCCCCTTTATATCCACACAAGAAGTTGGATCCTGTTTCTGCTTCTCATTCTCCAAACCAATCCAAGCCAATTTATCTGCATCATGTACCACCTCTGGCATGGAAAACACCACTTCTTTCTTTGCCTCCTCCCCACTACCAATATCATCAGGCAGAAGAGGGGCCAAACCTTGGCTGCTCTCAGAACTTGGAGATTGAGCCTTTTGCTCTGATACAGGTTCACATATTGGTTCAGCCACAGGTGGAATTATAGAGAACTCAACTGGGCGGCAACCAGGCCAAACAGTGCCGGGATTCATGTTGCATTGCCATACATAATGATTGCGATGGAAATGATTTCCATTTGGAGGAAAGCTGTTGGGTGGTACAGGCTGAGCTTGACTGTAAGGAGGATACATGAACGGCACCTGTTGTATAATATTTGGTGTAGTTGGTGGAGATGGGTATGGGTGATGAGGTGAGGAGCACAACGGATTAACAGCTGGCATTACTGGAGCAGGTCTAGGGTGGAGAGCCATGTTCATAGGCCAAGGACCTACAGCTGGAACAGCACCTGGACCAGAAGGAAGATTCATGTTCAGAGGCAAGGGAGCAGACTGTGCAATAGCTGGTGATGGGTTAAATGGTGCAGCAGAAGCAGACAACTTCCTGCTGGGGATATCTGGTGCATCACTTAAGTTTGCAACCATAGGTTTGTCCTCCAAATTCTCCTCTCCTTGCAAGGGAGGAGTTACAGCATTATGTTCTGTTTGAATGCCACAAGTTATGTCCATCTCAAACTTCACATCTTTTGAAGCACTCGTTGAATTCTTCGTCACATTATTTACAGACTCATTCTCAGGTAACACTTCATGGATGTCAACGGTATCACTCTCAGCCTTGTCAACAGTAGAAGGCACCATGGCACCAGCTGATCGACTTTCTTCCATATCCTGATGTCCTGGTAAGGAATCCTTGGAATTTGAAAGTGTACATTCATTAACCTCTTTAACCTTGTCTACCTCGACGTCTGCCTTTTCAGAGGCAACAATTTCTCTAAAATCACTGCTTACAGCATCTTCACATTTCTCTACAGTAGCCTCACCTTCATTTGGACTATCATTTTGGGGAACACTGGCATGCAGTTTAGAAATTGTCCCAGGAGGTGCAACTGCAACATCCTTATAGGAAGGAGATTTGCCCAGCCTAACTATTGTAGGCTTCTCAAGACTTTGTCCAGATTCACTTTCTCTGCTAGAGACCTCCCGAGGTTCATCTTTGGCTGAGGAAGGCACAGACTTAACCCTGTAAGTAACAGCTTTGACAATTCTTCTCCCAAATTTGCTGACTTGGGAAGCATTTTTAGCAGTATGCTGATCCATGTAACTAGCAGGTGACAATGCACGTTTCTTCAACACGTAATAGTTAGTATTTTGGAGAGAGTTATTAAGTTTGGCTGGATCACTTTCAACTTCTTTCTTTTGATAACCATATACTTTGCCAATTGTTGCACGCCGCTGTCTTACACGACGACCGTGTCCCCCAGCTGATCTTGGCCGTTGGACAGGCTGCCACCCATCCTCAGTTTCAATATTGGATTCAGGTGACACTTTATTTGAAGAGACAGGCTGCTTCTCTTGTGCAGGTTCAGACACAGGCACAACAGGCTGAACAGGCTCTAAAGTAACATCTGCCAATTTTTCTGCATCGGAAGTAACATCAGACTCAGCTTCACCATTAATGCTTTCAGGTTCATTATCACCCTCTGAAACAAGGGGATCTATGTCCTTTGGAGAAGAAACCTCGGGGGTGGGTTTGCTGGAAACCTGGTTAGCTTTCTCTTGGACCTGTACATATAAAAACAGTAAAAATGAGAGAGAGCCTATAAACAATTGAATATTATATAAAAGCACAGTCAAGCATTGGTGTGAAGCTTATTTCTTAATCAAAGTTTCCAGTCCCTCGTACCCAATAATCAGATTTATGACAGGACATAGACAGTCTAGACACCTTGCACAGACCAGATTGGCAAGGATGGCAACCAGAAACATGTTCATATTTGGTAGATGGAAAACAGGCAATTATACTTCATTTTTCTATTCATCTCCTAAATTCAAATCAGAAAGTCCAAAAATGAGCTTATTTTGGTTAACAAAATTAATTATTTATCAACTAAAAATTATCATGAGTGTGGAAAAATAAATGCAAAAATAAAAAAAATAAAAAATAAATAATTTACTATATCCTGCTAGTCTGTTACCATTGCTCTCATTTCCATTACTTATCTACTGCATGTTTAAGATCCTGATTGCAATGGATGAAATGAAGTTTTACTTTTCTCATTTGTCTCAGAATAAAAAGAGAACACTAAAAAAGCTAGCTGGGACTGTTATAGATAATCAAACAAAATTCATATGAGGCAAGTCTTGTATTAATTTGCATATCAAAATAAATGCAATAAAGCATATCACTCCAACATAAAATCTGGATTATATCTAAGAGACTAAAAAGAGCTTAAGTTACCTTCACAAAATAGCTTTTTCTCTTGACTGACATTGAATTTCTCCCTTTCGAATCAGGACTCGGATTTATGTAGTCAAGCAAGTCTGAGACACTGGCAATACGCAACAAAGGTTATGTGTAAGTCACAGGGTAGCATTTATTACATAACACATGCATTCATTCATATGGCAAGAAAGCCCACACTCATAAGTACAATGACCCACTTCAAATCTGAATTAACGCTTAACAGCCATGTTCATGAACAGTTCGTCAGAAAACCCACGTTTGGAACATATTATCATGGTACATCTGGTCTACTAAAAAATAAAATAGGAGATACATAGTATAGGCAACGCTTTAAATCAACAAATAAATTAGTGAACAAAAGTCACATACAGTACAAGGTACTGAGTAACTTCATAAATCTATTCATATATATACCTAAGATGACCTTTGCTTGCTATAGATGCATCAGGTTTCCTTGTCCCATTTCTGGCAGCCTCTTGCTGTTCAAAAGCCTTGGATTCAAAATACTCAAGCCAAGCAGCAGCATCCTGCAGAGTAAATTGCAAACATGATTCTAGTATAAGAAAAAATTCCAAGAAGAGTTCATGCTTAAAAAAATAACCACAATCACACACACACAAAGAAGGCTTCTACCAAAGTCTTGTGCATATGAACCATTTTTTTTTTTACTTCTAGGAAAAGCATCACTATGAAGAAAAAGAAAAAACCCAAAGAACTTTAAATGCCCATTTTTCACTTGCGAGTCTCCGGCCCTCATGATGGCAACAGTGAACATTACAAAGCCTCATTTTCATTAGGACAAAAAAGAGCCAAAATACCTGTGTGCGTAAATCGTCAGGCCCTAGCTTAGCCCGAAGAATTTGCAGAGTTGTCTGCTCATGCTGAACACTTAAAGGATATGCTTCCATTAATGAAAGTGCAATAGCAATAGCATGATAACTTGCTGCTGTCTGGAGAAAATGAGAAAGAAATTATAAATATTGGTTAATCCAATTGTTGGAAGTATAAAGGAAGAGCAAGATGGATGGATGGAGGAAACTGAATCTGCAAGTAAATTAAAACAGAATAGCCTTGAAAGAGACAATAGCATAATCCGTATCACATTATTTACTCATAATAGTAGGCTATGTAGTTCCAGTAAAAGGATGCCTAAGGTAATATTATTAAGATTCTCCATCATAACATAGTAACTTTGTTCCTCGACACTCTGCTTTACGCGGATGTCGGGTGTCGGATCCTTCGACACGATATGACAGCCATATATATAGTGGCCTTATTGTGTCAGACACGAAACCCAAATCTAAGTATGTGCAACATAGCATAGTAAACTTAAAAGGGGGGGGGGGGATTATCCCTTTATCAATCCTAGATTAGATTTAATCAAACAAATCTTCCACAAAAAAGCACCTTCAATGAGA